GCGACAACGAGTGGGAAAGAACGTCAAGAGGCTCTAGAGAACGAAGGAAGAAGCGCACAACAGTCAAGCTGGCAGCCTTAAGAATTAAAAAGACGAAGGAGGAGGAGAGAGGGGGCCCGGGGGGAGAAATAAACACGGTGGGCCAGTGGCGGCCGCGGGATGGCCCCTAAACCGTCTCAACACCCTCGGACGCTGCAACGCTGGGCCCGCGAAATTAATGCCAGCGCGGCACATGCAACCCGGGCCTCTGATTCGCCTGCTGGGCAACGTGCCTGTCGCCAGGATGTGCCGGCAGCGCATGGTGCGGATTCGCCGTTCGGGCTGCTCCTGGCCGTCATGTCCACGCTCTCCAGCGACTGCCCACCACACTCCCACTCGGGATGATACGTGGATCTCTCGTCGACTGGTGTGACTGCAGAAGGCTGCTGTGCGCCAGTCGCAAGGCCGATTTGGTGCCTCCGTGCCGGAAATCTTCTCCTCAGAGCCAGCGCCGTGGGGGGGCTCAATCGAAGCATACAATCGTGGTAAAGTTTAATGAGCAGCGGTGGCGCCGACTGTCACCTCCCACGGACCACCAGGACTGCCCAGGAGCCGGAGAATTCATCGTGCATGATATTATTTTCTTGTCGGGACCTCTCATAATCAGTGTCTGTCCAGCATCCAATGTGTCACGTTCCTGCGTCCCACGAGCACGGTCGAGACTCGAGCATCCGATCGAACAGCCTAGGCGGATCACCTTGCTCGATCACTTGCACCGTTGATCAGCTCCACCCCTAAAGCTCGCCCACAGCCCACTGCGAAAATTCTGATTCAGGCAATCCTGGGAAGATCCCGAGTTCTAGATTCCCGCTCGATTGCTAGGCAAAGAGTTACAGACTCTCGGCAAGGGGCTTGCCTCGCTCGTTGTTCAGCAGTGATTCTGCTTCTGTTTGATTAGCGACCCCAGATGTAATTAATTAATATTATTTCACCGCGGCACTGTAGGCTGTTTGTTTCCAGTTTCGACTCGGCGTGTCAGGGAATGCACGCTTTAGGCGAACCCAGCGTTTCACAACCCACAAGGCCTGTTTTAGACTCTCGGAAAGGACCCGACGCGAGACAACCCTTTCTAGCCAGCACATTTCTAGGCAGCTATAAAAGCAACGAGTAAGAATTATTAATAACGCCTCTTTCAATAGCGACAAACTTTGACAGACCGTGATTTTCTCACGGGCGATTGCTTATCTAAACCGCGCAACCATCTGCGCTAGTGGCTGACGAAGATCAGCCGCAGCATGGCGTCAATAGCCTGCTGCACTGACGTGGAACTCGCAAGCAATACTCATTTCTTGCATATGGATGAATCTTATCAGGTCCTGTCTAGCAGTGTTTACGGTTCGATCCTCCATGGACCGCACGAGGAGACTCGGGTCGATCCGCAGGGCAGTTCTGCGGTACACACGGGATCTCAGCCTCATCTGCGCCACTGAGGCTGATGCCTGCTGATCTACTCAACGCCATTGCCGGAACCCACTCTGGAGTAGTAGGTGGATTCCTGTCTGTTCAACACACTAATCTCCAGGACATTCAATGGTCGTCATGGCAGCAAATTCGATTCAGAACCTCCGAGCGCATTACGCCGCAGCGCTGAAGCGCTTTGTAGCGTCTTCACTACCTTTCGAGGTCCTGAGCACGGAACCTGCCAACGCTCGCAACATCGAACCCAAGGTGCTCTACGTCCTGGACTCGTCCTTCAACCCTCCAACCCTGGCACATATGAAAATCGCCGGCTCCGCCCTGGCCGAGTCGCCGCACTCCTCGTCGAGACTGCTGCTTTTGTTGGCTACCCAGAATGCCGATAAGCCATCCAAACCGGCGTCGTTTGAAGACCGCCTTGTCATGATGACTCTACTCGCCCAAGACCTGCGCGCGAACCTCCAGGCTTCTCGCCAGATTGCCCAAGATGACTTACCACAGATTGACATCGGCGTGACCAAAAAACCGTATTTTGTAGACAAAGCGACGGCAATAGAGGCCTCGGGAGTATATCCCAGCTCCTTAGAACAGATCCATCTCACGGGCTATGACACCCTCATCCGCATCTTCAACCCCAAATACTATCCGCCGGAATACAATCTACGGCCGCTGGAGCCATTCCTCACTCGACACCGATTGAGAGTGATGATGCGACCGGACGATGAATGGGGTGGGCGGAAGGAGCAGGAGGAATTCCTCACGAATCTCGCTCAAGGAGGCCGTGAGAGCGAGGGTGCCAAGCGAGAGTGGGCTCGCCGGATCGAGCTGGTCGAGGGAAAGAAAGCAGGCGAGGAAGCAGTGAGCTCGACAAGGGCAAGGCAAGCTGCCAACAGCGGAGACGAACGTCTGCTATTGTCACTGGTTTCTAAGAATGTCCGTGACTATGTCGTCTCACAAGGGCTGTACAAAGAGGAATGATTCGAAGGCAAAGGATCAATCCCAACGCCCAAATCCAACTGCAAGGCTTTATACTGCCTGCAGCTGAACCACTGGGTAGCGTACACGCAAGCTACCTTGTATAGTCTTTTCGAAATATATAGCTACATGATCGTATAGATTACATGACATGACACAGAATGAAATGGAGAAAAGAGACAGGCCCTTACCAACGCCAAAAGATTCCCCACTCCCGTTAAAAATACAGTAGAATCGCTCATGTCACCTTTTTTGTTTTCACTCATCCTCCTTCTCTCGCTTCCCAAGAGTGTAGGTCAACCCACCAGCAACCATGTTTACCAGACATAGGCCCATTGTAGCACCGCGAATGATACCTCTTGCTCCCCATTTTTTCATGAATGGCTGCTTCCGCCGACTGGCAAGAACGAGATACAGACCGGACCAAGCTGCGCTTATCCCTGAGCTGTCGACCTTGAATCCTTGGAGATTTGCGTACGAGGTAAAGAGCAGGACGGGTGGAAACGTCATGGGTAAGAATTGGAAGGGACGCATGTGTTGCGCAGTAATGAGAGTTGCGAGAACCGTTGGCGGCACGGGGGACTCTGTGGTGAAGACCAGTGAGCTTCGAACAGTCAATTGTAAATAAGAATGAGAGAAAATAGAGCCTTTTTTTTGTTTGGTCTAGTACTATACTTACCTCCCCATGCTCTGACCTGCTGATAGAGAGACTTCTTAGTCTCCTCCGCATGGTCGTCTGGACCAGCCATTGCTCTGCAAGAGAAATAATGGATGTGCAAAAAAAAGAAGCTTTCTACAATTGCCTAAAGCTGTATCCTTGAAATGAAGGGTGGAAAGCAATTAGTTTGGGTATCGCAAAGTTGACGTTACACCATCCGAGCTTACCCCAAGGCTTGCTTAGCCGGACCGATATCACTGGCCGCCGTGGCTAGCGTCCACTCACCTCCGACTTGACACCACGTTGGTCGTTCCCTTCTCCAGGTCTAGACCAGACAGCGCTCTGAGGCAGCGCTGATTCCACCACCCGTCCATTTTCTCGTTAGTCCATCTCTGCAGGTCATTATTCTGTGTCGGAGGCGTCCGATTCAGCGATTGCTGTGTTTGTCTTCCCCTTCGCGGGATTGTTGACCCCCCGCCCGCGCCACCAACTCGCATCTGATCTGGGAAAAGTTTTGGAATCACATCGAATAAACAGGCCAAGGGAGGGACAGATCGATCAGCATCTCGATAGCGATGCCATCTGCCACGTCGTCCGGAGTAGACACGGGCTCCGGCGGGAGCTCAGCGAGGTCGCGCGACCACAACCAAGGAAATCAGGAACGCAAATACACCCCCGAGCAGAAGGCTGCCGTGATAAGGATTCGAAAATGCTCTCCAACCGCGTTCTACGAGATTTTGGGTCTGGACAAGAACGCCTCGGATAGTGACATTAAGAAGGCATATCGAAAACTAAGTCTGCTTACGCATCCCGATAAGAATGGCTATGAAGGGGCCGACGAGGCGTTCAAGAGTGAGTGTCAACCCAAAAAAAGCAAAGTGATATGCTTCTTGCTGACGCATGGATTACAGTGGTCTCTCGTGCTTTCCAGGTATTGTCGGATCCGGACAAGAAGGCGAAGTATGACAAGTTTGGCGGAGACCCAGAAAGCCGATTCAACCCTGGCGCTGGCGCTGGACCTTCCGGTGCATCGTCCTTCAGTGGTTTCAGCGGTGGTTTCCCACGAGCACAAAATGCCGGAGGAGCTATGTTTGAGGAAGAAATATCTCCTGAAGAGTTGTTCACCCGCTTCTTCAACGGCGGCTTCGGTCCCATGGGTGGTGGATTCAGCCCTTTCGGTAAGTCGATCATCCCATCGTCATCTATCAGCGCCCCCCTGATCATTTAATTGACATCTTCCAGGCGGCCCACAGTTTGTTTTCAACATGGGTGGAGGTCCAGGAATCCGAGTTCACCAATTTGGCGGGACGCGGCCTCGAAGAAGGCCACGCGAAGCCAATAATCAGTCCGAACCTGCGCCATCCGGTTGGGCGTCGCTATCGCAGCTCCTTCCTCTCATCCTCCTCTTCGTCTTGCCGCTCCTTTCCTCGCTCTTCTCTGGATCTTCGACTCCGTCTGGACCTACCTTCCGTTTTGATGGCCCCGTGTCCCCTCATACCATGCACCGAACGACACCGAAACTGAAAGTCGATTACTATATCAACCCATTGGATGTGGACGATTACAGCGCCAGAAAGTTCAACCAGCTCGATCAGCGGGTAGAGGTTGAATACGTCAATAAACTTCGTCACGAGTGCGAAAGCGAGGTGCAGATGCGAGACCGGATGATCCAAGAAGCACAGGGCTGGTTCTTCCCCGATGTGGAGAAGATGAAGGAGGCGCGCGCTATGGAGCTGAAGAGTTGTCGACGCTTGGATGCGTTGAAGGGGAAGACGAAGTAATGATGTGGCTACGATGATAATAACTATATACTCTTACTGTTTTCACTGTCCCCCTGTTCCTTATTTTCACTTGTCGTCATAGATATTGATGTTGCACATGGCTTGGAGTACTTGGGGTTCATGATTCTTGTCTGATATTACTGGGAGAGTTCTTTTTGTATGTAAGTGTACGCACATCCAAATCGGTTCTCCGAGTGATACTACTATGGCAGTCTTTCTTGGGCATTGTTCTCCAGCTTATCTATTTATCGACAGCTTTTCCTGTGACTAGTGATCGCATAATAGATACATGGCCTTGTTAATCTTTATTTTAATATGAAGAGCAGTTCGCTACGAGGTTTGCTGTCTATTTTGTGCCTCAAGCAGGCAACATTGAGATATCTTTCCGCTACGACTTGATGATTCGGTGGCGGCTATCCATCTATACTGGAATCCCCATCAGACGGCAACTTTGGCGTATCTACGTTCGAAGACAAGGCCTTCAGGAGCTCTTATCTGCATTCCCTGCCCGGGCTATAGGCATTAGACCAACAAGATGGATGAATGTGGCTGCGGAAGAACGCGAGATGAAAACTGAGTATCGTAATGATATGATCACGCGACTTGGTTATGCAGAGCTCCAACGAAGTGTCGCTCCCGTCTTCCTCTGCTTAGCGATGGTCAAGAGCTGTCTCTTCCTAGTCATGTAGAGTAGACACGAGGGACGGGTTCATCATGACCTCGCTGTTAGCGATGCCAAAGCGCCACCATGCCTGCTTCCCAGAAGCTGTGCGCGGGTGCCTGCATGAACTGCCGACCAGACGATGATGGAGATCACTTCAGCAAGTTGCAAACGCAGCTGACCACGTTAGATTAGACCACCACAGGAGATAAGATTAGACGCGTGGGTACAAATGCGATACTTGACACTTCACTAAGCTCCCCCGTAGCGGGGGACCTCGCCCAGCAGGCGGGTTCCGGAGAAACACCCCGGCCCGCCGCCGCCTCCGCTGCAGCTTAGTCAATCAATGGATCATGACCGAATGTTCGTCACAACGTTCTAAACCAACGGACCTCACCACCACTGATACCCCATCAAGTCACCCTACAGCTCGAGCCTGGGAACTCTCCACCCGCTGTACTTCCCTTACTTATCGGAGAGGACTCTGAGCTGTCGCACCTTCATCTGTTCAGGATGTCAGACACGCTCTCCGATGCGGACAAGGTCAGTTATCGCGGCTCCGCCGTGCCACCTGGGGTTCCCGTTCCCCTCTGTTGATACTGACCTAGATTTGTTCAGATCCGCAACAAGCGTCTAGCGAAGCTTGCATCTCAGGTGACGTCTTCTCGATCGCCGTCGCAAGCTTCAGAAGCTTCAGAAGCTAGCCAGAGCCAGCCTACGCCTAGTTCGGACCGACAGATCCCGACCTCCCCACGTCCAGAGGCCTCGCAGCCTCGAATCAATATCAACGGCGTCCCTGCGCCTGCGCAGTCTGCGTCGCAACCAGAGACATATGAGACCGGTTTACAGGGGAAGAGAATCAAAATCTCACCGGCATCGTCGGCTGCCGTATCGCCGCGATCAGAGTCATCTTCCCCACTTCCTGCTAAACGACCGACACCCAAGGCGGAGGAATCTGTCGAAGCGTTTGAGGATAGGACTCTGCGTGCGATATTTAGGGTGACCTTGAGAGAGGATCAGCAGCAGGATATTCATGGCCACAAGTTGACCTACCTGCCTGGCGTTCGAAGTGAGCTCGAGGAACAAGGGCTTGAGCCGCGAATGACAGTCGGAGTTCTTGACCAAGCCATCGTTGAAGCTGCGTCGAAAACAGAGAGTCAAAAGCCCTTGAACTATTTGTTGCCATGCTGGAAACGAATTCACCGGTTGTACAAAGGGTTCCGAAAGACCCAGGATGAGGATCCAAAGTTCAACATTGTGCGCGAGGCGAGGCGCCTCTGTATTAGCTACTGCATCTTTGCCATCACGATGCCGGAGATGTTTGGGTAAGTTTTGTCATGCGTTCTGTGGGGTTGACATTATACTGATTCCTTTTCTGCTTGACAGGGTCGAATCGTCATCTCAATCCCCACTGAAACCTCATCTCCTCCTGGACGCCGAGGATGACAGGGGCATCGATTTTGATTTCCTCTCTGAAGCTGTGAAGCGATTTGAAGAAGATGATTCTTTGAAACCTGCCTTCATTACGACTGTCGAAGAAATGAGCCGCGACCTGTCGGTGATGACTATCAACGATGATTACAAGCCTTATGTGACGGTATGTGAAATCTATTCGTATTTCTCCTAGAATGCCGTTCTAAACTTTTTGAACAGGCCTTAAGAAACCTGGTCCACCACGCTGCTATCGGTTCTGCGATTACTGAATCCTCCATCTTTAATGCATCAAGAGATCCGGCCACGTTTGAGCAAACCACGCTTCTGGGTCCGTGGTTCCGCCTGTCGCCGCTTCAGCCCAGCGTCACCACTACATACTTCTCCAGTCCGAAGACAAGAGATCAGACTTTTATCCTGAATTCGCAGCGATCGCTTCGAATGACGCAGCAAATGCTCAGTTCGGACCTCTTGGACGTAATAAACCATCTGATCCGGGCATCGAAAGATGCCAGAGAGAGGGTCTTGGACTGGTTTGCGACAGCTCTGAATCTGAACCACAAGAGGAGAGCGATGCAGGTCGACCCCAATACCGTTTCGTCAGATGGCTTCATGTTTAATATTACTACCTGTCTGGATCAGTTATGTGAGCCGTTTATGGATGCATCTTTCACAAAGGTAAGGATAGCTTCGTGTATTTGTATTTTCAGCTTCTAACCCGAGTAGATCGATCGGATAGATGCGAAATATCTTCACCGCAATCCTCGGGTCCAGATGCGAGATGAGACCAAGATCAATGCGGACCAGCATGCATCTGACGAATTTTATTCCAAGACCGTGGAAGGAACGTCCAACTTTATTACTGAAATCTTCTTCCTGACCGTAGCAGCTCACCACTATGGAAGCGAATCTTTAACGTCGAAGCTTGAGCAGCTGGAGAAAGATCTCCGCCATATGGAGTCCACGATTAACAAGTTTGAATTGGAACGACATAAGTGGATTCATAATCCGGTCCAACTCAGGACATTTGAGGAGGCGTTGAAGAGATACAAAGACAAGCTCGATCTTGGTCTCGCCCTGAAGTATAGCTTGCAGGGTGTTCTCTTTGACGACTTATGGCAAACGCGGTCCATGCAGTTCATGCGATATGTTATCGTTTGGCTATTGCGTCTCGTTTCTGGGGTTGACTTTCCCCGACAAAAGCTTACCTTGCCACTACCAGAAACCCCACCAGATGTGTTCAAATGCCTTCCTGAATACTTCCTGGACGACATTGTTAGCAACTTCAAATTCATCATGTGGTGCATGCCGCAAATCATCACCGCCACCCAGGGAGATGAGCTGGTGATGCTCTGCATCTCCTTCCTTGAGAGCTCCCAATACATTAAGAACCCGTACCTGAAAGCAGGTCTGGTCTCCATTCTTTTCCGGGGAACATGGCCACGGCCGGGAGGCGCCCGAGGTGTCCTCGTTGACCTTCTGAATTCGATGCCGTTTGCCACGCAGTATCTCCTGCACGCAATCATGAAGTTCTATATTGAGGCCGAATTCACGGGTACCCACACTCAGTTCTTCGACAAATTCAACATCCGATACGAAATCTTCCAGATCATCAAGTGCATCTGGGGCAACCCGGTCTACAGATCCCAGCTCTCCGACCAGGCTCAACAGAACCTCGATTTCTTTGTCCGTTTCGTCAACCTTCTTCTCAACGATGTCACCTTCGTCCTTGATGAATCATTCACGGCTTTCATGACTATCCACGACACGCAAGTTCTGTTGAACCAAGAAGGAAACACCATGGATCCCAATACGCGTCAAGAAAAAGAGGAGCAGCTCGCCGCTGCCCAAAACAAGGCGAAGTCGTACATGCAGTTGACGAACGAGACCGTTGCGATGCTGAAGCTCTTCACCGAGGCGTTGGCAGACTCGTTCACGATGCCCGAAATTGTTCAACGACTGGCTGACATGCTTGACTACAACCTGGATGCCATGGTCGGACCAAAGAGTTCTAACTTGCGGGTGGAAAACCTGCAAGAGTACGGCTTCAACCCCCGGGCGCTGCTGAGTGAGATTGTCGATGTGTATCTGAATCTGATGGATAAAGAGAATTTCACGTTTGCCGTGGCGCGCGACGGCCGATCATACAAGCCTCAGAATTTCGAGAAAGCGGCCGACATTTTGCGCAAGTGGTCGTTGAAGTCGGATGAGGATCTGCGCAAGTGGGCAGAGTTGCAAAAGCGGGTCAAGGCGGCCAAGGAAGCGGATGAGCAGGCGGAAGAGGATCTCGGGGAAATCCCAGACGAGTTCCTAGGTATGTTTCTGCTGGTGTTTGATCCCATGGCGAGGCTACTAACGATTGTCGACAGATCCATTAATATACACCCTCATGGAGGATCCTGTCATCTTGCCGAGTTCGAAAGTGTCTATCGATCGATCTACCATCCAGTCCCATTTACTGAGCGACCCGAGCGACCCCTTCAACCGGGCGCCATTAAAGATTGAAGATGTGATACCAAGTAAGTTGACCTGTGACTCCGGTTGATTGGTCAGCGCTGACTTTGAACGTACAGACACAGAATTGAAAGAGAAGATTGAGGCTTTCAAAGCGGAGAGGAGAGCAGCCAAGAAGAAGGCTGTAAGCGAAAGCATGGACACTTCAAGTGGCTGAACGGGGCTGCTTTCGAAATAGAGTATCCTGCGTTTGATTGCACATAGTTCTCTCGCTAGTTTCCTGACGATTCATTATCGTAGGAGATGCTCTTTCAAGCAGTTCTTCATCCATATCATTCATCACCAAATAAATACGAGCATTTTGGACGGCCACGAGTCTTTTGGGGGGTTCCTAAGGTCTGGCGCGTTGGAAGGGAACTAACTCTAATGAACGGTGGTCATTTTTAATTAAATTAAATCAAGGAAGGAAGCCCAGCTGGTTATCATCCATCCAGACTGCTTTGATCTGCTGCTGTATGTCATTTGCGATAGGTATAGCTGTAGTGTAGTTTTTATAGCCTATAATCGCGAAGATACAGTATTGAGCAGTGTACGGAGTAGGTTGGTTTGTTGATGACAAATAGATAAGTAGTAGTTAACTAACTAGCCGATCTGCAAGGCCCCCAAGCTCTAGCCAATCAACGCTAATGGCGCGATGACCCATGTCCCTCTCCGTAATTCAAGCATTTAACTAAAGCAGTTAAGCTGGTCAAACTAGCAACAAACGACGACAAAGGCGGGGTTGGAAGAGCTAAGGTAGCTGCTGCTCTCAACGTCTATTATTTAATTATTAATTATTAAATTTGTTTAATGAAGGCTTCCCTGTTCTGTTCCCATGGAAGCTGTCTCAACTACCTTTGAATAAATGAAAATCAATCAATCAATCAATTCCTAACCATTATTAAACCCGTTTTCTTGACAGAAATGACCATGGCAGCAGCAGCAGCAGCAGGATTTCTTCCCTCCTTGGCTGCTTTCTTTCCACCGACCCCGGAAGCATACGCCTTTCAGCTCCGCATTTTCCAGTATTTTCCTCTGGTGGGTAACAGAAACAGCAGTACTGTACAGTACAATACATTGCAATTGCGTGCTGACCCATTGTCATCTCTCTAGGTCACCATCTCCCAATGGTTCTCTTCTTACCATCCCGCAGGGAAAACCTCCCTGCCGCGGGATCGCTTCAACATTCCCGGCCGCGTGGCCTGGTGTCTGATGGAACTCGTGGGCCCAGTCCAGCTGGTGTATATCCTGGCTCGGCTGCCGCAGCAGCAACCTAATATTGTTTCCCTCTCTTCCCTGCCGCTATGGAACAAGATCGCCGCCGCCCTGTACGTGGTCCACTACTTCAACCGCGCCGTCGTCAACCCGCTCTTCGTCGCGCCTAGCATCTCCCCCGTTCGCGCGGACGTCTTCCTGTTTGCTGCGTTCTTCAACTGGTTGAATTCGGCTTGTTTGGGCGCGTGGCTTGTCGGATATCGTGCCAATGTCGAGGGCTTCAACACCGTCCCCGTCCCGTCATCCTCCTCAGAGCTCGGCCCGGTCCAGCGCATCCTGCCGTACGTCGGCCTGGCGATCTTCACGATTGGGATGGTAGGCAACATCCTCTCAGAGAGGACACTCTGGCGTCTTCGACGCGAGGAAGCGCACCGTCGTGCTGCTGCCGCTGCCGAAAAAGACAAGAAAGAGACAACGACAACAACGACAACGACAAAAAAGAACCCCTACTCCAAAGTCTACGTCATTCCACCACCCAAGGGCCTCTTCCGCTGGATCCTCTACCCTCACTACGCCCTCGAATGGCTCGAATGGTTCGGCTTCGTGCTCATCGGCACGGCCGCAACCACAACAACTACCACTACTACTACTCCACCCATCAAGCTAGCACCCTGGCTTATCCCCTTCGCCAAGCTGGCAGAAAAGCTGCACCTCCCACTGCCCCTGCCGGCCCTCGTCTTTGTCCTCAATATCATATCTACCATGTTGCCGCAGGCTCGGCGGGGGAGGAAGTGGTATGCGGAGAAATTCGGCAAGGAGGCTGTTGCGGGTCGGTCGGCGACGATTCCTGGGATTTCTTTCCTCTGAGGGATTTCTTTCCTCTGAGTAATAAATAAATGAAGACGATGAGTACTGTACTGTAGTTCCTTTAAGCTGGAGCTGAATTAACAATATTTGATGAGATGGGTTATTAATTTTCTTTTTACTCCCCGTATGTACTGTACGAACTGTCTATTTATTTAATGTTTCTTTCGTGTTTGTGGAGTATTGCTGCTCTGGATAACTGCTTCTGGGAAGGGGAATTGAGTTCTATTATCTCATAGCTCCCCTATCCTATGCAGACCCTTTTTCGGGTCACATGCTGGAATGAAGGCGCTGTTGAGACACCTTCAACAATCAATCGAGTCCCACTGAACCCGACATTAAATATTGTTGAAAAACAATCTTATAATGACAGCAAGAAAAAAAAAATGCTTCCACTCCGCAACCCATAAATGTCTTCCCATAACCACAGCCGAAAACCTGAACTATTGAACAGAACACGGAAATCTCGCCAACGCCGATGTTGAAATCGTAGGTAGTCTACGCACCCTTTCCCACAACCCTCTAATGAAAACCCCTCATGACCTGTATGTTGAAACTTTTGGGTATGTTGAACTTTTGGTATCATCATCATCATAACTCATCACACGCACAGAGCAACCTATCTGCTCCGTGATCTCGAAAGAAACGACGCGTTGAAGTCGTCGGTTCAATGCAAAAACAAAAGGAAAAGAAAACATCATGTTTTTGCTTTTTATTTGGAGTACTGCTGGCGGTAGTACTTGGCAGCGTTCACCATGTTGGTGAGAGATGCCTTGGTCTCTGGCCACTGACGGGTCTTCAGACCGCAGTCAGGGTCAATCCAGAGCTGGTCAGGCCGGAGATACTGAAGCATCTCGGCAATGCGGTCCTTGATCTCCTGCTCACTCGGCACACGAGGAGAGTGGATGTCGTAGACACCTGGGCCAATGTGGCGAGGGTAGGCCTCGTCAACAAAGACCTTGAGGAGCTTCGCGTCCGACTTGCTGTTCTCAATGCTCAGAACATCAGCGTCCAGCGCGGCGATCGCGTGGAAGAAGTCCTGGAACTCAGAGTAACAGAAGTGGGAGTGGATCTGAGTGCCATCGGCAACACCCGCCGTGGCAAGACGGAACGCCTTGGTTGCCCAGTTGAGGTAGTCATCACGCTCCTTGCCAGCACGGAGCGGCAGACCCTCACGCAGGGCAGGCTCGTCGACCTGGATGACGTTGATACCAGCAGCCTCAAGGTCCAAAACCTCGTCACGGAGGGCAAGGGCAAGCTGCTGAGCCTGTACGGATTGGTGAACGTCGTCACGAGGGAAGGACCAGCGAAGGCAAGTGATAGGTCCAGTGAGCATGCCCTTCATGGGCTTCTTCGTAATCGACGCAGCGTACTTGGACTCCTTGACCGTCATTGGGCCAGGGCGGGAAATATCTCCGACGATGATCGGAGGGCGCACGCAACGAGAGCCGTAGCTCTGCACCCAGGCGTTGGTGGTGAAGACAAACCCAGTAAGCTTCTCGCCGAAATACTGGACCATGTCGTTACGCTCCGGCTCACCGTGGACCAAGACGTCCAAGCCCAGCTCCTCCTGGATCTTGACGACCTCCTGGATCTCCTTCTCGATGAACTTCTCATACTCTTCCTGGGTGATTTCGCCCTTGGTGAACTTGTTACGCTGGATACGGATCTCCTTGGTCTGAGGGAAAGATCCGATCGTGGTGGTAGGGAACAGGGGGAGGTTGAGGGTCTTCTGCTGGGCAGCAATGCGAACAGGGAAAGGAGACTTGCGGTTGTGCATCTCCTCCGTGACGGCGGCCTGCCTCTCCCTGACCTTCTGGTCATTGGTTCTCTTGGACGAGGCACGAGACTGAATCGACTTGGCATTGGCCTCGAGCTGTTCCCGCACCGAATCGGGTCCGTCGGTGACCGCCTTCGCGATCACGACCACTTCGCTGGTCTTCTCGACGGCGAAGCTGAACCAATCCCTGACCTCAGGGTCGAGGTTCTTCTCGCTCTCGAGAGTGTGAGGTGTGTGAAGGAGGGAGCTGGAAGTAGCGACGATGACTCGGTCCTTGCCAAGCTTCTGGATGGCCTTCTCGACTCTCTCGATGGCAACCTTGAAGTTGGTCTTCCAGATGTTACGACCGTCGACAACACCGGCAGAAAGAACCTGGTTAGGACCCAGGGCAGCGATAACGGTGTCAAGCTGCTCGGGGCTTCGGACAAGGTCAATGTGAATGCCGTGGAGGGAATGCAGAGCAGGGAGGACGTCGATGTTGTGGACAATGTCGCCGAAGTAGGTGGCCAGGATGATGCGAGGGGCCTTGCTTCCCAGAGAACCCAGTTTCTCGTAGGCGGGCTTGAAAGCAGCCTTGGACTTGGCGGGCAAGTCGAAGACCAGAACAGGCTCATCGATCTGGACATCCTCGGCGCCAGCCTCCTTCAGCTTGGTAAGGAGTTCAACATAGAGAGGAAGGAGCTTGTCAAGGTGGTCAATAGGAGCAGTGGTCTGGCCACGGTCGGCCTTGCCCAGGGTCAAGAACGACACAGGTCCAAGGATGACAGGGCGGGTAATGATACCAGCCTCCTTGGCCTCGAGGAACTCAACAACGGGCTTGGGTTCGGCCGCCAGCTTGAACTCCTGGTTGTCCTGGAGAGTGGGCTTGACATAGTGGTAGTTCGAGTCAAACCATTTCACCATCTCCTGTAAGCGCAACTTGTTAGCCACTTCATCCGCGTGTGACAGGGAATCACCATCCATCATACCAGACTGGGAACATCAATTGCAGGCTGACCATCCTTGGCGGGCTTCTGCAGACCACGGCCCAGGGCAAAGTACTCATCAAGGGGGTGGAGGTTGTATTTCCTGTACCTCTCCGGGACGACCTGTTGGAGACTCGATTAGCGTCGGTCCGACCAGATAAGTGGGGGAGGTCACCTACGCCGAAGAGCTGGATGTGGTCCAGGACTTGGTCGTAGAAGGCAAAGTCATTGCTGGGAATGATGTCGACGCCAGCATTCTTCTGGATCTGCCAGTGCTCCAGACGCAGCCTCTTCCCCTCCTTCAGAAGCTCCTCGCGAGAGATCTTCTCCGACCAGTATGCCTCCGTGGCCTTCTTGAGCTCACGGTTCTTCCCCATACGGGGGAAACCCAGAACGGAGCTAGGGAGGGCAGTCAGCCTCGTACAGAACGACCAATTCGAGGGCGAATATGGAAGTAACTCACGATTGAACCATTCTGGCAAGTCTTCCCTGTGTGACGAATCTAGAGTTATGGAGAGAGTGGGTTTGTTCACAAATTGAGAGACAGAAAGGGAACAGAGGCCTCAATCTGCCAATGACGGGCAGTGGTGGGCTTGAAGGAGGGAAGACAGGGTTGAGAAGGAGAGAAGAAAAGAAAATGGAGGGGAAAGGACGAGCGGAGGGAGAAAAAGTCGGTGGGAGCGGGAGGGGATGGCGCCATGGAGGGGCTGTTGAGGTGAGCTGGCCCCTGCGACGGTTGTGTCCCGCTGTGATAGGACGGCGCTTCCACTTCTCCGGGGAAGCTGCCAGCGCGGTGACCGAGAGAGGGAAGTCGCTCGCGCGGTTGCTCCTGCCATTCGTTGCGGGGTTCTCAGCCCCGGCATGACGCGATCGTCGAGCGGAGCCTTAGGCAATCGAGATGCCTGGATACGGAGCGTTCCGTATGGAGTAAGAATGCTTACAGACTGTCTCAAGCTTCTAAGAGAGGACGTTACATAACAGGCTGACAGCAAATTTGATCTTTCTCAGGACTATAACGGTCTGCACATCTAGCCCAGTGTCGAGGCGGTAGAAATAGTGCTGATGCATGACTCCGTATTACATTATCTGTTGAAACATCAACCAATCAGCGACTCGGATGATACGCTTCAAGTATTTTTCTTTTATTGAGGTTACATCTAGCACTAAATCCTCATCAAGCGATATAATCCATGTTTACATACCCCGTTAATTTAATATTGGCAATTTGGTATCAGCTACCACAGATAACTACCTCTATAGTCTGTAGCCTTAATCTCCTTGTACCTAAAATTTCCAAATATTCACTCCAAATCCTGCAATGACACCTGATGATTCAGTAATTGGTTCATCGTCCAAGTCTGCCCTTTCAATACCCCCCAAACCACCTAGGTAGCTAGTATAGATGTTAGTTTGTTTATGATAGCAGATATAGAGAACTTACGTCTGGGCCGAAGTCCAGTCAAAGAGTACATTCTCTGATGAAGGGTAGATAAATATCCATCCTCGAGTACGCATCCTCCTGCCAATTTTCGTTAATCCATTCAGATCTTGGGATAATATAAAATGATCTTAGCTCACTCAAGAATATCTGTCAACTGTGACTTGATAAGACGTTGCTCACTTGATGTCAAGTCATCCATCCCTGGTGCAATAGAACCAGGCATTTTGGACACGGCAATGACATGTAGATAGCCTCCTGGGTAAATGTATTCCCTATTCTGGTCGAGTGATTCCGATCCAAAATATTCTGGTGTATAAGGATGATTACGGTCGTAACATTCTCTTAGAGCCTGACATTCCAAGTTGAATGCACGTGTTGCCATTTCAATGGTAATTGTCTGTTCGCTAACATCATCATCGGGATTCGGAAACATCCTATAATGAACAATCAGTAAATACATAAAATTGGTTAGAAGGAACTTACTGTATGTAAAGCTTGATAATTGCCTCTCAACCCGTATTAATGTTGCGAGCCTCAAAGATAGCTTTGCGCTCATTAGCCCCAACCAGGATTCTCTCAGCCATAAGGCGAGTAAGTGTGAACGGAGAAGAATTAACCGTAATGACAGTCCCCTCCATCTTTTTTAAGGTTATTCCATCAGGAAATGAGTTCTCCATTGTGAATCGAATCTGGATATGAAGGGATCAAGAGGATGGATGCCTAGAATGTGCGGTAAGACCGTGGATACCTTGAGACTCGAGCAGAGGTGCTCAGTTCCATGGCAGAGCCCTGTTCTGGTCTCAGAGAAGCCTGGCAGAGATTATTATTATTCCAGGGTAGGTAATGACGAGGTCAATGGTGAAAGGGGAAAGCCGCATGGTCTTCTGACAGTTCTGTGCCTTCCATCTTTGGAAACTTCCATGATGGCTGCCTTCTCCCAAAGTGAGAGGATGCCTGAGTGCCCTCTTCAGTCTGTTTTTATACATCCAAATGTTACGACAACATTTGCCTCTTACTCCAGACACCTTCTCTATCTACACCGTTCTACTTGATCGCTTGATTCCCAGACTTGCATCTGCAAAGCTTCAATATGGGTCTCTTAAGAGTTCGTTTCCCTGGCAAAGGCGACAAGACAAAAGCCATCTCCGGCAAAACTGTCCACGCAACTCCCGAATTTTCGGCCGTCAAAGATGCCCGAAAGGGCACATCGCAGTGGAAGGACCAAGATGCTGATATCGAGATGGAGGATCTCTTCCAAAAAGCAGTGATCTCCGGAAGACACGCTCCCGCGATCGGTTTTGATAGGGTCTCGTCGAAGCAAGACTCCTCTATGCTGAAGAAGTTTATGAGGTGCAAGGGACATCAACATCCCTTGGATGAATTCTCCGACAAGATCCGCCGAAATCTTCACCGAGAATCGACGATTCCGACAGTTACATCTAAAGAATGCAATGGCGAGATTGGCTGGTTTGCGACTCCTGATCTTGTGAGCGAAAGAGGATACGACAGCGATGCTCAGTTCATTTCCACTCCTATGGTGTCTGATCGGAGTCCTGGGTCAGCCCGTACGACTAATTTACTGGAGCCAATAACTGGCTCGAATCGGTCCGACGTGTACGATCAATCTTCGACTAAAACAGCTGGAAAACATGAGATACTTTTTTCGGCCACTGCGGGCATCCAGTCTCGTGTAGAGGAGAGAATGGACTGCGCGACTCAGACATCAGTTTACGAAAGTGAGACGAGTAATAACCCATCTACACCCCAGCGTTCATACTCTTTGGTAGTCACCAAAAGACGAAACGCTAGAGGCCGTCAATCCCCGAATGTTCATCCTCGCTCTTTTTGTGCAGCTGATACCATTCAGGAGTATGCGAAAGGGTTCGTTGTTCAGAGGAACACTACAACGCAAAGCAAGTTCACGGAGAGATTCGAACTCTGCAATTTAGCAAGTTCTGTACATCTCCGTGACCCGAACGCCGGCAATTCTCGGAAAGTCAGTGTTGCATGGATGTCGGATGGCCGTCGGTTTGGCTATGGGTACTCTTTCGTTCACAACGATGAAGATGGCGCCACGACGCATGGCGTGAATTCCATGGCAGAGAGTGAGCCAGGAACCGCACCCAAGAATTGCAACCAAGACACAACTTCGGCTGGACAACAAGACTTAAATCAGGGGCCAAAAAACGGAAGGTATTTGAGCAACTCGGTGAATCTCAAAGCCCACAGCCAAGCGAGGGTGGTGAGGCTTTGGGTGATCGGAACGGCAGATTCTCCCTTTGGTACAGGTTCCCAAGCCATACAAGAGCCGACAGAAACGGATCGGCAACTTTCAACGACGACGTGATTGTTCGCAATTTCTATGCGGGCGCTTCACCGAAAACAGATACCTGCGATGCGGAAAAGAAGAAAGCTCAGCCTGCCACCAAACAGAAAGATCGGAATTCCATCCGTCAATGGGCCAAGCCAAGTGGCCTGCAAGGGATCGAGGTGCTGAGGTATCGTGCGGGTCTGACCGTAGACGCAGCTCGCTCTCGCGTATCAAAACTTCCAGAACTCGAGATCTTCCCGTTTTGGTCACATGCCCATAAAGAGGAATCAGGAGATCACGAAAAGGAAGACAAGCGGGCGAGAAAGTGAAGCAAAGGATTTGGTGGGCATCAGGACGACATGATGAAGACAGGTTCACAGCACGAATCCACCAAGGAGAATTTTCCTGGGGTTAGAGGGAATTCAGGACTCATCCCAGAGTCCGAATAGGAAGAAACAAGGAACAACCAGTAGTCTTTTAGTGCTCAAAACAAATCAGATATTTACCAGAAACGCAAGGCGTGTCAGAGAACATTGCTCTGCGATCACTGTGAACATTGTCAGGGACTAAACTATTCAACATGCAGCATCAGCAATAAGAATAGGGCAACAAAAATTCTCATAGCAGCATTTACCAAGTGAACGGTTCTTTCTTCGTTTCTTCGATAGCATAACATGAGTGCGTTCAAAGGTGCAACAGGTGGATGGATCATTAATTAATTAATTAAGACGAGTGATTCCCCAGCGCCATTGAGCATGCAGTGCAAGGAGATATATAGAAGAAGAGGGGAAAGATAATTGGCTACGAGGAGGGAAAAAAAAAGGATTCTATTAATTCTTGGAAAGAAAGAATAAGTAAAAAAAAAAGACTATGACTGGATATAACCATGCATCTTTAGAAACGAAAGAAAGCTTGGTCTATTCCTATGTCCCCCAGTGCTATAGTAGTAGACCCATATGTATCACACGTCTTGTCAATACGATTACTACTTACTACTGTATTACTGTATGTGGTAATTATTTCAGCGGAGGTGACCTGATCTGATGGGTTCCATGGCTATATTTTCTCTCGAATTTTGCTTCATTACTCTATCATGACGATCCATCCATCCAGCTATTCTATTTACCTATCTATGTCGTCGGGTATCTAGACATGTCTATTTCCGCTGTCTCTTGGCGCTCTTGTCGCTGACGGTGCTAAGGACGCTTGCTGAACGCTTGTGTGATGATGATGAGGAGGAGTCTTTGTCCTTATCCTTGTCCTCAGTGGTTGAGGGAGCAGCCGCTTCAGCGCCCGTATCATCCTCCGGTTCAGGATCGACCTCTTCCCCCGGAGCGTCTTCAGCGGAATCGCCAGCAGCAGCATTGTCATCGGGTTGTTTCTCATCGGATACAGGGTTTGTGGTAGAAGCATTGTCCGAAGGTTTAGAGTGATCCTCTTGGGATCCGCCGGTCGGAGCAGAAGGCTGCTCTTCTGATTCCACCTTTATTTGCGTCCCATCTTTCTCCTTGGCCGCCTGTGCTGCTTCTCTTTCTCTGCGCAGTCTCTCCTCCCTGGCGGCTTCGAGTACTCGAATCTCGCTTTCCACCTTTTCGGCAACCTTTCTCGCATCCAGCAGCAGATTCACAGAGTGTATCAGTTTCTCAAACTCCTTGCACACACGCTCCGTCGGCATGACTAAGCGCAGAGGAACTTCGAGCTCTGTCAGAGCGGCTGCCAGCTTCTGTGTCTGAATGTTCGATTTGGCTTGCGTCAGTTTCTGCGCTCTGTCATTCCGGAACTGAACGCCTGGCGTGAGACGGTCATGGTGCTGGACACCGTATTTGGCTTCTTCAGCTGGCGTCAACGTCTTGACGGCTTGCTGGGCGGCAGTGCTAGCAGCTGCGGCGGCAGCAGCTGCCTTCTTGGTAGATGCCGAAGGAGCAGGACCCGAAGGCGTCTCGGCTCGGCTGTCACGAGCGCCGCTCGGTGCATTCTGAGTAGGAGTCTGTCCTGCTGGACTGGCGGCTGCATTCTCAGCGCCAAGTATCGAGCGCCGCTTCTTGCTTTTATCTGCTTGAAGGAGGGTCTGAAGAAGCTGTGACAGGCCCTGGCTAGACTGATACATGGTCGTGTTGCCCACACTGATGGGTACTTCGAGTCTTGCATAGAGCTCTTTGCGTTCAGTAATAAAATTCTGCTCGTTGGCGACAATGCGCTTGAGCTCCTCAAGAAGGACACCTTCCTCGCGCACTTCGTCTGCGGTACGATTGAGCTGCAAGGCAGCCAGCTCTTTACGAACCCTCTCTCGTTCTGGGTCGTACTTCATCATCTTCTCATGCAGTTCGAATTCAGCTTCAGACATTTCTGACGGAGGATGTTCCAAAGCAAGCATTGTCGCCGCCACCTTATAGTAACGGGCCTTCATTTGCTCCATCGTTCTGTATCGCTTTGCCGGTACAAGCGCCGTGGCGTCCGCCTCACTATTCTCGGATGCTCGCGGTTGATAATCATAACGATCGGCTATCACAACCCATCTCAGGTCATATTCTTCGACCAGATCCATGAGATAGTCCGTTTCCTCCCGCGTCCAATCATCGCTTTTTAGATGCCGGTTGTATTCCTCGTCGGTGTATCTTCGCGGCAGCTGCGGCTTGATATTATATTTGGCAAAAGGGTACTCTTGCTCGGCGACCTTTGGCGCTTCCCCTTCTGGCTTTTGATCGACATCCATAGCTGTATCATCGGGTGGCGGAGGTTTAGCAGTGTCCTGCTGTCGTTGCCAATGGCGAAGGACGAGGCCATCTGTCCGCGCAGGATTCGTAAACGGCGTCATTCGCCTGGGATCAAAATGTTAATATCAGCCTTGTTAATTAATACCTATAATAGGTCTCAACGTACCATGGACGGACTCTCATTTTGCTCATCCATTTTGGCCGGCCTTTGTATTTGTTCTCGGTGATCGCGATCGGAGGCGCTCTTTCGCCGAGTAACGCGTACAGTTCTCGTGTGACACCCTCTGACAAGTCGTCAGGACAAATTCCCAAGAAGAAAGGTTCAAATAGACTCACCTGGCCTCTTTTCGACTACCTTTTGCTTTTTATGAGGTCGAGGTTGCCCATCGGCGGGCAAATCCAGCATGTCACGGACATCCGCGGCGGCCATGGTGGCGAGTCGCGACCGCGACGGCAGGACAGTGAGACTGGAACCGAACGTGAACCTCGCAACTCAAGAAAAGTAACTGTTGTTAGAAAACTCGAGTCGCCGTTCCTTTCTGATGGAGGCGAGTCGAGAGGTGGTGGTGAAGTGATGGGTCGAGATGGTTGGAAGGGTCGGAATGCGGCTTGAAACTGCAGCGCTCGCGCCAAGCCTTCAAGTCCGACCAACTGGGAAGTTCGTTGTTGCGGCCAACTTGACAGAACGGAACACCTTCGCTGCTGCTCCGCGCACACTTTCTTCGACCTCCCCTACGAAGCAGAACAGGATATCCTGTTGAATCATATATTTCAACAGATAGCTGTTCTCTTGGTCAAAAATATACAGCCATGGCTCCCTCAAGGTCGAGTCCGTCATGGCTGTTGATGGCCTTCACGATCCTCACCGTCCTGTCAGCTCAGGCACGCGCCCTCCATTTCTATATAGAAGGGCGACAACAAAAGTGTTTCTATGAGGAATTGCCCAAGGACACTCTTGTTGTTGGTATGTCGTCACCTTCTTTTTGCATCTATCGTCTCCCTGGCGACTTGTTCTGATTACTTTACAGGGCACTACAAAGCAGAGGTCTTGAATCCACAAACAAATACCTATGTCGCCGACCAGTCCTTAAATATGTACCTCACCGTCGATGAGACATTTGACACGCACCACCGTGTCGTTTCGCAGCGTACCCCACAGTCTGGGCGTTTCACCTTCACGGCCGCGGACGCTGGCCAGCACAAGATCTGTTTCATCCCGGACGTTCAGGGAGGCTGGATGTCTGGTGGACCAAGAGTGAAGCTGACCTTGGATATTGCTATTGGCGCGACGAGCAAGATCGAGAGCGAGGACCAGGGCAAGATGGCCGATATTGTGCAGAGAGTCAAGGATCTGAACAGCCGCTTGCAGGACATTCGCCGTGAGCAGGTCTTCCAACGGGTATATCGCTCTCTTGTCGTGCATCTATCTTGCCTGAGTTTGGATTGTATTGGATTATGGACTGACCGAGTCATTCACCTCTTTAGGAACGGGAAGCCGAGTTCCGTGATCAGTCCGAGGCCACCAACTCCCGTGTCGTCCGTTGGACTCTGATTCAGATTGCAGTCCTCTCTGTCACTTGTGCCTGGCAGCTGTCGCATCTCCGTTCATTCTTCATCAAGCAGAAGTTGACTTGAACATCGATAAGAGCTTCCAGCAATGGGTTTCGGTTTGGAGCTTTGTGTTTTCGCTTGAAGGACATGATTAGATCTGGATACCACTCTGCACCAGACACATATTCAATCAATGCCTTGCTTGGTCTGTTTGCTTCGGGACGAGTGAGGAGTGGTATTTATGTACACGTCATCTCGGTATTCGCACACTGCAAGGCGCGCAAGGTATTGAGTGGATGATGATATTGAGCAATGGATGTAATGATATCAGGTTCGCTTCGTGCATGTTTTTATCCGGCTTGCTAATACTTTCAGTATTTTATTCTGGGCAAAAGCCAAGACGAAATCAACGGCATACTTATAGTAATAGTAAGGTACTTAGCACATACTCTTTATCGACTGCAGCAATTTTCTCAATGCTGCACCATACCCTGTACAATGATCATCTATCCAACCGGGTACTGATATTAGCGACTATTAATAGATACCACGACACAACATATTGCGGGAAAAAAAAACAGAAGAGAAATTAATCCGAAGACAATAGTGGAAGGAAAGAGAAGAGAGACTACCTAGATATATACTCACACTAACAGGTATATACCTAGATACCCAGTTCTCTTCTTCTCGGTAATGTTTACTCTCCAACTCGAGGACTGCAATCTCCAATGAGAACAGTAGCAATGATAAGATAACAGCATACAGTATGTATGCACCCAGGTACGTAACATGAGTCATCCTCCCAGTTAATTATTCTACTGCATGCATAGTAGAGAAGTATGTACTGTACATGCATTAGTTATACTGTTGCTGTACATAGGCAAACCAACACTGTTCCCATTGTTTTTCTTTCTTTTGAAATGGAAAGTGATTATCATTGCTGCTGTTCTTTTTTTTTTCTGTTCTTAGCCTCAAATCTTACTTGCATACATACAGCTGGTAAAGATTGCTTTGCTGATGAGAATTGGACATTGATACTGACCTTAATGTCAAATTCAATGTTGAAATGCTACACCTTACGCATTTACTTACCAGGATATAATCAAACGAACAGAGGGGGCAGTAAAATAATAAAAAAAAGAAACAAAATCCAGGCTTGTTAACAAATAAATTACGTCCTCTTTCTTCCCTTTCTTTTTTTTTTTAACTTTTGCCTTTTTTTTTATTTTCTCACCCTTCCTTCTGCCAGGATAGTACTTAGTAACTACTATTCCTACGGTCTACCTACTAACATACGAAACTCGAGATTTACAGATACAACTTTACCAGATCAAAAAGCAGTAGGTGGTTCCCTCTGTCTGTACAGTATGTATGCTACTGGTCTGCTAGATAGATAGATAGATAGATAGCTAACCAGAACGAGCAACGAATTTCCCGATTGGATGCATGATGATGATGATGATGATGATGATGGATGCTTGAAGCTGGCTAGGTACCTAGTAGTAGTGACGTAGGGTACCTGTCAGATGTAATCGATTAGTTAATTGATATTAGAATTGAATTGGTAGTTAGCTACTGTGCATATCTATGAGAGCTCGCTCTGGGTTTCCACGCAAGGACTAGTAGTCGTCAGTCATCTATTATTGCATACAGCGCATTATAATCATTCATGGCTACTTTGTACAGGCTACCCATGTACTCCATAATCACTACAAATTGGAACTGTGCGCACAGATCCAGTGACTCCAGCTCCCGTCCAGACAGTACAGTATATCCTGGCTAATGTTATGGATCCCATGGAGAAAGACATTGTCGAGACTTATTTCGACTGTCGCGACTGTCGCTATGGAGAGCGAAAAAAAAAAGCATTGTCTAGAACGCTTCGGATGGCTACAACCTCAGAAAACCCCTCACAAGCTGGCGAATGAATCGTTCCATGTTACATCACACTCCGATCTCGCTTTGAGCGTGTTGGAGGGGGAGAGAGAGCCGAGAGGGAGGGGTTGGGTTTCTACTACTGGATAGGGCAATTCCTAGAGAGCCGGGTGGGTGGACAGGATCTTCATTGAACCAACCTTATGGCAGAGGAGGTATGTACAGTTCCTTTGACTCGGCGAATGGATGTCTGTCGTCGACATAGGACGGACGAAGAAAAATAGAGAATATTAGAGAAGAACATGTCTTACTTGCCACAGCAAGAATTAGTGACGATATGTCCTCACTTCGGTACCGAGGGAACTACCATCAGAGGATGATGGATAGTGATGCCAATCCCAATAATAATCACAACTGCAGCAATAATAGCAACAACAATGGCAATGATCTCGTAATTGAATGAATAAATAACATGATCTCCCTCTCTCTCTCTCTGTCTTTTTGTGCGGTTGGAACTTGGAAGCGAACGTTGAACCTTGAGACAAAAACCTGTGACTACCCGACCCATGGAACGAGGCGGAACAGCGGGATGCTAAAAGCAGACGGAGCAGCTGATTGCGCAGGTGTCGGGAAACAAGCGTCGAGTCTGTTTTACCGAGCCGTGCGCCATTATCCGCAGTTGGCAACCGGACTGATCAGTGAGCTTTTTAGACGTTTCCAAAGGTGTGGATAGATAGGTACGGGGCAGTGGATGCTGGGTGGGTGGATGGGCACTGAGCCAGCCGGCGAGGTCAGTTGCCATGTGGAACTGACGTTATCCGTCCATCCATCATCCATTGGCTATCCATCGTTTAGGTAAAAGCTTTTGTTGAAAACAAAAAGAAAAAGAATGGAAATGGAAAGTGTCCGGTGGAACACGGTTTCAAGGATCCTCTTGCCTGCCTTTTACTTCCTATAGTATTTCGTCCGTGCCCACTGTCGCGTGACTTGCTTTCCAGCAGAGGGATTTTTGGAAGATGGGATGGAGGGGCCAGAAAGAAACATTTCTCCCAATTCCTGACTTTGTCTTCAGCTGTAGGCTGGCAGTCTTGTAGGAATTGGTGGGGGCGATGAGTCCAACAGTACTGTACAATGTACAGTACCTGGATGATGACTGTTCAGAACAACCAATAGAATTATATAGAATTCTGTACTCGGATGCTCTGTGATGCTGGATCTGACAGGTTTGCCCAGTGCTGGTTGATTATGTCAGTTGATCAGTCACGGGCCTGTCAATATTAATAATCATTGGGCAAGAAGCGATATGTCATGCTATCTGCCTACAAGGTACAAGTGCCAACACGTGGCAAGCAGTGACATAATTCCTGCCAAGAACTGTGTGAATCATTCCGATCGACCCTCCCTGTCGTGCACGGATCTTTTGCCGATTCTGGACAGGCTTCAAGCTTGTCCCAGCCCTGGCAGTAAATTTGGAATACTCTGTGTTACTATGCACAAACAGGCCAGAAAAAGAAAAGAAAGTGTTGGTAGAATCACAACCAGTGTTGCGGGGCGGCTACCTGACTGGACATGTCTTTGCGATCAACAAAGTCGAATGTGATGCAGCGTATTCCGTACTACTGCTACCACGGAATTGTTTTGGGCGCGCCGTACAACTATACTCTTGTGTCTATGTCAATGACTGTGTGTCGATCGGCACTCGGTGTGTATGACTTAAGAGCTGTCTGCCAGACTCATTAGGCTGGCATCGTGACGAGAGTTGATAGGTCCTCGGGGTGGCTGGAAATTCGCCAGCAGTTGCCAGCATCGCGATCGCCAGCCGCCCGACACACGAGGGGCCTGGCGAGTCGGACGCTCTCCCGCGACGAATTTCTGCCATTTCGCCCGAAAGGATTGCTGTGAGTGGTGGCGGGGAACGGCAGCAAAGTCTGCCCTTGCAGGAAGGCGCCAGCTGGCCGGCCACTAACGGGGAAGTTGCGCTCGGAGCCCAACAGTTAGTCAGTCACGGCGAGGCAGGAACGAGATCTGACTCGCAATGGCGAATTGTACCAGTCACCGCCGCGCTTTGACAGCAACATGGACATGGTCACCAGGATTTTCGCGCGTCGACTGCGCTGCCAGGTTGAATACCAGCAACGAGAGCAGGGTGTTGGAGCCGATGCCGATGGGGGATCTGGTGGGGAAGGAAGAAGGAGACAATGGGAGTGGTCCAACCATCTCCGTTTCCATGGGTGTGTCCCGTCCGACTCTGAGGGGATTCTGCAGACTCCCAGGCATGATATGGAGTACTCCGAGCCTGAGCGGATTCCCTGGTCGCTGAAGAACCCAAAGCTCGTTAGGTAACCGAAAGTTCTTCCCGGCTCGCCTCCTTCACCATACTGCGTATCCGTGACGCCAGCGATGATGTGATAGAACCATTTCTGCTTCTCTGCAAAAATGACAGATCGATCGATCGTATCGATAATCTCGAGAGGTCCCACGCTGGCGGTGATACGGAGGGGGCGGCGATGGATTAGTCACGTCTGGGTCCGAACGGAGGAGCGCGTTCGCCGGATCCTGGCGGACGGCGACGTTCTTCGGGCTGGGAACCGGCTGTTTGGCTGCGGCCAGCCACTCTCATTGGCCGGTGGCGCAGAAAAACAAAACAAAAAAAGTCAAAGAGGAAAAAAAAGTAAAGTAAAATACGGTTCTGGAGCTTCTATCCCGGCGTCTGGGAGCACATGGACCGTGGCACCAGGCTGTGTCAAACTTGTCAAACGCAGTGCCGACAAATGTCCGAGCAGCAAAAACATCCCGTCTCGCGCTGAACCAGCTCGACGGACTTGCTCTCTGTGTGTTTCTGTGACAGGAATTACATCAGATCCAAGCGGACGAGCTGGCTGCTCTTGGAGCGGTTTCGGATGGCCTCTGCTATCGCCAGCGCTGAGCTGTAGCCTGTGAGCCGCCCACGTCGCACGCGCTGCGGGGAAAGCGTCGCTGCTCCAAATACGGCAACGCCTCCCGCCGCCCACGCCTCTGACTGCTGGCATCGCCCTCCAGCTCCAGTCCTTGCCACGACTCTGTCCGGAGGATCTGCTTCTTCAGTCATTTTCTCGCTGCTCTGCGTCGTCGATCAACCGTGGTCTTTGTTCGACGTCGTGTCCTTTGTTTTAAATCTTCGTCGAAAGCCCCCGTGATTTAGGCTCGTGACCGCGCTTGCAGATCTTCCAGGGCAGTAGCCAGCAAATCTCGGTGCTAAAAAGAAGCTTGCAGAGTTCGCTTCAGACTAGACGCTGGACAGCACACGCGCCTTTGTTTCTCTGGCTGTCACCGTTGCAAGCTCGCAGCCCAACGTGGTTCTTCCCTGCGCCTTACCCGGTGCCTCCATTGCATGTGGCTCGTCTGCTTTCCAACTTGTCCTCAGATTGCTGTCACCAGTCCTCGCGGCCCCCAAAGAGACCAATCGACTGCTCTCGACTCTTCTGACCGCATCCAACCTGGGAGATCCCTCTTCGCTGGCAGACTGCCACACCGCATTCCCTTGATCCAGTGGATTCACCGCTCCGTGTTGAGCCCTTTCCATTGCTGGTCAAGTCGCAGGCCGAGGATGTCTGAGGCCAATTCACTCTGAACAAAACCCGTCTGTCCCGCCGCTACGCACGCGCGTGTCTTTTGCCCACCATGTTGAAGCTCTCTCAACTGTTTGACGCAAAAGGTCGCAACAGCGCAGAGGCGAACGAGTCCTCCCACGCTCATCACCCATCACAATCTTCAGTCTCCGCCGATTCATCCTCCCAAATATCTCCCGTCGTATCGGTCTTCTCCTCCAGGGTTCATAGCAAATTCTCGAGCTCTGTTTCCTCTCTGATCTCCTCATCCGGCATGGGGAACTCCATGGAGGGCTCTGGTTTGCATAAAAAGCAACTACGAGAGGTGAAGGAAGAGCCCATCGAGCGCGGGAGCGATGAGATTGAGAGTGACTACTTTCGTAAGTTGCATGTCATCTTCCAAGATGATCGAATGAATTTACGCCTAATCTTCGATGCCCCCTCTAGAACACTTTGACCACTATTATCCTACCGAAACATACCACGATGAGACATATTCGTCAACTCTAGATTCCGACGGATATGATCTCACCGACAGGTACCTAGATATTGCCCAATCGCCAACAAAGAGACGGCGGTCGGGAAGTTTATCTTCAAGAATATCTTCAAGAGGGCTATCGCGAATCGGTACGCGCATCTCGACCATGTCAGCCAGGTGGCGATCCAAACATTCGTCACGCTCGTCTGATGTGGCGTATGTGGAGGAGGAGACAATGGGGGATGATCTTCGATCGCGCGCAAATTCGGCATCATCAACATTGAATCCGATTTCCAGGGTTGCTTCGATCTCCCAATCGATCTCCCAATCTCCAGTGAGAACCGCCCACGGGCCGCGAAGGAGCGATACCAGTGTGCTGCCAATAGATATTGAAAAGGCCAACCGTCCAAGCACGGATGACTCAGAGCCTCAAGCCAGCACGCCTTTGCTCCCACCTTTATTATCGGAACATTCGTCAGCTGCAGACGAGCCCGTCAATTCGCCGTTAGAGTCACCATCCGTCGCAGATGTGACTGAGGAAACTAGTCTTCCCGGCACTACCAGTGCATGCGCGAGCATACATCCCTCACCGCCTTTGTCTACCCAACCGTCGATGGCTTCTATGAAACGGCCACGAGCAAACACCGTGCGGACGGTGGCAGGTGACGGGGCACCACCCGTTGTCCTTACGGACCCAGATGATGAATGGGCTCATAAGCTGGGACATGCAAACTTCACCATTCAACCGGAGCCATATGTCCTCGAGACATATGATGCCGAGTCTTTTCGGCAATTCCGGAAAGACTGGGAACTGGCGCGCTGCAATTATGCAAAACACCTTGTTCGCACCGGCGAGCATTACGGAGTGACCTCCAAGATCTACCAGCTCACCCAAGAAAAGTGGCAGTCCATCGACAGTGAATGGAAGAGGAACTACGAATCGATGGTCGCCAACCTCGGGGTGTCTGAGGCGGCTGCGCTGGGTCTGACGACGTCGAATATCCATCCCAGCGACCCGGTCAAGATCCCACGTCTGCACGACAAGGACAAGTTTCCCGAGCTCGGTGATGAGGAGATTGTCGGTCCGATGTCCGTCGCACCAGCCATACATTCCCATCCTGGTAGCAAGTCCGGGAAAAAACGATCTTTCTTCAAATTCATCCAGGATCTTGTCACCAGGTCCTATCAGTCCCGAGTGGAAGCGACCCGGGCCTAACACTTGTCCCGCGTTCCGATCGAACGTTATCGATGTATTTTGTACAGTACCACATTGTGATCACTAGCTTTGTTTGAACCACCATAGAGGCTTGACGCCGCTAATTTCTTTACTTCACTTACATATTCTATTTTCATGTCTGTGATAATGACCTGTCATGACCTACGAATATCACGTTCCCTTGATGGATGAATTACGCTCCTTATACCCACATACCCACGCTCCTTAATGAAAGCTCATATTGGTGTATTGATTGTCTTGACGATCTATTATCTATCTACTTGTGACTGCTGTGCTGTCGTGTCAGTCCAGCCATCTCCCGACTTCTCTCCACTTCATCGCAGTCGACACTCGTGAAGAAGGCCCCCTGGCCTTTCCTGACAAGAATGAAGAAAGGAGAAGAGATGGTTCTGGCAACATTTATCTTCTATCTGTGATATATTTTTTTAACACCCTTTTGACTGTGTGTCTAAATAATATTGAAATACCCTGGGAAAGTCTCCCACTACTTTTTCTGTATCTGAATTTCGTTGTTTATAGACATTTTTTTTTCTCTCATTCTCACTGTCGAGTATCTATCTATTAGCGGAAGAACTGGCTGGCACAAAAAAAAAAGTGTTGTTATCTTGGGAGGTGAAGAAAAAAAAAAGGCAATGAAAGCAAAAAGGCGAAAAAAGAAAAAGGAAAAGGGGAAAAAAAGACAGAGAGAGAAAAGACAAAGGCCTGTGTATCCTAGGTAGGGTTATAAAAAAACTCTGTTCTGTAGAGTAGGATTAATGAAGTACCGTATGTACTACTGTACTGGACTGGACTGGACTGTACCTGCCTAGGCAGCTACATAGCTCTACTGTACTGTACATACGTACGGTATGTGGATGTTCATTCATGAACATGAACATGATGATTTCATTCAATTATATTATCCTCATAAGCATCTTATCTGTATTTCTGTACAGTACAGTACATGAGGTACTGTACATGCATATGATCCCGATCCTGAGCAAAATGTTTGCAAGTCACAAAGTCTCAATCAGCAGGCCACCGGACGTCCAGGTCAGATCAACAAACAAACAAATGGATATAGGAATACAAATACAAAGAAGAAGAAGAAGAAGAAGAAGAAGAAGAAGAAGACAGATATCCGGATAACGAACTTGTTAAGTAAAAGGGGGAAAAAAATTCTAGGTTTATTATTGATTGATATCACACCCAGAACTGGCACCACAACTTTTTCGCCTCCTCGTCACCGTCAAAGCGAAAGTCTACTCGGACAATGTCCTCAAAGCCCTCAGAGAGCTGGGGCTCGCGGAAGCGGCGCGCAAAGTCGGCAAAGGCCATGCCGGGAGGGGGCTGCGGGATTCGGGGTTCTGTCGATCGATGGGTTAGAATCATGGGGCAAGGGCAAACAAGCTGGATTTTCTTTTTTTTTTTCTGTTCTGTTCTTGCATGTGTAAACTTACCAGACTAGGGTTTGCGGCACGGACGGCATCGTTGTGTCTGCACAGTGCAGGCGGCGCGGTGAAGTAGACGCATCGAATTGGAACTTTGAGTTCCTTTGCGACCTCTGTCCAGTGTGCTCGGGTTTCGGGATCTGGATTCGTGTTGTCTAGGATGACATTCGTTAGTATTGTCTGGTCTCCCCATGTAGAATGGGAAATGACTCGACTTACCGACTGCAACCGAGGTGCCTTCAGCCAGATGCTCCTTTGCGACTTTGATGCATTTTTGTCGCTACATGAATTAATTAACTGGTCAGCCTGACGAGCCAGATTTTGACGGAACATGTTTCCATCCTAGTTAAACTGCATGACGAGTTGAAGCATTGAGGAAACACATGCATACCGTCTTAAGGATGTCCTGATTCACGCGCTCGTAACCTAGTGGCTTCAGGTGTTTCCAATAAAATGTCGATTTTCCTGCTCCGGGGCTGCCACAGAAAATTACCAGCTCGAGGGGATGTCGTTTTGAGAATGTGGGCGGTGCTGGAAAGCACGTGTCAGCACACTAAAGTTACCCTAATGGGGAATTGAAGGTAAAACATGTGACAGTCACATGGTGGAAGTCGAACAAGCCATGTGAAAAAAAAATCATGCGATAACATGTGCGTATACATGGCAACCGAGGTATTGGCTACTCACCAGCAGAACCAGCTTCGGTATCAATGTACGATGCTGGGTCAAAGTCTCTGACTATTTGCTCTGGACTTGCATCAAGGAAAAATTCCTCTGGGGTCTTGAACGTAATGCCAATGTTCGCGGCAAAATTACTAGCTCCAGGTCAGAATAACTCGACTAACATATTCTTTCTGCATCAAGACTTACCGATCTACACATGAATGATCTCCAGGCCGTCCAGCGGCGTCTCCGACGAAAAAGGATCCCTGCAAGTCGACTCTGTCTTCAATATCGAGGTCGTAATCGTCTAGGAATTCATGCCACATGCCCGTCCGTGGTTTTCTGTATTCATCGTATTTGGTCGCAGCGTAGACACTCAGGGGCACGTCTAATTGTCGCATCACGGCCACAACCTTCTCCTTAAAGTTCGACAGACTCTTAGACTCGCTCCGCCCGCCCTTGATCTCATTCTGAAGGTTAATCTTCTTTTGATTCGAGAGAATGACGATCTGATAGCTGGAGTGGTAGGTATTAGCATGGAACTGAGCAGAAAGACATTAGAGACAAAAACACACCCTTCGGCGTCGAGTTGTTTTATCCGCTCCGGGACTTTGTTGTGCCACCACTTCCAGTCTCTCGGATCTTTTGCGAACGTGTTCCCAGAGGCTGTCGATATCAGTGTAGAATCCTGGGTTACCGGGTCAGTCTGGTTCCTCGTGCCATTTCTGGTCGCCAGAAGCAAAACGTACGAGGTCGAAGGCGGCCACTTTCCGTTTCCCGTCACCTTGCAACTGTTGATTCTGGGTGTGGTCTTTCGAGTATTTTCCCACCACTAGGCTGTTGTTGACGATCCGCCAGGTAACTTTCTCAGGCTTCTTCTGGGAGGCCGGGGTGAAAAACGAAGCGACAGCTTGACCTGCAGAGACATTATCAGAGAGATTCCAATCAAGTAGAAGTCTCGCATGTGAGAAAAGCTTACTCGTCGTAGTCGACTCAATCTTGCGCTTCAGCGGAGGCGGAGAGACTGGCGGCGCGGGGGACGCTGATCTCTTCATGCCTGTCACCCCGGCCACTCTGAGGCCTTGAGCTCGAAAAATGGTGGGAACGTGTCAGGTACACTTCAAACGACGAGCACAATGATAGCGAAGCGAATTTCGCTGGCCAAACGGTGTGGGGAGTAGGAACAGTCCAGCTGGTCGTCCTTCCAGCATTGGCGGGCGGAATCGACGCGCGGACGCGTATGGAGAAGTGGCACGAAGTCACATGTTCTTATTAAGGTGCAGCACAAGTTCATGCTCAACATATGATCTATCCGCAATAAGCGAAGACTTAAGTCTACGAATTATTATTCAGCTCGCAGAAGAAATACATCGACTAGACTGTGTTATCGCTGTGCATCTGCCAAACCCAATTTTGCCAACCAATCCTCTGGGTATCATGTCCAATAGCCTTCAGCAAATCTATACAAACAACCCAATGCGCCTTAATGCTTTATTTAACTCGTGTATCCAGGGAGAGTCTGTCCGCCGGCTCTAGCTTAACCGCTGTCTTTAACTGGTCTTTCAAATTAAACAGTTGCTGAGTGGCTATTTTCATGGTTTCCTGATTGCTGCCGTCTTGGACGGTGACAGCAGCCTGGAGAACATAGCTTCCGCTCTGATCTAAGAGAGACATCTTTTCCAAAGGCGGCAGTGACCTTCGAGGTACCCTTGGGTCATGGTTGTCGGCTGGGAAGTTGAGCACCCGATGCAAGAAGAGGACAATGTCATTGTAGATAAACACATCTCCCTCGACGACATACTCCGTGACAAAACTGGTGAATTGTCAGTTTCTAGCGGCGTTGTGTGTCGCTGCGACATCAGGACGATCCAACTCACCTGTAACCCCAGGCATCCATAGGAGGAATCACGTCCCCTTGCGGAAGACTGGCATTGGCCATCAACCGTGCCGTGACCGGGGTGCGAGTTCCTGCCTCGGGGATATCTCTGAACTCCAACCTCCACGGCTGGCTGTCGAAGTCATAGCCCTGCGGTGTCGAGATCGAGAACGGGGGCGCGCCAAAGTCACTTTCGGCAACGGGGCCAACCACCTTCGTGTAGAACAAGACACCGGTGAGCATCTTGCTCAAGCGCTGCACCTCAGACCCTTGCAGTTCCTGACTGCCGCCGACGCGTGTATCGGCCCGACCTGGCGGGCGATGGGCTTTGAAGACCAGATGCCTCTCCAGACGGTGTCGGGGCTGCATGGCGGTCAGGCCCGCCAGCTGCTGAAGGAGTTCATGATGCTGATGCTCGGGGACTGAGGCAAAGAGGAGCAGCTCGTGCATTGTGATGCCTAAAATGGGCAAAAACGAGTCCAGACCCGGGGATGGTGGTTGGATTGTTTGGAGAAGTAAAAGCAGTGTGGGGCATGGATCTGCGGGCAAGCTTCCAACTCCAACGACTGCAAGAATAGAGATCCAATACGGAGCAGTTCCTGCCAAGAAGCCAGGAGAGTCGCCTAATTTTGAGGTCTATGTACGCACTATGAACAAAGCAACTTTTTTTCTCTTGTCTTTCTTTTAGCTCTCAATAATGAGAGGCCAATTGTTTTACGCGATAACCAGAGCCAACGTGATTAGTCTGCTCAAAAGACTTAAGTACTCCATATGCGACTCTGGAAATGTAGTGTTCATTGCTGGCAGACACCCAGCCCTAGTACTATAATGTCTGCTCGAACTAGAAAGACTGCAGTAGAACACCGGATGCTTCTGTGCTAAAATGTCGAGACGTGGCTCGGTTAAGTGGAGGAGCAGTGAGTAAGGTGCAGCGGGATTCTGGGCCCTGCAAGAGCTAAGATAACATGATGCCCCGAGATTGGGCTGGAACGATCAATCAGTGATCCGTGACCAGCAGGTGAATCTGATTAGCAGGGTGTCTCTTTTGTTCCCCTCATCGCAAGCTCAATCTCCAACGGCAAGCTGCAATCCGGATCATGCTGGCATCACGATCGCATGTCTTCCCCGCACGCTCTTCCTTCGCCGGCTTGGCTGCCCGCGGAGTTCCCTGCCAATGGCGTAATGTCCCTCCCGCCGAGGAAAACTCTGCTGGCCGCTGTAGGGCAGATGGGCATCAGATTAATAATAATAACAATAATCATAAAATAATAGCTTCAGAGATAGGAACAGGAGACTCCGGCGTTTCATCGAATCCGCGCTGTCTGGCTGCTGGCAGGCTCGTTCCGGTTGCCTCCGGTGGAGCGTTTTCGCAGCAAGGCCGACGCTCGGCTGTCACTCACCGCAGACTTCCTGCTTTGTCCGCCGCCGTCCGCGCTGCTCACGCCATTCTCTGCAGCCCTCTCTGCATTCCACTCCCATCCCCCCATTAGCTGTTCCAGCCCTCGCTCTCTTATCAATCAATATTAATCACTCCCCCAGAAAACCCCAGAAAATAAACCTTCTCTTCTCCTCGTCTCATCTGTGCGATTTCAGTCCCTTGCGCCAGCTGCCCACCAGACTTACGTGAACTGCTCCGGATCTATCTGTAATTAATCTGCCTTTCTTTCTGCTCTGCTCTTGACTACTGCCCACAATGCGCACCACGGCCGTCCTGCGGAACGCTGCCCGGACTCCGCTCATCAAGTTCTTGGGCAAGCGGACTGTCCCAGGTAGGTCGCGTTCTCTGTTGCCAATTAATCCCTCGGTACTGACTTCGCTTCTCTCTATTATAGAATCTGTCGACCACACGCCCCGAGTCCACCCAGCCTCGCCCTCTCCAACGCTGCCGGAGACATTCGCAGCCTACCGCTCCAAGGCCCAGCAGCATGGTCCCTTGAACAGCCCTGGTCGTCTTTCCTCCCTGTCTTACGGCGCCATCGGTGCCTCTTCTGGTGCTTCTCTCGGCCCTGTCGAACCCAAGCCGGGCGAGTACTTCGACCGCGACGAGCTGCCTGCCCGATTCCACCGCTTGCCATGGACTGAGGCTGAGATCGAGGCAATCGAGACTGGCGGCGCCAGCCTCTTCAATTAAATGGGTAATACGGGCTCGTGAACGGTGAACGGTGAACGATCATGGTCTTCATGATGCCGATTGATGGATAATATCCATAATGGTATGGAGATGATATCCAAGCAAGCCCTACCAGGGGCAATCCGGCACCGGATAGTGTGCTGGGGGTCCGAACGATTCCGAGCGTCTTTCCCAGTCACGTATCGCTATGACGAATCCAACACGCGGCCAATCACTATTCCTTCGATGTTTTGTTTTCAACGTATCTGGGCAGCGATGGGGCGGACCAATGTTTCTTCTTGTTTGCTCTATATCCTTATTTCCTCTCTGTTCTTGTCTGTCTGGGCGCTGGTGCTCGTTATTATTATTTTTTGGTCTTAAGTCTGTCGGTGGCGCTTAGAGCAATTTGGTTTTTAGAGCGTGAGCTTAGAGTGTACATACATACATTGAACAAAGCAGTTTCGAAAGAGTATATGGCGATTGTCGCACCTCTTCTGAGTTCTCTTTGCTTCCGCTATCAGAGGGTAGGCGCGTGGAAAACACAAGTTCTAGATTATGAGCTCGTTCCATGGTCGCTTGAGACTGCATAGATAATGTTCTAGGAGTAAATCGACATTTGTGTTGTTGTTTCCTCTGCGATCATCAACATAATAGCCCTGCCAGTAAGAAATCAGCTATCGCGTGACCGGGCGCGGCCCTTGCAGTTCCCAAACGGTCGACGTAACCCACGAACTTAGTCGTGCCGGACCATCCATCCTTCACTGTGTATCTCTCGCCATCGACACGACTGTCTCTTGTTTTCTCTAGAGAAAATTTTAATCTATCCATTTGAATTCCAAGGAATGACTCGAGACGTTGTTGCCATCCATCTAAAGCAGCTTGACAACAGAGACCAAACGTGACTTGAAAGAGGCATCTAAACAAAAGACTAAAGCAATTCAATAAACTGAGAAAAGAATAGAAGAAGCATCAATTGACCCCCAGGTTTATGAAAAAGGAAACTTGATCGAGTATCATAAGTCTCTATTGGAAGAAACATGATGTCGGCCAATTCCAACATTGCTTTGACCATCACGGAGACCGACGAGGTCGACACGCCCCTCGCGACGTACCTCTACTCAGAAACGGCCATAGCAACAGGTCAAGACAAGCCATCTGGTGGGGGAGAGACCGTGTTGAAAGGCCGGGTTGATGTCGTGGTCAGTTCGAGTTCTGGTCTTTCCCTGCGATCTATTTTGTGGTTCTATCTACATCTATAGATGCCTTCTTAGAGTTGTACATGATATCTTTTTTTTTTGATTGATTTGTATTTCCTCTTTTCAATGCCTGTGCAATAACACCAAAAGCGTCTTTTACGAGCATCACATATCCTGTTGTGTTCTTTTATCAACTTGGATGATAACCGGAAGTACTGCATTTGAATGACTACTGACTGAGCCTGGATAGCCGCCGCAATTGGCAGCTCCATCAGTTACAACAGCACCGATTCCGCCCTCCTCGCCAACATCTACAATAACCTCGATCTTCACCTCTCTAGTCAATGTCTTTCTGCCTGCTGGGTACCCGCACAGTGTCAGCAAGGACTACTTGGAGTAAGCCCCATTCTTTCTGCATCCCCAATCTTGGTTGACCTATTGACATGGGTTCAGGTATCAGATATATGTGCGTTGAGCCGTCTCCTGATATCACTTCTCATCTATTGTTCATTTTGCCCCTTTCGACGGGATGAAACGGACTTATATGTCTAACATATGTTTATTTTTCAGGACTCCATCCAAGCCTTTTCAAGCTCCATCGCCGGACTTCTGTCCTCAAGGGCAGTATTACAAGGTGCGCATGCATCCCATGTCTCCTGCACATTTTCCCATTTGTTTCACAAAACCGATCCTGTATTGCTTCATTAAACGTAGTTGCTAAATTCCAACTCGTACCAGGCGTTGGAGTCGGCGATGCCGCTGCCTCACCAACCTCTGCACTCCTCTTACACATCCTACAAGACTCATCAGGCCGGATCGCAACAATCCTTTTCGCACATCGACTCGGTACAGCTCTCGAACCTGAGTGCAAGATGTACCGGCTCGCGGCAGACGTCTTCAACGACGTCGCCATGGTGCTGGACTGCCTGTCTCCGCTTGTCGGACCCCGTGTGGCACGAGTTGCCATTCTTAGTGGTGCAGGAGTTCTGCGCGCGCTCTGCGGAGTGGCTGGCGGTAGTTCAAAAGCAAGTCTCAGTGCACATTTTGCGAAATGGGGCAATATTGGGGAGCTAAATGCTGTAAGTACAGTTCGCTGTGCAGGCCGTGATATCTGGCCTGTAATCTGCCAGACAGGAGAATGATCTGATTGCTGACTCGAACTTACATTAACAGAAAGACTCTTCACAAGAGACTATTATATCCCTTCTGGGCATGCTGGTTTGTCTCTCTCCAGGCACTGTCTATTGATTACGTGTCCCTGTTATCATCACTGACGGCTAAAATAACATGGTAAGGCCGGTTCCGTTGTCGTATCTCATGTCACCAGTCTTCCTGCAACGTGGACCGCATTGATTTTTCTCATATTCCTGCACCTGGGCACCAACTACCGAGCCGTTCGCGCCGTGCAGATGACCAGCCTAAACCGCCAGCGCGCAAATATTGTCTTCTCAACGTTATTGAGCTCCGATCCAGGGTTGGACCTGGTAGAACGACAGTTCAGACCCGACGGGAGTGGGGGGAAAGACGGAGACAGCACGATCGCCACGTCAGCATCGAGAAGCCCACTCAGAGTCTTGCGGCCCGATGAGGTCGCCGGTCTGGAGAGAATCTTCGAAAAAGACGGTGTGCTCCGGTGGATTTCTTCTTCCTCCGAGACTCCGCAGCAGTCGCGGTGGTCCACATCAGAGAAGCTGGGGTATTGCCGAATCGGTGTATCTCTGAGGGATCTTCTATCTCTCCTGAAGGAGCCTTTGTCGTCGTCGTCGTCTTCCGATTCATCCGTGCACCTTCTCCGGCGCCTAACCGAGCTTTTCGCCTCCGAGTCCTATCTCCTCTTCTCCTCTTCCTCTTCTTCTCCAGCAAGGACAACCCCCCTTCAGGCCGCCATCGTACTCAAGCAGGGCTGCACACCAGTCCTGCAACTCAAAGCCTGGGCTCACGCTCTGTTAGTTGCTCGAGTCCTGTCGTCATCTTCATCTTCATCCTCTCCGCACCATAGCAGCAGCAGCAGCAGTATCCAGCAGCAACAGCAACAAATCCTAAACGTGATCGCGCGCACTCTTTCATTCCTAAACGAAAACTCACGTTTCGAGAACTACACACATGCCTTGACCGAGGCAGGGTGGGATTTGGACATTGCCGCTCTGGAAACGAGGCCAGGGCGGAGAATCCAAATTAACTCGGGAAAGTAAATCAATAAGTAAATCAATAATTCAATATATATAATTCATGTATAGTATGTACTATAGTATATGGACCTGGAGAGAATGTTTTTCTTTTTTTTTAAAAACTTCCCTCCTGGTCAAGAGAGGTAGAGGTACTGTATTGTGTACTGCACAGTATACCCCCCCAAAGTAAAGGATGAATAGAGATTAAGACTAAAAGACGGCTTGTGTATGTATGTGTGGTGTGCAGACAAAGCCCTCGAAGCATTCATTATTGTATGTAATGTATGTGTATCGCTTCATTCCTACGAAACCAAGTAGCTGCCATCTTACCGGGAAAAAAATCAGAAGTTTGTGTCTGCGTGTGTCTGTACAATCGATCGAATCTTAGAGACAACCAACCATGGGTATCACTTCATTCATGCCTGATAGGATAGGATAAACAGATACTGAAATAAATCAAAGTAGATGGCCAACCAACCAAGCAGAGAGAAGATCATGACACATGCAGTGTGGTACAGTGCAGAAAACAAACCCAAAAAAAACATGCCCACAGCCGTCTATGCAAATGACAAAAAACGCCCTGATCCCGAGGATGCCACAATGTTGGAAACAGATTGGAAACAAATTCATGTTGCACACTCAAACACGAACGCCTCCAGAGACCGCAAATATGCCCATATCCGATCCGTGACGAAGGTGATCTCATTCAATCATGCCAGAAGATCTGAAGAACCATGAAAGGGCATCCGTCGCATTATGTCCGCTGCTGACACATCGCCAAATGATGACAATTACCGAGTTGAGCTGAATCGAAGAACAAAGTTGAAACATAAAATGCCGGGACTTTTTGGACCCCCCTGGTCATGTATTATTTCCGTCCCATGTCCATCCCAATCCTTATTTTGCCGTGACCTGAAAGAAATACCGGAAAGAACTCGCGCGGTAGTCAATATCGCAGATTCATATCACCTCGTGTCCCGATGTCATTATAAGTGTTGTAATGTGTCGAGCACATCCAGTGCGATCGATCACGAAAGGTGGGGGAGCGACAAGAAGCCGTCGTGAGAATAGAATCGATGGACGGAGGACGAGATGGTCACGCGGATATACAACGACCGAAGATACGGGCTCATTCTTCTAACCTCGGATCGCGACTGGTTGATCCCCCATGTCGTCTCTTAAAACCTAGCTTCATTCCCATTTTCTTCCATGCATTACTCTCCGATCTGGCTTTGGAGCCGTAGCCCGTTTGGATATTCAAGTCACTGGATGGAGGGGTCGTTGGTGGTGTCATCGGTTCCCCAACAACCGGGCTCGACAGCGCACTCCCGGAATCATCGGTCAGAACAGGAGACCCTGAGTCACCACTGCTCATGGAAGCGTGACCCGGGACGCGACTTCCGGTCTTAGTTGCAGGTCCGCTTTTGGTCAGACGGCCAGAGACAGGACCACGATGGGACGCGAAATCCGCGAAGGACGATTGAGGAGACGGTCGCCTCCCCCGGGATCCAACTTGTCGAATCCGGTTGCCGTGGTGTTCCTCCAGACTCGTATTTGACAGATTCATGCGTTCGTTGTACGGTGAACCCGACGATGGCGCACTATAGTTGTTCAGGAAATGGATAAAGATCGACTCTTCCATCAGGTCATGCATCCGCCGCACGGCGGCATCCAGAGTCTCCGGGGGAGGAGGCATCGTGGAATTGGTTTCTGCAAGCAGAGCATCCCGGACCTCCGAGGAAAGGTTGATCTCCCGTGGGGAGCCCGGCTCGATGTAAGCCGATATCAAGCGATGCCACAGCATGCGCAAGTGTTCCGTTTGGGGGCATTCAGTGCAAATGGGGGACTGGTCCAGCATCCGAGAAACGGTTCGATAGGTTTCTGCATATCTTTTTGCCTCCATGGTGAACTCGAGCGTTTCGAGACAATGGTTCTGGGAGAGATAGGCCATAAAGGCACTGAGGGTGAATGGGTAGGGAGCCGTGTTGGAGAGCACCTCGTCCAGGGTTGGGCGCGCTTGGCATAGATTGCGGCTAGGGATGGCCAGGCTGAGCGGCCGGGAGTCCATCTCCTTCTCGTTAAAGTAGCAGTCGTAGTCCACTGACGACGTCGGAGAAGTTTCGGGTGTCGGATCCGGTGTGAGATTCCACAGAGAAAGAGGCAGGTGAAGAGCCTTCGCGATCATCGCGTAGAGAAACAAGTGCCTCTTTTGGTGCTCGACTTCTTGTGCTCCCACCCTAAATCCTCCTCTGCTCCTCCTGCTGAAGCGTTCCAGCCTCGCTGCCCGATGAGCAGCTGACAGTCACGGATATCGGCTGCTCCTGTGGGCGGTTGCTGGTAATCAGAGCAATGGTCGTGCTGGCAATTCGTCTTTGGTCAAGGTAGGAAATTGATGCAGCAAGTCTTTCACTATTGTCGCATCTGTCGAAACATTCACCCGATTTTGGCAACAGATATACTCTCTTCTTTCTGTTCAGCACTGAGAGAGAGGCTAAGACACAGACTACACTGCCAAGTGCCGATAAGAGGATTCTTATTGCCGGTCGGGATCCCACGGAGGATGGAGAACAGGGGCCGAGGAGACCTATATTAGTGAGAATTAGTCGAGCGAAATAAAGTAAGGAGGCGCTGGGCAAATAAGACGAGGAGGTGGAATTAACACGAGACGGCACGAGATGAAGGACGAGGGCAGGCTAGCTGGGGGCATTTGCTGGATTGGCCTGGCGAGAGAGACGGGATCGGCGGGGGGGAGCAGCGGTCGGTCACCCTGCAGACAACGCATGCGACCGCGTAAACTTTATCAGCACTTGGCAGCAGTGCGGTGTGGAGACCGCGATCGGCGCCCCCAACTCCCAGTGTAAAAGACGAGAAGAGGGCTTCCCAAAGTTGTGGAATGCAGGCCGAGAGGGAGACGACGTCGCACGCGGTCGCTGTGTCCGCGCTGGGTGGTGAGCGGAGGTTGGCAAGGGCCACCAGCTTATTTGCAGATCATCGACACGATGCTTCTGGCGATTGCCCTCCACCTCAAGGCTCAATCCAGTATACTCGTCGATACACGGAGTACTGCGTAGAAGGAAGAAGATAAAACGGTGCAGGTGCGGTGCGGTTGCGCGGATTCGGAGTCCGGAACGGGGAATTCCGAAACGATATAATATATATTATGCACCGTATATAAGCCGCTCTCTCTGCTGCCTTGATAGAAGCCTCTCGTTGTAGGAGAGGCCGGTCCAAATGGATATTCACAAACGTGCAGTGCAAATGGAATAGAAACGGTGGAGGGGGCTGCAGATATATGCAATGGGGAGCCACTTACAATAATACAGTGATTCGATGGAGCCAGCAACGAGCAGCAGCTCCCACGACAGCAGGGAGCGGGAAATGTATGTCGACTAATATTAAGAACGGCAAGAAATGCAGACAGGGCGGACGTCGAATAAAGACTTTGACAAGGCAGCAGCCAGGCCCAAGGGGACTGGACTGGTGGCGCGTGTGCAGGCAGCGTTGGCGGCGTGCCTTGTGCGACCGGCAGCAGGTCGTCACGCACAGATCGATGGCGCTTGCAGGAGAAGCACAGCAGGCCAGGAATTGGCCAGTAATGGACGACGGTTAATCTGGCAACAATGAGCACGATGAACCTCCCCGAGGAACTCAACCAGGCCAACGGCCACGTCCTCCAGCCTCCAGCCCTCACAGCTGGCCTGAAGCCGGGCGTGATTGGCTGGGCGGCGGATCTGCAGCTGGCAGTGCTGAGCACGGCTGCCCGGAAACGGACGGCGTCGCCAGCGCCAGACTCGAGATCTCGCCCAGATAGGCCAGCTCGCCAGCTGCTAGTCTCGTCTTTGCAGTTTGCAGGCAATAGCGCAGGACACAACTCACCAGGATGAGCACGACGGGAAACCACGCGGAGCGATGACGTGCAGGAGCGTGGAAGTTATTGGCAGACCGATGGGCGTTCTTCTGGATAGACAGCGCACACTCCCACGGTACTGCCGCGGAATCGATTTATATAGTCGACGAAGAGTCAGAATTAGAAAATGACAAAGGCGGGCGGGGAGGAGGCACGGCGATAATTAAGTTAATACGAAGGGCCAAAGCCAGCGAGGATGAGTCGTGGCAGGAAGCATGGATCGCGAGGGCGTGGATGTAAGCGGGTCACGCAGGGCCGAGGCCGCCCACAGGCGCAGGCGGTGCAGGTGGTTGGCCTCTCGCAGGCCTCAGCAGGCGAACACGATGCAGCGCCAGGGCTGACGTCGGTGGCGGGAGCGCTGCCTTTCCAGAAGGGCCAGCGAACGCGACGAGAATCCCGGGAGAAGAAGCCTATCGTGTGGAGACGGTCGGTCTGGAAGGCTGCCCGATCGGTGTACAGTACAGTACGTGTACGGAGCACGGAGTACGGAGGACCTCCAACCGACAAGGCTACAACCTGCCCAGCTAGGTAGGTAGTAGAGACGAGTCTTCGGGACGGAGGACGCACTACGGAGGTACTCCGTAGCGCTAGAACAAGACCCGATCACACAATGGTTTCTGGGGATGGGGGCCAGGCAGGGCTGACTGTTAACTTGTTAGGCAATAATTCAAACCAACGCTACCACAAATGTTCTGGTTTCCACCCAGCCCTTATCGCAAGCGGACCCGGCTGGCCGGGCCTTTCGCCATGTGCGTGGTGATAAGGGCCTGGGTGAGTGGCATTACGGGCGCCGAGCCACGTCCCCGCCGCTCATGGAAACCCGAACACCCCTGCAGGCTGCAGGGGCCTGCACACGTACGCAAAGGCCCCATGATGGCTGCCATGATGGCTGGCATGGCTGCATTAATAATGGCAATAGAAGGGCAATAGCCTCCCAAGATTCACGCCGAGGCAATCTTTCCCGCCCCTGCTTTTCTTTGTGATTTGCCCGGTTCGCCACTCCGGGCAGCTGCTTCCTGTTCCTTTGAGCGCCCGGTGGGGACGCGGCTGTCGCCAGCTTCTAGCGCCCCTTCTAGCCGGCTTCTTTTCGCCTTCCAGAAGCCTGCCTAACTCGGTGCCTGGACGCGGCCCGACCCTCGTCTACTACTCATAAGAAGGAGGATGACGAGTCACGACACTTCAGTCTCTGAGATGACCGGTTTCCGTCCGATCAGCCTTCGTATGCTGTTTTTCTCCGACATAAACAGTTTCAAATGGAGTTTGACGCTGGAACGGCCCCCAACGCCAGCCCTACGGGTCTGCGGGATCTTTTCCTCCCCGTCAAAGTTCATTATTCAACGGAATGTCCAACAGGGCTGACAGGAATCGCGAGTCTTTGTGGGTTAGAATTCCCCAACAAAAGCGGTTGACCGGTTGACCGGTTGCCCCGGTTGACAGCGAGTCAGGCTGTCAAACGTCGAGACGGTCAGGCCCAAAGGGCAAAATTCTAAAAACCGGGGATATATTTACTACGGACAGGGTGGCGAGTTCACCGCTCCGACCATGCAGCGTCCATCACCAGGGCACAGCTGCCGTGTTGAAGTTTTTTTTTTCGACACCTCGCCTTCGATATCCCCGTCTGGAAACCGCCACCCAACAGTTACAGCCTGACAGGCACAAAGAAACGATGGCAACAGGCTGACCGACTGACAGATGGATCTCACCAGAAGAAAAAAGAAATCGGTACTACGCCCGAGGGAGCGGGGACAGGAATGGGTACCTGGCTCCATCTCTTCCCGCAGGACTGGATTTACCTAAAAATATCATGCTCAAGAGTGTCAAGACTGCCCTGTAGCCTAGGAGCCTTCTCGAAATCATGCTCCGCCAAGGCACAGTCTAGAACAAGCCGGACGAACATGCACTGTGCCACGTATATGTGATACTTGTCAATGCGATGCGACGACTGGTGTGTCAGGCAGGCCAATTCGGAACAGGATCCAGATTCCAGACTGGGTCAGGCCAAGACCAGAACAAAAAAGAAGAAGGCTAAAAGAACCTAAAATATCAAGGACAGGCTTCAGCCTTCAGCCCGTTGTCTAAAGGAACGAATGAAAGAATGAGTACCAACGGGAGTTTTTGCTTTGCTGCGGTAGACTACGGAGTACGGACCGAGCAGCATGCCTGCCTACCTACATATGGCAATTTAGTTCTCCACAGTCATGTGCCCGGGCACACTGACCAGCACGTTATGTTATTGACCACCACTCGCAGTCAGCGGTGTGTCAACATCCTAGAAGGAACATGTTGATCATATGACACTGGCGTAGCCGGTAGTAGAGTAATGCTATAGAAGGGAAGCTGTTTCTTCTACCTACCTCAACCTCTCCAATTCCTACACAGAGTACTCCGTACAAGTGATCACAACTCGCGTAAACCGGACAAAAAAAAACCTCAGAAGGATTCGGCTCTGGGGCGCTTTTCGGGTGCTCCGAACCGCTGTGTCGGTAGTGACTAGGTACTTAACTACTTAGGTAGGTCGATAGGTTAGAGCTGTGACTAATGACGAATAGAGACCAACAGTCCATTAGTATCAGACTAAGCCTCATCTGAGGAAATTAGCTGGTATTTCGGATTTCTACGGAGTAAGACTGCAGAGAGGGACAGTGGTTTCTTGGACAAGCCAGGATCCACTAACTGCTGTCAAAATCGATAATACCGGACCAGATAGGCAAATGTCTACTCCGTACGTAAGTCAGCGAATACGACCACCTATCCAGACCCGTTCGATCCCCATTCTGATCATGCGCCTTAGTTTCTTATCTTGGTATGATTATAATCCCCCACATTTACAATCATAAACAACAAAAACCGTTGGTTTCTACATCAGAGGTTAGCATATAGCAATCAATGCAGAAGAATCCGTTTGCTTGTCTGCCTGCTTGAGACCTGACCCATCAGCATCAGCATCATCATTATCTAAAACTGGAATTGATGACAGGGCTAGTCTATCAACTAGAATGTTGAACTGTTGACAACAGGCCCATTAATTGACAGTGTCTTGCCCCGTTCAATCAATTTCTGACAAGCTAGGGCTACAACTACGATCCACCCTAACGGTGCGTCCATAGAATCGAGGTAATGGCATTTTATGCAAGGGCATAGGTAGATAGAATACGATCCAGATCTCATTACCACCACCTAATAATCTCCATGTCTAGATAATACACGCCCATGGAAAAAAAAGGCCCCAAGTCTATTATTTCTTTTATCTAAATCAAACCGCTTCTCCACGCGTAATTGGATTGTGGGCGTAATTAGAGGTCATTTACCTTATTTGTCAGGTAAAAGTACAGTGTACTTGTCAAATTTCGGCTTCGTAGTACCTCGTTCTTATTACTGTTATGTACTCTGCTGAACCAAGATCGGGAGAAAGAGGTCGAATGAATTGACTCAATTGTAGTTCTACCCATTTCCACGGAAAGAAAAAAAAATATCAATGCAATGGCTGTCTAAGATTGACTTACCCGTCCGTCTAGTTAGCAAACGTAACCGCAGGGACGGATGGACTGTAAGAAGGAGCTTGAAACTTGAGATCGGTGTCGAGAAAGAAGATGGGGGAGGGGGGCCGGACCATCATCATCACATCAAGGCGAAGCGGTGAAGCGGTGAGGTTTTTGGGTCGAGAGTGTTTGAGTAGAGAAGAGCAGGGTTGTCTGTTAGCGTCGACCTAGCAATCTCATCTATACGCAGCTGCTATGGATGGACATATTGGCACAGTATCGACGACCTCGTCGTCTTTTCTCGGCATATGTAGTTTAGTTTACCTCCTGTGTTCTATTTACTCCGTACATTCACCTCCAAATCTATATACTATATCGCAGCTCCAACTTGCGGTTAATATAAGCAGGACCTAATATTAGTATCTTCTAGGATATTTCGGTATAGAATGTTAGTAATATAAGCAAGGAAGGGTATAAGCTCTATCCGCACTATAATGATGCAATATAAATAGTGTGCAACAATATCCAAAGCTGACTAATGGTATTTACAACTTAACCAATTTGTACTGATGACGAAAAGGCAACAAACATCTATTTTTCTGTCTACTTAAGCTTATGTCTATGCTCCGTATAATAGGTACCTACCTACCACACCATGGTGATTGACAGTCATGCGAAGCCTGCAGGCAGGCAAATGGATAATGTATGCAGCAAAGTTGTGAATAATATATAACATACTACTTCAGACACAGCCTCAACCGAACTAACTAACCAACAATCCTGCCTATCTACAAGAGAAGTTACTGGTTCACTCCACTCTCTAACATTAACTGAACGTCAATCATATCGCAATACCTGCCATTTCGAGGCAGAATGTGCAATCCAGCCCCCACATTCACGCCAGATCCCGAGTTACCTAGGTACATACATGTAGTTAGCTCGCTACGTCAACCTATTACACTCATCGTATCACATTGAGTCATGGCACTTGAGAAATAACCTTGTTGAAACTAGCTAGTTAGCTAGCTAGCTAGCTAGCTTATATTGTGGGTACTCCTGTAATGTTTATCTGTCTGTCTGTCTATCCAAACTACGGAGTACAGTACATTATGTACTGTACCTATGGAGTACGCCACGTCGGCAATCTTGTCCTCCGTGATCTCTCTTCTGCCCCGCCAGGCGTGCCATTTTACGAGTCATGGATCTGACATGACCCATATGATGATCATATACATACGGAGTACACATAACATTATTAGTGTCTGAACGAGTCGATTCCATTCGATTCTATTATTCTTCCAGACAGCACGACAGGCACGGCCCTAAGTTCTAAGTTCCAGGTTCTAACCCACTGCCATCTAGTTCCATACATTCCGGTAGATATATTACTTGACTCCAATTAACGACGCTGTAGTAAGCCTACTAATAGTTACTTACAGACCTTGACTAATCCCGCCACAGATCTGACTCAGACTACGGAGTAGACTGACTAGACGACTAGACTGGACTGGATTGGACTGTCAGAGAGTTCTAATTAGTTACTAGGCACAGATATCGTAATCGAACTATCGACTCTACCGATTGGTCCTACTAGCGAAGTCTTGTCGTGTCGTATAGATGGATTCTTTTTGGACCCCATTCGGGCTATAGTTCCTCCGCATTTGATTGCCCTCTTAGGACAAACGCCACATCTTCTCCATTCCATCAGCACTAAATAAGCAAACTTCCAAGCTTTCAGGCTATTATATCTAACCCCGCTAGCATGGATGATGGGTTATGGATCTTGTGAATGACAACTTCACTCAGCCTCAGTCTCAGTCTCAGCCTCACACCGCTCGCTGGTCGGGACTCAGATCCGGTCAGGTGTCTTCGGACTTTGCATATGCCGAGGCAAGGCTGAAGGAGGAACAACAATGCGATCACGGTAGCAATTCTAGTGGCATCAGCAGGAGTAATGATACGATACGATACGATATGATGTATAAGCGTATCGATAGCGCCATCTACGCGCATATAGCGTAGTAATCACGCGTGTCTATACGGAGTAGTTAGAAGTAGATATCTATATAATATACCCTTCGCTGAAATAGTATCCTATCCATCCGTCCTTTCCGGTAGACATGAGCATTAACCTACGTACTTTAGGTAAGTAGACAGGCAGGTAAATAGAGTGATACCTATTACGCCGTTGTTATCTGTTATTCTCGTCAAAAACTGTTAAGTCTGTATTGAATTTGCCAATTGATCAATGGTAATGATATATCTGATAATCCGAGATTCTAGTAAACATGGATGTATTGATCAATCATCGATAGACAAGGAAGGTAGAGAAACAAACGAATAACGACTCTTTCTTAGAAAGATAAAAATAGCATATACTACTGAAGAAGGTTCTTTGCACATAAACTTTTCTGATCAAGTTCTAATATTACATGCATCATGACTGCGTGAGTAGGGAGACATATAAGACATATAATCAATCTAGAGAGGGGGGGGGAAGAAAAAAAAACTCGCAGCAGGAGAATAGAGTTTCTGTAATAAAAATACTAGGTTTTTTTTTTTTGATTTTAAACCAGCCTGTTCTCTCATCTTCTTGATCTTTTATAGTTACCATTTTTCTTCATGCTATTCTAGGAAGTTCTAGTGTAGTCAACGATCCAGTCACTTTGTTGTCTTACTGATACAGACTTAGATACTGACACGCGTAATAATTTCTGTACCTTTATCTAATCTATGTCTATACTGAACACATATGTATACAGGCCTGAACGAAATCCTGCCTTGGGAATAATTACAGAGATACTGCTGAGTAAGTGGTATCTAAGAGACTGGCATAAGGCATTATTTTCTTGCTGATTGAAAGAGATATAGAGTACAAGGAACATGGCAAGACATACAGTAAGAAATAGGTTGCAATAGATATAATGTAGTTCCCAGTATAAAGGAATTGTTTCCCTTAAAGTAATCATGTTATTATTTTATTCTTAAACGGTCACCCAATATATTCTTATGGTCTTACATCAGCCTAATGATAGGAATTAGAGCAAGTTATCTTTTTTTGTCTCTGGGCTTTGATTAAAGAACTTTATTATCACCTGACTTTATCTTGTTGTCATTATTACAGGATTTTGTCGCCAACTCACGAGTGACTTCAGGGTGGAATTGAATGTCATATACAGGTTCAGTCTTGTGAGTGATAGCAGCATATTCGGAATTCTGGGTTGTGCCAATGACGTGGAATCCTTCAGGCAAATTACAAAGTTTGTCACCATTATATGATGAGCGGGTTCTTTATCTAATTTCTGCCTAAGTCCGTCATCAAGTTTGCAAATGCAAGTTGAGAGTCAGATTATTGATACTGACAAATCCTATACTAATTCCAATATGTCTAAACAATTTGTCAAGTTCAAGCAATTTCTCCAAAGAAAGCTAGACCCTTCCTTCAGCAACAGCACTCCGATCTCTGCACCAAGAATAGACGCAGGGTCACAGAAAGATGAGTCTGTTATCAGTCCAATTTTCAACCTGCCGACGGACCTTCTCCTCGAACTCAGAGGCCAACTGCCTCTGGTATCCCAAGCCTGCCTGGCACTGACATGCAAGACCTTTCTCGATCTCTTCGGATCAGCATTGATTGCACCCGAGTTTCGTTTCCCGCGAATCGTCTTCGACAAGAAGAACCGGATTATGTGGAAACCGGATGCCTCGATGGCGATCAGGGGGCAGCTTCTTCGCCTGCTCGAGAATGAATCCCGGCGGTATTGTAACGCCTGTCTGAAACTGCACCCTCCCAGTGAATTCAGGCCAGACGACCTGCAGGTCGATGGCAAATTGAGACGCTGCAAGTTGTGCCACGATGGAGGAATCGTTGACCTCTGTCCGTGTATTGGGATGACTCCCCGGTACAAGGTCCAAGTAATAGCCCAGTTGAAGGATCTGAAAAAGAAAAAAGAAAGACGACACAGACAATAGCATCACTGCAGACGCTAAAAGGAAGTTTCGCATTGATCGAGACAGGAAATGTCTGCTGCATGAATGTTCAGTCGAGCACTGGTCTGGAACCATCTCGATCACGATCGTCCCTTTTATACACAAAACGGGCCATCTCATGATCCAGATCCAGTACGACATCCGATCTGACCAGTTCCTCGAATGGCCAACGGAGGAGTTGACTCTGGACTGCTGTCCCCATTGGAAAGTTGATTATCTTGAAATGAATACCGAAGAGTGCGAATTTTGTCCTACTTTCACGACAGGACCGAAATTCATTTCTACTACTCCTGACAGCCACAAATTCTCCTGCAGTATCATCAGGGTCCTTGGGAAGAGAAATTCACGGACAAGTCGTATTTGGCATGCGCAGGGACGCCCAGTTATCGGCAAGTCAATGATGCGTACTGGTGAGACTCCTAGAATTATTTTTCCAAAAAGTCTCCAACACAATATATATAAGTCACGGACTGTTTTAACATCTGGTTAGGTCTGCTTAGCGCTACATCAGGCAGTAGATATGTCAGTACTAAGAGCCAAGACAAGGAGATGGAAGCTAGTCAACATGGTTCTTCGGCCTATTCGCCTAATGATCTTTTCTAATTAATAGAGATCTGTTGAGTACGTGTTCTAGTTTGGTTGAAATCTTAATTAACGTTATTATCTACATTAATGGTTCTATTTAATTCAAGAGGAAACACTAGTACGACAAGAAAATTAATCTAGTAGTAATACTAGAGTTAGATTTTTTTTTCTAGAGGGGAAAAAAAGGAAAGAAAAGTATAGATAAATATATCTAGATATAGACCTGAACAGAATCCTACTTACCTACTAGAAATAATAGCCTATCTACTACAGTAGCTGTTTAAAGCTAGAACCGCAGCTTTCTCAGAGTACAAATTGAATCAAAGCAGAGGCCTTCGTAAGTACATGGATCAGCCATGCCATCATTTCCTATTAATGATACCCCTCTATATTGATTCCTTATACTGGCTGCCGTCAGACTCCTTCAACGTGTTCGATCTTTATGACCGTCGGATACCTGGACCCTCGTTGCAGTTTGGACCATTCAGTAATTTTCAAGACTTCCACAGCCATTTACAAGGGGGCATCTACCTAGAACCAAACTTTGATCTGAAGTACAAGAACTCATCATTCAATATCAAGGTAATTAGCCGCTGGTATTTACATCTGGTGATCTTAGTCGTCTAAACATTCTAGCTTATAGGGATTAAGTAGTTAGCATCATTAATCGAAACAGCTAGATGGTATCCATTATATTAGGCACAATAAAATCAGTAAATTTCTAGATCTAGCGAGCAATACGGAGTAGAGCAGACTTGCCAGAAATATTTTATGTGACTCCAGTCCCGTATTAGTCATGTGTTTAGCCCAGCCCACATCAAAGTTGCCCTTGCCATCAAAGCGACGCTCGTCCTTTTCCCTTCGGTAGTATTCCATCACTTTATCTCTTACTTGTTCCCATTCGAGCACACATGTGCCTAGAGCCTTTCCATCCTCCTTGATCTTCTATAAGGCCTCCTTCACTCATCATGCCATTGCAGCCCAGCTGACCTTGCCTGATTGGCGTATTCCGGCAGGTGACTGCAAGGCGGCTCTTATCCTCCTCCACTGTGCCAACAATCATGATGCGGACAAGCGACATGTTGGTTGGATAGAGTGGACCATCACGCTCTTGAAAAACCACTGAGAATCATGAGAAGAGCAGAATGAATGAAAACAAGGGCAGCATTGGCTGAGCCACATCATACTAATGAGCCTTGTCTCATCTTGCTCCCTTCTATTTCTGCTTCTGCTTCAGTGCCTGCTGTGCACTCAGTCACATGACGGAGTACAGCGGCCATGCTCCCGTCTATGGACAAAAGCATTTGCTGATCTATAATAATAGAGGTCATCTTCTATGCAACTTCCAGGAATTGCGGCTGAGCGATCTTTTAGGCTGTTTACTAGCCAGCCTAGCTCGGGCACTCGACCTGAAGTTCACTTCACCCTTCCAATCACAACCAGCTTAACTGTTGGAAACGACGCCCGGCACATCCCCCAACCCCTTTCTTGCTCTGTGCCACGATGTAGGACAGCCGAGATGCTTCCTCAGCCTTGGCAGCAGAATCATAAACCCGCGACGCTGCTGCGGTCCTCGATGGGAGACCTCCCATCTTCCCCTCCACCAACGTGGACGTGGATGCCATCCAGATGGAGGACCCAGCCCGTTCCATTCCCCTGACCCCTCTGTCCAGCGCTTCTCGGGCTTCGGAGTCCAGCGCTCAAGATAGCGCGCCTCCGCCATACACCCCAGCTCCTCCGCCAAGGCCATCGCATTCCACCAGATTGCACCCCTCGTTCTTGATCCTCATTCCGACCGTTCTGTATGCAGGCCTGGCGCTGTATGCCTGGATTGTCCTCTGCATTCTCTCGTTCCTGCCGATCACAGCGAAGTCCTACGGTCTGCCAGACCTTTCTGAATACTACATTTGGGACACGGACACCCATGCTCTCTTCGCGCGGAATGAGAGATTCTATCGATCCGCTCGAGTCATCCAGTCCATCGTCAGCGTCGTGACCATCCCGTGCATCTCGGCCGTGTGCGCTAGTGCCGCCGTCGTCTTTGCCCAGAACCAGCGAGACGCGTTTGGCTTGCGCATGAGGCAAGTGATCACCTTGGCCGATCGGGGATGGATGGATCCAGCCATCTATTTCAAGTTGATCTTTGGCGGGTGGAAACGGTACGGGAGTATGTTCCTGCTCCTCGCCATCTTCATCCATCTTGTGGGCGGCTTCACATACCCGCTGCAGGCATTGTTTCTGTCGTTCAAGACCATCAAGACGCCGACATCCCCGGGTGACCCGAGAACGGTATTCGATCTTCCAGGACTCACGACCCTTATGGGAACAGACATCCCCGACGACAATCTCGTCGTGGTTACCACCCGCCGAGCACTCCAGACGGCAACCAACACCCGTCCTCTGGCCCAGCTATGGCAACGGGGTGGAGTTCGTGAAGCCACTCTCGGCAATATATCTGCCCTGGAGGACCCTTTCTACGCACAGCTGTCAACGGGCTTCAACACCGGTCTCATTCGCCAATTCATCCCACGCATCAATTCGACCGCGCAGTACGAGTCGATCTCGGAAGACCAATTCCCCACCGGCTGCGATGCATTGCAGGGCGCCTTTTATGTAGACTACGACTACCTCAATCCAACAGACCGGACTGCAGACGGCTGGCGTCTGGAGGCTTGCATGCCTGCAGATCTTCGACAGTCGCCATGGAACGCGACCAGCAAGCGTCAGGACTTCTCCGAAGAGCTGTATCTCAATGTGACGGTCTATACCGGGGATGGTTATGAAGAATCACCTCCCGGGGGCAACTTGTACAAGGTGACGGTCAACACCACGGCGGGATATTTTGAGCTACCAAACTACATGAATGGTGGGATCGCTGGTCCTTTGCTGGACGACTATCCCAGCAGCAGTTCCTGTGGATCCGACTGTCAGTCTGAAGCCTATATCACCCGCCGTCAGGATGATGCCGTGGGTAATACAACGCTTTCGTCGGCGTCGGCGCGGACCACCAATAAAGGACCGCTTTTCACCACCGCTCTTGCCCTTTTCGGCTCGGGATCTTTCCTCGACACCTGGTCACAGATGCTCAGTGCGATGAACGCCAGTTTATCCAAGTCCAGGATCACGTACACATCTATCTGTCTTGACGTAGCACCCATGCACTCCCTCTTCCTGGACGATCACGGAAGCATTCTCAGCACGGCGCAGGATATAGATTACTGTGTTAAACTGGACGATGCTATGGTCAATCCACAGTATCCTCTAGTGTCCTGGCTCTTGAATTTCAACGCAGACGCAGGACCACTGGCCAATGCCTTTACCGCTGCCTCCTTCCTTGCCAACCAGGCGTGGATGCAATCGTTCACCTACTCGCACACCATAACGATCTACTCTGATCCCGGCGCCGACAGTCAAATCCCCGTCATCTCCCTAGGCGGCATCATTGTCGGATCCATCCTGCTGGGTCTGTATCTTTTCCCATTAGTAGCCCTGGCCGTGTACGCGTCCCTGTTTCCGCGATGGACAAAGCAGCTCGACGCGTTCGCGATGATGAGGCTCGGAGCAGCCGTCGGAGACGACAAACTGCCGCTGCTGGTAGGGAAGAATTCAGACGAGATCAAGGTGCTCGACGAGCTTCCGGGAGTAATCCGCGATGTGGCGGCGCCGCCGGCTGAAGCAGAATTCGAAGAAGTTGAAGAAGGCATCGATATCTATATCGGTCGCCTTGGCCTCGGAGCAGGAGTCCCATTGAACCCGGAGAGGCGATACCGATGCTACCCAGGGGACCACGAGCCTTTGACTCTGGAGGAAAAGAGGGCGATACAAGAAAGAAACGCCATAACGCAATAAACAAGAGTTCTGGTATGAATAAATGAATTCTTCATCATCGTTTACTATGTATTATTGTTTATACATAATTTTTCTTCTCCTATGATGTATCTATGTTAATGAAAAAGAAAGAAACGTTTAAGTACAATATACATGCAGATAATAACAAATACTATTAAATATCCTTCTCATTGCACAATATATACCCTCCTTGAAGGAGGCATGAGCTAATTAATTAATTTATTAATCAATAAGCCGCTCATTGGGAACAATCAAAAGCACGGGCTTTATTTTTTTATTTTTCAAGGGATGATAATAGATACAGACTTTATTTTTTTTCTTCTCAGAAGATGCCTTTCTTTCTTTCCGAATACATTATCGTTATTTCTTTATTTCTGATCTCAGACACTTGTACTTATAGTTTAGTTATAACAGTTCTAGTTATAATTAAGAATGAGGATAATACAAGTGTAAAAAGAAAAAAAACAAGTTCTATTAGAAAAAAAAGGGACAAAAAAAAACATCGTGACAACTCCCGACCATTCTCAACTCAACACACTCACTCCACTACTCCTTCCTTGCCATACACACAAGACACACTCCTTCCTTTCTACCTACTCCTTTGCACTAGTAAACTTACTCCTCACACCGAACAACCTCATGTAACTAACACGCCATTTCCTGTATTTCTTTTCTTCTCTCTTTTTTTCTTGCTTTGCTTTTCCTTCTCAATTGAATGGAATATGAGCCCCCCGGTCTGGTCCAGTCCAGTCCAGCCCAGTCTCAATCACGAGGTGTCTGTCCTAGGACTCGACTCGACTCGACACAGACAGCTAGCTAGCTAGACGAGACGAGGTACACAAAATATTGAAATCACCCACACTTTACAGGCACAAAGAAGGGGGGGCTGGGCTCTTCTATCATTAAAAATAATTCGCAGAGATATAGAGATAATAATCTGATAGAGGAACGAGGGAAAAAAAAAAACAGCAAACACAAAAGCACACTCCCAATTTTCACCGGTCCAAAACAATATATGTAAGCGCCATTAAATGAGTGATATGAGGAAAAAAATAAAAGAAATTAAAAATAAACAGGAACCAGAGTTTGCTCTTGCGATAACTTGGCGGGTCCGGATGCAGTAAACGTCTAATCGGGGAAAGAGAGTTATGAGATTGATACCGTTTCTTTTCGTGACTCTCTCTCTCTGACCAGGGATGATGGCGAGATCCGAAACACTGGTAGAACCCTCCAAGATTCGTTTCCAACACGATGCGCAAGTCAGATATTAAACAAACAACAACACAAACAAACAAACAAACCGCAATTCCATCATGGCCGTGCCGTCGTGAAACGAGTGTAGTGTCCCTGTGCAGAATGATCGAAACCGGTTCAACACGCATCAAAACGAATTCAAAGGCGACAGAAAAAGGCAAAGTGTCTCGCACGTGCGTGGAATACGTGTAAAAAACAACCGAAGCAAACCCAGTGGAGGAGGATATGAACATGGATTGGATGACGAGAACAAAAACAAATGTAATCAGCGGCCAGTCGAGCTCAACCTGCCGCGGGTATTAGTCACATTGGGAGAAAAAAGAAATTGCAGCACATTTCTTAAGACTTCCGGCCCGTACCGCAACACAGCGCCCTCATGGCTTTCTGGAGAAAAGTGGGCTGCGGCTCGTTGGCTCCTTGCACGCCCTGAGCGGGCTGGTTGCTGGTCGCTGTCCCGTTCCCGTTATTGGGACTCGCCAGACGGCCCGGAAGGTTGGCGTTCGAGCTCTGGAACTGAGCCTGAGTCGAAGCTGCTGGCGTCGCTGTCTCCTGACCCCCCGCCGTCCCGCTTTGACGTTTTGCTGGCGGCCCGCCTGAGGCGTTTGGCCGCTCGCGCGTTTTCCCGGCTCCAGCTTTCGCTGGGGACGGGGCGGGGGTTGCGCGGCGTTTAAACGGTCGGCAGTGATTCCGGGTCTCGGGTTCGTTCGGGCGGGCGTACCGTGTATTTCGCGACCAGATGCGTTCGGCCCCTGGTTGCTGGGGTGCGGTTGGTGTTGCTGCTGCTGCTGGTGGTGCTGCTGCTGCTGCTGAGACGAGTAGGGCTTGTAATCCCATCCCCTCCCGTTGTTCAGCTTCATCCAGTCATACTCCCCATCCTCCACTTCTCCGGCGTTCTTCAGCGCTTGGGTGAAGAGGTCCCGCAAGTAATCGTAGTCGGGCGTGTCCTCGAAACCAAGATTCCGGACGTAGGTCAGATACTTGCTGAACTCCTCTGCGTTCGGCTGTTAGCATGTCGATTGTCAACGAAGAATGAAAAGGACAGAGAAAAAGAAATTACCAGGATATCCTTCACACAGTTCCTTGATCGGGGTCGTCTGCTTCTTCTCGCCAATCTTCTCATACTTCTGCTTGTTGGTGGCCGCTTTCAGGCCCTGCCAAGGAAGACCACCTCTCAGGAAGTACATGAAGACATGGCCCAGAGCCTCCAAGTCATCTCGTCGCGACTGTTCCCGTCCCAGGTGCGTGTTGATACTCATGTAGCGCGCTGTACCAGACAGCGACTTTCGCTCCCGATACGGAATGTGCTGCTTGGTCTTGGGATCTCGGTACTGTTTGGCCATGCCAAAATCGACAACATGAATGACATTGGCGGCCTTGGTACCGGGACGGCCAATGAGGAAGTTGTCGGGCTTGATGTCTCGATAGATCAGGTTCTTCTCATGGATCGTTTGCACGCGGGAAAGCTGGGACCAGGGATTAGCACGAATCGGGTAGGAGCCGGGTTTCAACCCACCATCTGCTTCGCAACCATAACCACAGTCTTGATCGAGAATCGTCGGTTGCAGTGGTCGAAGAGGTCCTCGAGACTGGGACCCAGCAAGTCGATCACCAGAATGTTGTGCAGGCCCTCCTGGCCGAAATAGTAGACATTGGGAATACCCGCTGGGGGAACAATCAGCAAAAAAAGGATTGCAAGAAGAAAGAGATCACTCAAACGTACGGCATCCGACCAGGATCTTGTATGTCCGGTACTCATCACGGAGCTGGGGAGCATCGCTCTTCCGGGGTTCCTGAACGCTGGTCAGCACCACGCCAACATTGACTGGCAATTGACCGGGGGGAACGTACAAACTTGATGGCAACCTGCTGGCTGTTCAACAGATTCGTCCCTTCAAAGATCACACCAAAGGAGCCTTCGCCGATTTTCTTGCCCACTCGGTAATGGACACCGACGACGTTGGACGAGGAGGAGGCCATCGCGGATGATTCTTGCATTAATGGATTGACCGTTGAAAGACAGGCAGGGTAGGATCACGTCTGAACTCGCCCGAGACGTCAGGAACGAGGTGACTCGAGTGAATCGAGACAACAACGGGACAACCTACCTGCTCAAGACTGCTACTGTTCCTCTTTTCGAGAAGGCACGGGAGCCGCCAGCCGCATAGAGGGTCGACGCAAGCAGGATCTTGGTGCAGACGGGATGCCAGACGATGGCACGGCCTCGACAGGCACGGACGAGAGGTCGTCAGGAACCGTCGGGGGGCAGATTGAGCGCTGGCAGGACGGAGGGGGGGGCCAGGCGAGACGGCAATTGGCAAGTCGGGGATCGAGGCACGCGCGAGAGCGAGAAAGCGAGGCGAGGGACGAGCGGGCGATGGGGGGGGAGGGGGAGGAGGGAAAGCGAGACAGCCAGCTGGGACGGCCAGCTGCGTGGCAGAAGGAGAACCGCACAGGACGGCGGTGGAGGAGAGGGACAGGCGAGGGCGAGGACGAGGGCGAGGAGGATGGAAGGCAGAGAGAAGAGCAGGCAAGGTGCTGAGTCGACGGGAGAGAGGCGGGAGAAGATCTGGAGAGGGAGGCTGCTTGCTGGCCGGCGCTAGGAACGGCGTGGCCTTGGCTGCGGCTGGGCTACGGGGATTCTGCCGTCACCGGACTATTGGGTTTCTAGCAGGGTTGGCCCGTGGAAGACTTTTTGACCTGATTAATACGTGCAATATTATATGACTGGAATGCGGCGCTCTGCAGTGACTCCATCCATCTATCCGTCCATCGTCCGTCCTCCCACGCTGGCAGGCGCCGTGGGAGCTGTGGTCTGCCCTTTGTCTAAGGTTGTCTCAGGGCCCTAAGTTACTAACCTTCGCTCGGCTTGTTCGCGGTTAGCGCCACCATGCCAGGGGGGCGCCAGCGTTGACACGCAGTACAGAGTACAGACAGGTACAGACAAGTACAGACAGAGTGCATACAGTTGCTGCCAGACTCAACGGCTGCTGAGCTGGCAAATCACAGCAGCCAGGAACACGAGTGCCTGCCCGCGGTGACCGCTCTCTCAGCCTGGTCTCACTCTCGCGGCGCACTCAGCGTCATTGCCCCATATCGCGTGATGATCTGTCGTGGGTGCGCTAGCAGCCAACTACTGCTGCTAGCTAGCTGCGGTAGCTGTCCTCCGTGCTACGCAGCTTTAGGAACGGCCAGGTTGCTTCTGTTCTCTCTCCGCAGCTCCTGGCCAACCAGTGCGGCGTGCGGCATTCGACCTGAGGGCGATCCGTCCTGCGCGCCTTAACCCAAGCGAGCAGGCCTGAAGGAGCCCCCGATTCCCCGAAGACTCTCGCTTTCCGCCGGCCTGCCACCAACACCAACCAACGGCTGCCATGTCGCTGTCAAGACGGCTCCCCAGCGCGTCTGGCAAGTATCGGTGGACGAAGGAGAGCCCCATTGGATCCCCTCGCTGGAAAGGGTCCTCTTGGGATGCAGATTTGCAGATAAGTGTGTGCGCGCAAGCTTCCAGCCTTCAGTTTTTTTTAACCTGTATGCGGTTCGTCGGTTGGCTCGTACCCCTGGGCTACGGACGGAGCCGGTATGTTGCACTCAATGGTGCCAGAGAATGGAGCTTCGGGTCGTGATTCCGTAAACTGTTAAGCCGCTCGAGATCTGAGCTCGTCCTGGAGCTGAAGCGCGTAGTGCGGATCTAAGATGAATCCTGACAGGAATTACATCAGTAGTCCTTCGTCCAAGACGTTGGTAGTGAGGTAGACTCAATCCTATCTGGATCACAGAAAGGAGCAAAGCAGAACCTGATCTCAACATCGACATACTCCATAATTAGCTAGCTAGTTTCCAGGATACTGTCCTATTAATATCCCTATGTATGCTATTTTTGACGATCGTACTTCTTTCTTGGGTAAACATAGCCTTAACAAACGCAAAATCATATCTCACAAAGAAGGTCTTCATCGTCCCAACCAGCAGGACAATCATACAAACACATCTAGTCCCGGTTTATCGTTCCTACATCAGAAGAGAAACATCAACCAATAGTCTACCGTCCTCGAACCTCTACAGCTCGTCCGGTGGAATCTCTTCAGCCTCGCTTCCTAGCTCCTCCTTCACCAAATCTCTCCCCTCGTCGTACTCAAAGCCCTCACCTTCGCCGTCTTCCTCCTCACTGCTCGATTCGCTTCCATCACTATCGCCCTCGCTGCCCGGGTCATAGTCCTCCTCTTCTTCATCCTCCTGATCCTCCAGTTCACGCTGGACCTTTTGGAGCTCACTCTCCTGTTCCATCTCGCCTTCGCCGGTGTCCTGGCCACCCTTTTCTGCGTTGACGTTGTACTTCTTTGCGCGTCGGGCTTCCGCCAAACTAGCATCCTGCAGACCGTGTCTCTTCACATATGCGTCAATTCCAGCATGGTCGGCCTGGTCGATCATTGCAAACTCGATCTCCTGGGAGTTCTGACTGGAATCAATGCGAGTGGCGATGTTGAGGTTAAAAGTCCTCTGGAGGACGGACGTGTACGAGATGGACTCGATATTCTCGAACGCAAAAAATAGGAGTGGTTTCTTGAAACCGAAGAAGATTCCGGTAGAAAGGAAGAAGAGATAGCCTGTATCAAGAATTAGATATGTCAGCGAACGCCCATCATCTGGATAGAGTCGTACGGGTGTATACCTTCTTTACTGCCACGGAAGGCTTTCACATGAAATGCCTTCTCGCCCTTGCGATGCGCTTCGGGCATCGCGCTCACGAACTCTCGTTCATCGGGCCGTATAACCTTGGTGTGACCAAGGGTCTCGTTCAAAATTCTCCGGAGAAGAACATCGGCGGTCTCCTCGCTGCCAATTTGCTGTCCAGTCCCGGTGTACGCTGCCTTGAGCGGACCATCTGCAACCGTCCACACCATAGACTCCGGGACCGCTTCGCCTTCCGGAGGAGGTGTGATCCCGTCGCCGTACTTGGGGATGACGCAGAAATTGAACTGTCGCTGAGATTTCTCGGGCACAGGGAGACAAAGCACATGCTCTGGCCACGACCACATATCGTCAGAACGGATTCCAAGTCATCGTCGAACGCCGACCACTGCACTTACGGATTTTTCCCATCGGGATGCCAAATTCGATTTCCTTAGAAGTCTGGTTTCTTGCCCGGAGAAAGCCGCCCGCAGCTGTGATCTCCAGCGCCAGCTTCTTACGCTGTGGGACCGCAAACGACACATCTTGCACGTAAAATTGCAAAGGAACATCCGCGGCCAGGTCGGACACGACCGCAGTGCTCTTTACAGCGTCTCCATTCTGTAACTTTCGTTTCTTTATAGCAGGCTCCTCTTCAACCGGCTGCACTGGCTGAGCGACCGGATTCTGAGTTCTGGCGCTTAGACTGTAGGTGTATTGGGCGATATCTTGGAACAGAGGCCCATGCTGAGGAGAGGCACCTAGTAAGATAAACCGTTAGCAGCCGTCAACCTGTATCACTCAGCGCGATCGGGGGAAGAATCACGTACTGATCGCATCATAGACGCGCTTTCTGAGTGAGGCATCCGCAGCAAAGGCCTTGTCTATGATCGAGTAGTCTACTGCAGGCCACTGCTGGACGCCTGCAGACGTATTATTCACCACGGAGAAGGTCTGCCTGTTTCCAGAGGAATTGATTGCCGCGAAAGCCATATTATATGGCTTTCAGAGCAATTTTCAGAGAAAAAGCGAATTTTTTTGTCAGGTGTGTGTGGTGGAAAACTGCTGAGAGATACCGAGTTGGGCTCGAGCTATTACTCTTCTCCTTGGCAGCCGACCATGTGCTCCTCCTTCCTTGATCCTCTTGGGCCAATGACAAAGATCACACATGCTTAGGACAGCCGAATCCCAAACACGAACACAACGCGTGCAAGATAACAAACGCATGTCTTACGGGATACAATGGAATATAATCTCTCTTAATTGATAACTATAGATGCTGAGAGTGACCTTTTACTCCAAAAATCATACAGTGAAATACAGTTCTAAAGTACATGGGTTTAAGTGAAATGAACTGTAAAGTCGTTGAAATGACAGCCCAAATCAAGCAGCGGGAGTGTTCTCTTTCGCAGCTTTCTGCTGCATGAACCGTTCGATGAACTCGGCCGTCTCTTTGTCCATGATATAGTTGCCATCGGCATCAAGATTCTTCTTCCTTTCCTCCTCCTTCTCCTTCAGGAGCTTGGCCCGCAGCTCACCCTTGGGAGTCAGCAGAGTTCTACTCTTGAGATACTCTTCCTTGTAGTCCTCCAGCTTCTTCGCCTCGACCCATTCAGGATCATGCCGTGTCCGGTATTTCGAGTACTTGTTCCGCAGTTCGTCCAAGATACTGCTCTCGAATGGCGGGTGCAAGAGTGACGGGACCCATGTCGGTGTTTCCACTTCCATCCGTAGGGTATCCCAAGGCTCGTCCCTGAATTGAGGAGCCTTGTCTTCGGCCGGCCAAGGGATTTCAATGTTTTCACCCGCTATGTACCTCGTATGCCTGGGGGTGGTCGAGCCGTATGGTCGCTCCAAAAACGGCTCCCCTCCATAAACGTGTTCGACTAAGACGTCACGGAGATTGCCCGTGACGGAGTCTTCAAGGGCAACGACGAGACGAACATCGTCGATTGGGATCGGTAATTCCACGGCATTGTAGGCACGTTGGCTTCCGTATGCTTCGCTGAGCCATTCGGGGACGTGGACATCAACCTATTATCATATTGGAAGAGAATCAGCACCAATCCCACTGTCCAGACACCAGGACAATACAAGGGCTGTTACCATATTAAGGTCCTTGACAGTGACGGTCTCCGTCTCAGGATCGACTTTGATGACGTCGCCAATTTTCCCCTTGTCTTTACCTTTCATGATACAAACTCGATCTCCGGGCGCAATATTGATGTATTTCCTCCGGAGGTGAGCCGGAACCTTTGGCGGTTGCAGTGCTTGAGGAGTCAAGGCACCATAATAGCTCGCGATTGCACCAGAATCTCTTTTCGGTGCCAGAGGACCTCGCAACCAATCTTCCCGACGTCTTAATCTTTCCTCACGCTCAGCGTCAAGCCGCAACCGCTCCTGAGCGAAACGCTGTCTCAGCGATTCCTTGAAATCTTCACGCTGCTCCTTCTTGGCAGCGATTTTCGCTTTCCGCTGGGCCTGATTCCGGGCCAGAGCCGTCCGCCGGATGACTTTCTGCATTGTGCGCCGAGAGGAACGAACAATCGCTGGAATCGACTCAAGTGCCAGTCTTCCGAATGTCGGACAGCTCCCGCTAGAAAATTGGGACCGGCTGTGATCACGTGATCAGTATCCGCGCCCATGTTGCGCGCCAAAACCCCGTGATCAGAGTTGTCGCAAAGCCTCTGAATGGGGTGATTGCGAAGGATCCAAGTTACCCAACTGGATAGACATGACAGAGGAAAGCTCCTCCGTACAGCCTCTACATCACGCCAAGTGCGTTCCTATCAATCTATCTAGGTGGACTTGACCAACCGGCAACGGCGTTTGAATGTTGTCGATAACCGAATTGTTCCTATCTTCCCGCTTCAAATATACCCTGTCGTGGCCAACCCAGAAGACGCGATGGCTACGACCTTTAGACTTCTGATTTCATATATAAAGCAGGTAAACAATAATAATAGCGAGTCCGCAATAACGGTGGCTTCCTCACGGTCCTGGCCAAGTAGTAGTTCAACTGTGGCTGTGCTACCCCGAGTACCCCAGTACTGTCACGGTTTATACCGTACAGCATACTAAAACCGTTTCACGGAAGATAGTGGGTCGATTTCGCGAATGTTATTGAGCTATTACGAGGTCTTCTGCTTGCTATTCGTAAGAATTCCCAGGACGATAATACCAGCTACTCACATGATTCAGCAATCCGATTCGGTACTCCCGGATTGCACCGCCACACGACGGCTGTACCAAGATATGAAGATTACCACCCCTGGATTGCTCGATCGTCTTTGTTATTTATGATTATTACACAGTCAGTCTCTCGTTTAGGGAATTCGTCAGCCAGAGGCACTACTGTCGGCCGCTTGTTTCGTCGGCGGCCTATCTTTAGAATGCCATCCTTGTTTGTATGTCGTCTTCGCAGCGCTGCTAGGCAGTCTTAGAGAAGGAGCACAGACGGCCGTGCAATAGTCCCAAGCCTCAAAGGACCGTGTCCTGTCGTGATACGCCGACAGTGGTGGGCCCTGTCGACCCGCTGAAACAGTTTGCCGCACGTTATTTGGCCAGGCCGCGCTGCGTCTAGCAGTCAGCCTTGGAAACGCCCACGACATCCACAGGGATCATCGATCGGCTCATACAATGCTCGCTGATTGTGGGTGTTGCTAACGATAGTACCTAGGCAGGGCTGATCCGGTGTCTGCCATCTGGAGACAGAGAACGGGGCGTAGCGAGGCACTCCCAGCATGGACCGCAGCCGCGTCCGACTGCTGCTGTATGATGGCGAGGACAGTAAAGGCGCTGCTGGGATAACACGGCGTGTTAAATTAGGAGAGTCACTAGAGGCATCCCTCCTGGCAACGCCAGGACAAAAGGGGCGTGGCTGGGCGAGCTGACGCTGCCATGGCTCGGCCCCTTGGCCAGTCCCTCAGCCACGGTCGCAGGAGATTCCACACAAGCCACACACATACCAGACGAGCCTGCGGGTGGCCTGTGCGGGCGTTGCGTACTGTTCGGTACCGTACGGTACCTGCCGCCCAGAACAAGGCTCGCGGCGGCCAGCGACAAGGGAAAGCGCCCGAAAGAGCCTTAGCCCTTTAGTCAACCGATAACCTAAGGAACCTCTGGCCCAGTTGTCTGTCTGGTCTCCCATACAACCCCCGATCCCATCCTCTTCTCCAGAACCATCACCAACCTCAAAGAGCCGTTCTTTCTCCTTGTCGTCGAGCATCTTCACGACCCTCTGTTTCTCTCCTTCCCCAGATCCCGGCTCGTTTCCCTGCTCATTCACTGTGTGCTCACGAAACCGTAGGTTACACCCTTCTTCAGGCCCTTGTCAAAGTGCCTCCCGTGTATACCACGTCAACAGCAGCTTCCTCTTCTCCTCCCACAATCCGTCTCCAACCTGGTTCTGCTTGACTGGCTGGGCTTCATTTGCTAACCTGGTTTTTCAACATGATGAAGATGGCTGAAATCCGTCGCAAGCTCGTCATCGTGGGTGATGGTGCCTGCGGCAAGACCTGTCTCCTGATGTGAGTATCTCCATCATCCCCCTTCCTTTGATCAACTTGCTGTGGCCTGAAAAATGCAGCAGACTGACTTTGCATCCATTTTAGTGTCTTCTCCAAGGGCACTTTCCCTGAGGTCAGCTTTTCTTTCCTCCCTCTCTGACGCTGATGCCACGGGCCGTCTCAGTCCACACACCATGCGGCCGGTCGGGATACGCGTTTTTTGTTTCGACAGGCTGATTGATACCTATTTAGGTCTATGTCCCCACTGTATTCGAGAACTACGTTGCCGATGTCGAAGTCGATGGCAAGCACGTTGAATTGGCTCTTTGGGATACGGCTGGTCAGGAAGACTATGACCGTCTCCGTCCTCTGTCCTACCCAGACTCGCATGTTATCCTGATCTGCTTCGCAATCGACTCGCCAGATTCTCTGGACAACGTGCAGGAGAAGGTATGTCTGTGAAGAAAATTCACTCTGGTTGCGTTGGAGTCAGGCTGACATCTCTTCCCTCACTTTCAGTGGATTTCTGAGGTTCTCCACTTCTGCCAAGGTCTTCCTATTATCCTCGTCGGATGCAAGGTGGATCTCCGTGACGACCAGAAGACCATTGATGAGTTGAGCAAGACCTCCCAGAGGCCGGTTACCTACGAGCAGGTACGTAGCATGCCCACTGGATCGCCTTGTGCATCAGGTTGTTAACTCGTTATTTTTTTTTCTATCTAGGGTGAGGAGGTTCGCAAGAAGATCGGAGCCTACAAGTACCTGGAGTGTTCCGCCCGGACCGGCTACGGTGTCCGTGAAGTCTTCGAAACTGCAACCCGTGCCGCTCTGCTGAGCAAGCCCACCAACAAGAAGAAGAAGTGCAGGATCCTGTAATTTATTTGTTTCCTTTTTCAAGGTCTCATGCGGCGATTCTCTGCGGATAAGCTCTTCTGGCACTAGTTCTGCTCTCGATGGCTCGTCTTTGCGTTGTGCTGCCATGTCTGCCCTGATGTTATGTGGATAGTTCGAATCACAGGGCTCATGTGCTTCATGGGATCATCTGGCTGGCAATTGGTCGACGTCTCCTTTGTCCTGTTTGTCTCGTTTTTTTTAATCTCGTCTCGTGTCCTTTTTCCTTTTGTGTTTGCAGAATTTAGGATGGCGTTCTCTTCACGGTCTCGCAAACCCGTGTTTCTCGGTCCTGGCTACCAGTAGGTTTGAATCCGTGGCAATACCGACTCCCAACCTCCCCTTTTCCCTCACTACTGGACTAGTACGGGATCGAGGGCGAGCAACACGAGGATGCGATCGGTTTCCCATGCCCCCCTGCTATCAAATCTTGTTGCAGAGTTGATGAAGGAAGTTTGAGGAACTTCCCACGATATGTTAGAAAATCTCTCGGTTGCAGATCTTATATCATCCCAATACGAATAATCCCTATCCAACGCTCGTCTTATCTTCCGTATATATGCCTAACAGACGCAGTCCAGTCTGTCGGGAACTGTAAATGTGCTGCCTATACGAATATTGTCGTAAGCTAGAACGGTTTTTGAAAAATCTTTGTTTTTTTAACTTTTCCCATTCCCTCTTATTCTCATGCACCACTACTACAAGAATGCCCCCATCTGAGGCTTCAACGCAGAGGATTGATTGATTCAGAAGATTATTATCATCAGGCTTCAACATTGTATTGAGCCTCTACCTATCTATCTATTCTATCTATCGATTAAGACTCAATAGGCTCTCAATATACCTCCGCACATCAAAGCCCAGTCCCTCAGCCAATTTCCCTGGCGCCGTGGATCCTCCTCCTCCGCCTGCGGAACCAATACTGCTGCTGCCCGAGACGCCACTGAGGTCTCTGAAGAAGCGTGACCCGCTCACCGTGTGCGCGTGTCTGTGCGACGGCGCGTCCGTCGCTTTTCGGACCAGGAATGCTTCTCTGGGCGCTGCAGCATTGTTCTCCGGGAAGGTTGTTTCGCGGTCGCTGTTGTTTGTGCTTGTGCTTGTGCTTGGGATGCGGACCCAGACTAGCCACCAGCCGCGACTGGTCTTGCAGGTTCGTTCCATCTCTAGCGGTCGTGACCGCGTACCTGTGTAGGTGCTCAAAAACTGATTGTGGATATGGAGAGCTTCCATTCGAGTCCATGGTGGACGGTGGTGGTCAGAGGAAGTAGTGGTGGTGGCTTGCTGCGGTGAGGCCAACTCTGACATTCCGGGCTCCGGGATATTGGGGATCGAAGAGCGGACGGTCAGATTGGAGGGATCATAGACCAAATCGTAGACGGGGTTGTTCGAAGCTTTTCTCTGAGAACCGGCGTCGCCGTCGGCGAAGAAGATCCGTCGAGAGACATTCTGAGGGGATGTGGATGCTAAAAGCGGTCGCTGGAGAGGACCGAGCTGATGGTGTATGCTGCGGTAAAATGAGGGTAAGGTAAGTGAGGGTGTTCGGAGCTCGAAGAGAAAGGTGAACATGAAAGGTCGATGCTGGTTTTTCTCGTCAGCCGCCACCAACATAATAATGTCAGACTCATGGCATACCACATAGACCAGAACTTGCAGCTTCTTATACCGATCTTTATGGGCGTCTGGCGTTTCGTCTTCGTTGTCAGTCGTGCCGTTACTTTATTCCATCAGAAAGCTACCTTACCGTTATCATCATCGTCATCACCGCTGGGAACCGGTTGAGCCATCTCAAGATGCAACGTTCTAAGCAATGTTCGAGTGTTCCATGATTCGCCTTCTTTTTGGCCCTGTGTCGGACTGGCCGCCTCAGGACTTTCATCGTCCGTGTTTTCGTCTTCAAGGTCATCACGTAAACCAATAATGAACCTGCCGCAGGCGTCGTCTCTAAAGCTGCCCTTTCTTTTCCCTAGTTAGTAGTGATTCCGTATTGCAGATATTAATTATCACACACCTGGATGAAGAGACTTTCATAGCATTGCTCTCATCTTTCGGACCAGCTTCTGTCTGCTGAATGGGAACATTCGACGACATTGAGGGAAATCGCCATGACGAGCCATACCCCAGAGTGAGGTATTTCATGAGCGTTTCAGTCCCAAATAATGTCGAAGAATCCTCCGTACTTTCATCTCGTTGCTCCCTTGACAAACCGTCTGTTTTTGGTGGCTGAGGAGGTGAAGCTGTAACGAGAGGGGGTGGTATTCTCGGTGAGGATCTGCGACCCGGTGCAGGACTCTCTGAGGTCGTCCTATTCGGGACTTCTGATGGAGGAGTAGACGCAGGTGCTGATGGCCTGACTCGTCTCCTCTGCTTTCGACGTCGAATCGAGCTTGGATTCTCACCGACGCCGTACGCGGCGTCGCCATATCTGTAGATCCATTCCATCCAGTGAGAGACTCGACACAAGGACGACCGTGAAATCGCTCCTACACCAGAGAATATCACGCCATCTGACGGTTGAGGACATTGATCCGAGCCCAGCCACGGGAGATGGTCCCTTTCCGAGTCCTTCGCTGAGGGCTTTCCTTCCGGCGGCGCCTGCGCATCGCCAAATCTCGAGACGACGAGATCAACGAGTCCATTTGTCCTTGAAACAAAGTCCTCAAGGACCTCTCTCTCTCCACTGCCCCATTCTTCCTCCCCCACGCCGACCCCCAATTCTCCGCCTGCAGCTAGCTTGATGCCATTGAAGATGTCCACGGCGGGGTTCCCATTCAGAAGGACCACCCAATTTCGTATGAACCTCGTCCAGAAGCGACTGAGAAGCTTGCAAAACGTAGATCTCCCAACGCGGTTGTAGAGGTTGTCTAGAGAAATATCGTGATGTAATAGGAAGATCGAATGCGCCCTACGAAGCTGTTGGATCAACGACTGAGGAGGATAGACTTCTCGCGACGAATATTCGATACGAAGAGGCGCAGAAGAGTCAGTCCCGCTTGCAGCATTGGAGGGGAGTCGCGTGAGGTCGATGGACTTCGATATATATTAGTACTGGTTTACCTATATATACGAAGATGATCACTTACAGCCAAAATCCACCAATCCTTCTCCAGTTCATGCAGAACAATTCGCAACTTTTCTGTGTCCACGCTTTCAACAGGTTTCCCTCCTGAGAAGTTTCTAAAGCGTCCGTCAGCATGACCGCATCCCAACATCCCCGAGTCCCACCCACTTGGCGAAATTCACCATTCCCTGCGCCAGGCCTATCTGACGCAGCCTCTCGTTGATGTCATCTTTGTCTTCGCCGGAAGGTGTCTCATTGAATGTGGCGGACTTTCGCCGCAATCGGCTCGCCTTGGAATAGTAGAAGACGATCTGGTCGCTCAAGGTCTCATCGGTCGTTCCCAGCGAGGGGTTGTAGATGGCGAGGAAGGAGAGCTGCGCGGGGGTCACCGAGAGGGGTTCACCTTCAGGCATCGCATAATCGAGACGAATTCTCAGAGACCGAGAACAAGCATAGCTAAGAGGGAAATATCGCCGTGGTGTTCCGGAGATGCTGGCATGAGTTGGCACGTCGCATTATTATCACGTGGGTTGGTTATCGATACGGCGGAGAAAGCTGTTACGGAGTACTTGCGACAAGCTTCCGCAGCTTGCCTCGCCGATCCGCAAGCTCCCCAGGTCTGCAACGAGCAATTCAAGGCATGGGCGTCTACAAAACACCTGCGCTGCTAATTCTTCGCAAGCATCTGCGACATCGCGGCGTGTCCTTACACCGATGCTTCTCCACAAAGTCAAGTGAAGCTCTCCGCATCCTTTTCTGCGGCTCCGATGAGTTCAGCATAGCGTCCTTGAAAGCGCTCCATGCGGAACACCTACAACGGCCGGAAAGCATTGAGTCGATTGAAGTAGTCTGCAGACCGGGGAAGAGAGTCGGAAGAGGTCTGAAACAGATCCGTGAAGGTATCTATGCGACACATATCCTTGACATCCTACAATTCGAGAGCTAAAGACCTCCGACTTTGTCAGTTCCGATCAAAGATGCCGCAGCGAAACTAGGCCTCCGAATACACGAGATCGACACGTTTACAGGATGGACGGTAAAATAACCTTCTCGTGGCCTTAGCAATCGCGTCTAATACTTCATTATAGCCTCCTGGCGGTCCTATAGATTTGATTATCGCGGTATCCTTCGGGCTGTTCGTGCCGCCTCGGTTACTAAAGGCCGCAAAATACGGAGGCCTCAATGTTCATCCTTCACTGCTGCCAGAGTAAGTTTTTCGTCTGAGAAAGCTCCAGCATGTTTCGTTGACATGGGAATTGTAGTTTCCGCGGGCCCGCACCGTTGCATCATACACTTCTCGCCGGTAGAACGAGGACGGGTGTAACGCTTCAGACCCTTCACCACGAACACTTTGACCACGGAATTATCCTAGATCAGACGCCTGCTCCAGGATTTGAAATACCGAATCCTGAAACGTGCACGGTGCAGGAGCTGTTGGACCTGGTTGCTCCCAAGGGTGCGGAGATGTTGATAAATGGCATTCGAAACCGAATCTTCGTTCCCCCGCTGAAAGACGCGGGTTGGCGTGCAGCTGCAGGAGGCGATCCCATCATCCATGCAGCCAAAATCACGCCTGAAGACAGGCATATTGACTGGAAAAACTGGACGTGGAAAGAGATCAGTCGACGCCAGCGAGTTCTGGGCCCCTTGTGGAACATGGCCCTTGTGCCAGTCAAGCCGGTTGACGGTGGCGTGGAATTCCAGAAGAAAAGAGTGATATTTACCAACGTCGAAGAGGCCAAGCCCGTTCCAGGAAGCGAGCCGCTTGCACTGCTTCCAGGCGTGCCGTTTGCAGAGGGTCCCGTGCCTCAACAACCCAGCGGAGAAAAGCCGCTCTACGTGTATGCGCGAGATGGAAAATTGCTTCGCCTGCGCGAAGTGAAGGTTGAAGGGCAGCAGGCAAACGATGGCTTTCGGGCTGCATTCAAGGCTCAAATGTTATGTAATCGGGCTGTTCGCTCGGGGGAGTCGGAGTTCTGCATGTTCTACAATCCATTGATCTGAAATGGATTCTCCGGCCATTCTACAAGTAGTATTCAAGTAGTATGCTCTGGAATCTGTATGATACCCATTCCACTCTGAGAAATTCTACTCTCCATCTCACTTCCACTGAGACGTACGTATCTTCGGCCTCTCTTCATACCAAGCATATCCTACAAATACACAATTTACCTAATCACAAACCCGCTGTCTGTATAACATTTCGTGGTAAGTAATCGTTCTGACGATGAGAACTGTTCAGAGAGGGGGAAAACAATAGTAGACGTACCGATTTGAATCGACTGTCCCGTCATGGACGCATTCTTGGCAATGGAAACGTAAATGCTCGCAGCGTCATCAAGATCGACCTTAAAAAGGGGCACAAAAAGTTAGCAGCGTATCCTTCTGAATTTGTCCTCTTTTTGTTTTGGGTAGGCGTACTATTTTCTTGAGACTCGTCCTGTCCTTGTACCCTTCGATCTGGGCGGGAGAGAATCGATTGCCCTGTTTTTTTTTGTCAATATCAGCGCCGTTATATAATAATAATATCATCACCAGCATAACTAGACAAAATACAACACATACCCATTCAGTGAGGAGGAGGCCCGGCAAGACTGCGTTGACTCGGACCTTGGGTCCCTGTGTTTGGGCGAGACATTTCATCAGGTGCAGGCCTGTCAAGAAGTCAGTTGCCGCCATATATACAGATATAGATAGATAGATTAACTTAGAGGAGGGTAGGGCTTCATGGTCTACTTACCTGCAGCCTTGGTGACTGAGTAGGCCATGCTGCTCCCAGATGGGGAAATTCCCTAGTAGGTAGACAAAATATGAGTATTTCAATGTCGTGTCAGTATGCACACGGATTCGAAAACGTACCGCAGTAGAGGAAGTGATGATGAAAGCACCACCTTCAGGGTTGGCATTGAAGGTCGGTAATGCTTCACGGAAGAGATGGAGATTTCCCTTCACGTTCGTTGCCCAGCACTGTTTTAGGGAGATTTAGCAAGGAACAGAAACAATAAACGCATAGCTAAGTAAGTATATAGCTAGCTGGTAGAATAGCAACTCACCTTGTCCCATTCCTCCTCTGTCAATGCGTCCAGATCACTGAAGTTGGAGAATTTGGTCCAGCCCTGGACATCAACAGTCAGCCATCGATAACTAGAAAGAAAAGGAAAGATGGAGAATTTCAATCTCGAAAACGAGGATAAACCGGGACATGACTGTATATGTCTGTAAAATACTTACGGCATTGGAAATAACAACATCCAGCCCACCGAGCGACTCGATAGCAGTCCTGACTACTCTCACACAGTCCTCTCGGATTCCGGCATCCTTGGAACAAGCAATCTCAATCAGCTTCACTTCCTTTTCTTATCGTGACGACATACAAAGAAGAAAAGAAAAAGAAGACGATCGATATAAACTTACACCCTGGATAACAACCACCTTCACTTTGTACTGAGACTCGATCTTGGCCGCCGTCTCCTTGGCCCGGTCCGCATTCGAGACGTAATTGATGGCGATGTTCGAGCCCTCTGCTGCAAACTTCTCAGCTACGAGAGCACCTAGGCCTCTGTGCGATTTTGATCAGCACGAATAAATAGCATATATATAGTGTTTATCAACATAGTGATTGATAGAGTTTTAAAAAAGAGAGGAACAAGACAGAGCTAACCTCGACCCTCCGGTAACGAGGACATTGCGGCCTTTGAGCTCGTAGGGCATTGTAACACTGTTATTAGATTAATTGATAGGAATGTATGGATCTGCGGGGTAAGCAAGAATGGGATCTCGAATTGAGAGGGGTCTGTTTGTTAAGTCTGGCCAGATATGTACTGTGCTGTGGTATTTATTCAACTGGATAGCAGTCCTATCTGACAGCTGCAATCAGCAATGCGATCTTGTCTGAACACACACAGCAGGTAAATGAACGTAAATGAAAGATGCCCTCGATCTGTCGGAGGTGGGGTTGTTGTCATCCAGACCAGGCCGGCCTCGGAATAACCACCGAGGTGCATGCATTGTCAGCTCGGGGCCTCTGAGAGCATCAATCAATGCGTTTGTAGGTCGTATATGGAAGGTCGTACAACCTAGATGATCAGGGCATTCCATCTCCTATCAATTGGGTATGAAGTTGGTTTAGAGATACAACGGTTGCCTTGAGAACAGTGTCATAGCCCTAGCTATGTGCAGCGCAGTTATTACTGATGCTCAACTACGTCAATTGCGCACATACAGTACAGAATATTATATTCTATGGACTGCTAATTCCTTGCCTACAGTAATTCCACTATTCCACAAGTGCACCCACATATTCAGTCTCCCTCATTCCCCTCCACGCCCGTCTCCCCTCCAGATTGGGCCATTGAACGAGGAAGCGGTCTACAAACAGTAGTAAGATCTTACCAGAGAGGCTGAACGAGGTGACGCGAGCCCACGATTCGATAAAAATCGTGCGAAGCGGGAAGAGCGCAGCCTTTCTCTCGCCGGAACCCGGTCCTGAGAACGGCGCAGATACAGCGTTCAAGAAGCGAAGAAATTTTGCGGCCAGCACTACGCATACAGCTGTTGCAGGACCATTCGTAAGAATTAAATCCGGGTATGGTGAAGCTGTTCCCTGTGGGCGCACTCGCTGGTCTGGATGTGTGCCGCGCAGGACCTTGACGCAAGCCCAGAAGCATTGGATTGTTGAAAAAGGCGCCGTCAGGAACGACTGATGCACCCGACGGGCACGCGGCACGGTCACGATGGAATAAGAGTCTGGCTGGGCAGTGTTGACATCTTTGTATTTCTCCTGTAGCGAGGCTTCAAAGTCTGCTGCCTTTGCTGCACTGAAACCATCGCCAGAGGTCACCACGTAGGTTCGGAACGTGTATACTGTCGGGTCCAAGGGCAGACGGCGCAGCATGGACAGCATTTCAGCCGTATGCCCACCGCTACCCAGGACAACAAGCAGATGGGTTGGCGTATGTTTGCGGCGAGTTTTGGGGACACTGGACCGTTGCGACACCGAAAGCAGATGGAGGAGAAACTAAGAGAAGAATCAAGCAGATTAAGTCCGAAAACTGACCAAAATGTCTTGAGAGGAAGCAAGTGGACTCACGTGTAAAATAGCAACGAAGAACGCTGCAACAATAAGCGCCGCTCCCGCCATGACTCTTGCAGGCGATCTTCGGTAGGCCTCAACAAAACTGAGCGCGATGCTGGGCATTTTGGATGAGTGGGGTGTGAAGATCAGACGCGAGATGATGTCGACAGTCGACTAGTCAGTCCATTGGAACAGTGACAGTGAAGACCCGCTTTTGTGACTGCAGAGCAGTGACTGGTAGCAGGGATCAATTGCAGGCGAGTGAATAGACAAAGGTCACGTGGGCATCGACATTGACTGCTGAATGGGCTTGAGGGCGATAAATAATAGCAGTAGTAGTGAATGTAAATAGTCGATGAGGCTGTTCGCTGTCACTTGCGGCTGGCGCTAACCTCCGCTCCGCTCTGGTCTGTGCTCTCGGGGTTATTCTTCTGTTTTCTTAACTCCCGTCGCGACCCAACATAAGAACTACCATTACCCAGTATTATTTTCCTAGCAGCTTTCTTTCCTCGCAATACTCCATGACTTCGCCTTCTCGTCCCCGTGCATAGGACGAGATGGCTTCTCTATTCCGGAAGCGACTGCGCTGCTTTTACTGCGGGAAGCGCTCTGCCGAAGCGGGACAAGGAACCGTTCGCAACTTCCGCTGCAAGCATTGCGAGGCAGTGAACTATCTCGACGAGGTTTGTTCCCTTGGCTTGTTTCGCCATGATACGGCGTGCTAACGATATGGACGCGCAGAATGGAGAGATTACCGATCCCCCTACCACAGCGACCAATCCTCAGGACGGATCGGATGAAGCGACTACGCCCTTCAAATCTCTTGATTTTGATCAGTCCGGCCTGTTTTGCAGAAAATGCGTTCGGAATCAGCATCTTTTCTTAAAGGCTCTCGGATCCTACCTCCCTGACCCAGATGACCCTGCTTATCCTGCCTACGAGCGGGAATACCCCAAGTTCCGCAAAAACCTCGAGGAGCGCTATCCGCAAGTCTGCGAGAACTGCGAAGCTCGAGTCAACCAGCGTATTCGGCAGGCCGGATACGAGGCGAAGGCGGATCACCTCAGGAGAATGATGGAGCGCAGCAGGGCCAGCAGGGCAGCTAGAAAGGCGCGCAATCGAAACTGGAGGAGTGTTCTGGTTCTCATAGGAGCCATCGGATATTGGGCCAGTGTTGCGGGCCAGCTGGCGTGGAGCTTCGTTGGCGCTATCGAGGCCGATGGGCTTAACTCGGACGAAGATCCTCCCCTCCCCTGGTCGTCATTGGTCTCATCTGCAAGGCGAGCCATTGGAGCGCGACAAGTTGAGAGCCATCTCACCAGCGACCTTGCTCCTTACGCTGGAGTGGCAGTGATTTTGGGCTTTCTTTCACTGTGGTGGAACCCGAAGTTGCGGTTGAAAGTCGAGGGGAGAAACGGGCGATTCGCCGGCCTTGCGCAATATTATCAGTTTCAATTGATTGTCCTGGTGACGCGAGGCGTGCTGTGGGCGTTGCTGAAAGATCCTGCCATGAGTGGAATGAAACCATCTCTGCCGCCAACCTTGCATATTTTTGCGATACTCTTCACGATTATGGTAAGCTCGTCAATTTAGATTTCAAAAACCTCACTGACGTCTCTATTTTAGGGGGTAGTGGTATCTCGACAGATTGTACGATACGACAGTCGACCGCTCGTTTTGTGGTCAGACACTACGCCTGCAGCGTCTCCAAACCGAAAGGCCGAATCCAAAGCAGGTACCAACGAGCAGAGTCAGTTTCAGACCTCCAGTGCTCAGCGGTTTCCCGTGGAGAAACTGGCGATGCCGCGTCAGACTCCTGACAGGCCGGCATACATCCCTTCTACGCCTCCTCCTGAAGAGGACGAGATGGATTGGACTCCGTCCTTGAAACAGGAGATTCGACCGAGATTCAGTGTCGCACAGGAGAATCATGGAGGGTCGTTTACAGAAAAATCGCCATTCTATGGGTCGCTGCCTGAAGCGCCAAGGCCTCCTTCGTGGCAGCTTCGAAACCCAGCACCTCGACGGCCGGTTGAGAAGGTCGTTGAGCAAAATCCATTCTACCGTGTTCCGTCAGAACAGGAGAATCGAGCTGCTGACAAGGGGACTCGGCGTGGCTCTGATGTGTACTTCTCTCCTCCGAAGTTCTTCCCGCCCTCGGACTACAGCGCTACAACGGGGCTGGAGACCTTGTTTGATAAGGCATTCACGATCAGGTCACCGGATGACGAGCCTAGCGACCATGTCGGCAACTCTATGCCTCCGGCTTCGGTAAATGCTCAGAAGTCTTTTGTGTATCAGTGTCTTCGACTGGCACTACTCGTTGCGTGCTTGATCATGTGGCATGTTTCTCAAATGGAGCTGGTCTCCATTCCTGGGAACTATGTCGAGATCATCTCGTTGGGGAGTGCGAGCCTTATTTCTGGATTTGCACTGTTGGAGATTCTGAAAAAGCCAATGAGTCACTGGAACAGTATGGAAATACTGGTATCTCTTGCGGAACTCGCCGCAGCCATTCATTTAGGGGGCAATCTTCCGCGGATTTTTTTACGAGAGAGAATACTTTGATCGGTATGGAAAGTCGCTGCTGGTGTTCATGACTGCTCAGGAGGTGGTGGGATTGGGTTCCAGTTATCAACAAGCTCGATCTTCAGCTCAATCTTCAGGCAGCAATGCAACCGCATCGGAACAGACGCAGACGGCACATCCGCAAAGCCAGGCTGGAAGCCAGGTGGATCATTCTCGTAGCGGCTCTCAAACTCTCTCGTCAGCTCCCGGGTCGCCTCCAGAACTTTCATTTTCATCCACTCTAGCAACCTCCTCCTTCTCACAACCATCGTTTAGCAATTCTCAATCACCGCCTCAGAACTACAGCCTCTACCGCCAAGATTTCGACAAAGACAACGACAACGATTCCGACGCTACAGAAGGCTCCGATACCGACTCGGACGCAGAGACTACCGTCACATCAACTACGAACAAGACGATCAGACACATGAATCCGTTTGCGGTCGATAGCCCCCGCTCGACCAGAAGCAAAGGGAGTCTAGGTTCTGGACTGCAAGGACTCAGTCTTGAGGACAGCCCGGCAAGACCGATGACCCGGAGCCAAGCGTCACAGGCGCCAGGAGGAGAGGCCTATCGAAGGTATGCCTTGCGAAGGAACAGATAGAACGTATCCTAGTCTAGGACGGTAGCCTTCAGCCCTTCTTTACTTCTTTCCTACTGTCTGCATTGCATTGAATTGCATCGCATCGCATCACTCCTTCTTTTACAAGCGACAAGCAGCATTGTACAGCATGACGAATGAACTTAACGACTTGGGTGGCATGCATGAATTAGTTTAGTTATGGTCGGACAGGGTAGGGCATGGTTGGTGTTGTTTTGTTTTGCTTTGCGCTTAGCGATCGTGGAATGTTGTATTGTTGTATGTACTGGGTGGATATCTTGGGTATGGAGAGAAGAATACCATTTGAATTGAATCATTATCCACAATACAATTAATTAATACCATGTGCTATGTAAATGACAACCAGTTATTTCCTGCGCTGCAAAAAAAAAAAACAATCAAACTCTTTCCGCTGCGCCTCCCACGTCCTAGTATCAGTCCGTATTTTTTTGAGAGGCAGGTATTTAAATATATAGAGAGAGAATAGACAATTAATCTTCTTTTTCTTGGCTGCACCTGTTGAGAGGTGTTTTGATATTATTCAACGGGCTTTTCCTTCCCTTCTTGTCTTTTCTTTCCGTTTTTGGGGAGATACTGAATGCCTGTCCATTTATCTATTTATCTATATGCCTTCGTCTTGAATTTCCAACTCTGTTCGATCATCATTTTTTTGTTTTCGCTTTCGTGTTTGAGGATATTTCATTCGTTTCTTCTTCTTTCTTCTTCAGAAACGAAATTCTAAGGTTTTAGGATTCCCCGAAAAGGAAAAAAAAGTGAACTGCATAACATATCAGGCATCGATCGCATCGCATCAGGTCGTAGGACCGTCTATCGTGTCATAGCCTCAAGAAAAATTAACAAAGAAAAAATCCGAAAAAAAAAATCCTCGGACAAAATATTTCTAACGAAATGAATAGGGGGAAAAATGAACAAATTGAGAATGCAAGTCTATTTCCGGTAGAGAACAGCTATCTATCTAGGCGGCGCCATTTGTGTCTGCTGCAGTCTCAGCCGGCCTGACAGGCAGAGACTTCGGCAACGGAGGAAGCAAGTTCTTCGCCGCTTCCCGTGCTTTCTGCGCCATCAGGGCGTCCATGATGACCAGCGCCGACATGGCCTCGACAATGGGGACAGCCCGCGGCACGACGCATGGGTCATGTCGACCCTTTGCCTCCAGCACACCTTCCTCGAACGCGTAGCTCGCCGTCGTCTGCGCCTGGCCGATGGTCGCCGGCGGTTTGAACGCCACGCGGAAGTAGATGGACGCGCCGTTCGAGATCCCTCCTTGGATACCTCCCGAGTTGTTCGTCTTGGTCGCCAGCCGCTTCTTACCGTCGGCCTGGTTTCCAGGGGCGACGATGAAAGGGTCGTTGTGGATCGATCCGGGCAATTCGCAACCGCCGAATCCGGATCCAATCTCAAAACCCTTTGTAGCAGGAATACTGAGCATAGCATGGGCCAGCTTCGCTTCCAGCTTGTCAAAGCAGGGCTCACCCAGCCCGGTAGGGACATTGCGAATGACGCAGGTCACCGTCCCGCCAATGCTGTCCTTCTTATCGCGGAACGTCTCAATGACCTTGGTCATCCGCTCAGCAGCCTCCTTGCTGGGGCATCGCACGGGGCAGAAATCGTCGACCGTCTTGCGATCGATGATCTCGATCAGTTTCAGAAACTCCGGGTTGGTCGAGTAGGACGGGTGTTCCGGCGTCGGAGGGAACAGGTGCTCGTTGCCCACAGAAGAAACGAAGGCCACAATTTCGACGTTGTGAGCCAACTTCAGGTACTTTTCGGCAATTGCACCGGCAGCGACGCGACCTGTCAAATGCCAAGTCAGCAGTCAGGTAGATTTGCTACTTGTATTCTCAACGTACCGATGGTCTCACGGGCGCTGCTGCGCCCTCCACCACTGCTAGCCTTCACGCCGTATTTTTCAAGGTAGGTGTAGTCTGCATGACTGGGCCGGGGGTACAGGTCCATTGTGCTGCCGCCATAGTCCTTGGGTCTCTGGTCCTCGTTGCGAACAATCATGGCAATGGGCGTGCCCAGGGTGTAACCGAATTCGGTCCCGGACTGGATCTCAACACGATCCTTTTCGTTGCGCGGCGTCGTGAGGGCGCTCTGGCCGGGTCTCCTCCGGGTCATCTGAGGCTGGATGTCCTCCTCGGTCAGGGCCATGCCCGGCGGGCAGCCGTCGACGATGCAGCCGACGGAGCGGCAGTGCGATTCGCCATAGCTAGAAGAGGGTAAGAGAGACGAAAGAACAGATCAGAAGGAATGTCGACATACGTCGTGACTCTAAAGTACTCTCCCCAGGTCGACATGGCGGAGAATTGCGATCACCACCAAGCAAGCGGGGAAACGGATGGAACAATGGGATTCAGCAGCAAAACAACGAAGTGCCCAAGAAACAACGGGCCCGCAGCTGCTCTATTCACTTCAACTGGGTATGATTTCAGGCCCTAGGTGAGTATATTGCTTCTGAGTGCTCGCCGAGTCATCTCGAAAAGTTGCGCCTGCGGCTTCGGGGCGCGGGGTGTCCGCTTACCGAATGCAGCTTAGTGGCCCTGCGTGACGCCGACGTTCGGCGCGTGAGTTGAGGAGGATGGCCTGCGATGACGAGCGCCGCGTCGTGCTGGGCTGCTTTCCCCTCAATGCTTCCAGTGCGGCCTCTCCCATGCGTCTCTGCTCCGTCTGCGGTCTTCCATAGACGCTGGAGACGTTCCTTCGCCCTCTTTGTGCGAAGAAACTCGACGTTCTCGCCTTCGCAGTTTACCGAGTTAGCGAGTCGGAGCTCGTCTCAATTCCAGATCTACCAGTCGCTCTCGGCGGATCCCTTCGTGAACCTCTCGATCGAACATTTCCTCCTGGAGAATGCTCCCATAGACTCCAAGATCCTGTTCCTCTACATCAATCGGCCATGTGTCGTCATTGGCCGGAATCAGAACCCCTGGCTCGAGACGCATCTCGGGGCCCTCAAGCAGGCCCGCACAGGTGATGCGGACGACTCCAAATCGACGGATGAAGTGCTGTACGTTCGCCGGAGATCCGGCGGCGGCGCCGTCTTCCACGACGAAGGGAATCTAAACTACAGCGTCATCTCCCCGCGGGACAGCTTCACGCGGAACAAGCATGCAGAGATGGTGGTGCGGGCGTTGCAGCGGATCGGGGCGACAAACACCAGCGTCAATGAACGACACGACATTGTTCTGAGGCAAGACGTCGACGTAGCGAAGCGGCAATCAGCGGCAGCAGGAGTCGAGGACCCGCCTCAGGAAGCGTCTCCGCGGGCTCTGAAGGTGTCCGGTTCGGCGTTCAAGCTGACCCGATATCGAGCCCTCCACCACGGCACCTGCTTGCTCGACTCGCCAAACATCCACCAGATAGGCGCGTTTCTGCGATCGCCAGCCAGGCCGTACATCAAAGCAAGGGGCGTCGAGAGCGTCCGGTCACCAGTGGGGAATATCTCGTCCGCGCTCTCCGACTCGTTCGCGACGTTCTCCATGCAGACGGTGATTTCGAGCATTATGGAGGAGTTCGCACGCCTCTACGGAGTTGGGACCGAAGCCCTTCTGCGAGCTCAGCGCGCTCACGTGAACGAGGGGGAGCTGTATGCAGGAGATGACTGGGTTGCAGGGACGGTGGGAGAAACCCAGGCACAAGACGAGCCGGAGATCCAGAAAGGAATCGCAGAACTGAGGGTGAGCACGCAACTGCAAATCTACCTACCAATCTACCGTCTTACAACAACTGACTGTTATTTTTCGTCGATTATTAAAGTCCCTAGATTGGAAATTCACCCAGACTCCTCAATTCACATTCTCCACTTTCCCGATAGAGGAGGATCCTCGTCCTAGACCGCCATTGCCAGCACATCTACCTCCCTCTGTGAGTTTAAATTCAAATCAATAAAATAATATCTTCCCCCCGAGGTGAATCACCCTCTGATAGAAATTTTTGTCTTTCGCAGACCCAAGTCTTTCTCCGCGTCAAACACGGCGCCATCATCGAAAGCCACATCTCGACGTCGTCAGAGCCATCCGAAGCAGAGGCGCAAGCCCGGCACGTGCACCAAGTGTTGAACAGGAGACAACTCCACGAGCTGGCGTCGGAGGACTGGAAAGCAGCACTGCGACGGCTTCTGCTCGTGGATGATGATGATGACGCTAGTACTGAGAGCACTACTCGCATTGTGGACGATCTGACGGAATTCATCGGTGGCATGTTACTTGTGGATGGGAAGTCATGTTTGTAGATGTACTGTACTGTTACCGTACTATATATATAGATATATGTATGTGTCGATACATGTACAAAACCAAATCTGAAAGAAAGCATGCATTCTTTCTAACCTCTGATCAGGATAGATAGATACACACATACATGGATATCTGAACAAACACGATACACACATACATACATACAATATCATAACATATCATATGAATTTCACTTCTTCGAAGAATGTCGACAAGAAAAAAAAAAGTATAAAACAATGGAGAGAGGAAAAATTCCATTCCGAAGCACACATATCCGCTGCGTGCATTGCTATGTCGATCCCATCGCTGTGTCGTGTCGCCATATCCGTATCCACATATCAAACATCAAAGCATCAATAACCAATAATCATAAAAAATAAGATGGAACCGAAATCGAAGGGTAATATCTATATTCGAATCGAATATATGACAACAACAGCTAACAGATCCTTTCCTGAGCTGACCTGAGCTGACTGGATCTGACGAGATAGCTCGTATGGCAGGCAGGTCGTAGACTCACTGGACTGGAAGTCACTCCCTGTCGATACTGCCTCTTCTGCTCCTTCTGGTCGAGGCACGATCCGTTTCATCATCATCATTGCCGACATCGCTGATGCCATCGCCGACGCCAGCGTTCACCACTCGGAGCTTCTCCTTCGGAACGGTGAACGTGGTTACCTGCACGACTCTGCCTTCGGCTGCTGCTTCGACGTCCCAGTCTTCCTCGTCGTCGTACTCGTTGTCGTCCTCGTCGTTGTTTGTATCGTATGTATGCAGGTCCCCAGAAGGAGGGTAAGACAGGAAGCTGTCGTCGGAGAATCTCTTGTCTACCGCCCAGTCTCGGGGACCTTGTTTGCGCCGCAGATGAGCGGCAGAGGCACTGACGGCCCTTCTGGGCATTTTGTCGGGGCTCGGAGTCGGATTGAATGCTGTTGTTGTTGCTGCTGTTGCTGCTGCTGTTGTTGTCGCGGTATCCTGAGAACTAGTCGCGAGGAATTTGTCAAAGTTTGCGGCCTTCTTAGCCCCCTTCAGGGTCTTGCGGACGCTCCCCATCCAGCTCAAAGAATTCCTTTTCAAGCTGGTGGTGGACAACCTGGTTGGAGACTCGGGGGGCGTGGCCCATTCAGAACTTCCTCCCAGGAGACTTTCACTTTCCATCTGTTGTTGCCTCTGTGAAGTGTGAGCGGTGGAAAACGAATCCATGGATCGCTCGACAGACAAAACTACAGTGTCGTCACTACCAGACTGGAGATTTCCCGGAGAGCGGCCTGATCGACTGGGTTCCTTCTCTGGCGACTCGCGCCCACTGACGGCTGAACTGGAGCTTGAAGACGGTTCAAGTACCGGGACATTGGATAGATCAAGACGCGGTGCTTTGTCGGAAACCCGCCTTTTCACAGAGCCGAAATTCGATCGTTGAATAGAAGATACAGACAATCCCGACGCAGAAGACTCTGACAAATTCGAATCGGTTCGCTCATTCTTATTTGGAGACATGCTGCGCCTTCTTTCAGAGCCATCCCCAGATGACTCTTCCATGCCATCGGTATGATCCTGCAGTAGAGAGGTACCTTCATTAACAGGCATTATCTGAGATGGTGCCGACGGCGAAGGATCATCAAAGGGGTCCGACATTTCAGGGCTCCTGCTGCGTTGCCGGCTGTCTTCCTGTTCCGGAGACTCTGCCAATGTCTCTTCATATTCGTCGCGCTCATCGATAGGGTGGATGAAGCCTGCGCTGGAATAATTCATCTGCGGCCGAGAAGAGAAACTTCTCTGAAGTCCTCTCGTTAGATTAGGTGTCTCCCCCAGTAGACCAGTCCTCTCTGCCATTGATCCTCCATAATGTCGTGAGCTTGACGCAGGACTGTACCCGCGATTGAGACCGAGCGAATAGGCGCTGCTCCATTGCTCGCTCATGGGGCCTTGGAAGCTGACTGCCATTCCGGGCTCATCCCAGACATGAGAACGCTCTGCGCCAAGAGCCAATTGGCGAAGCTGCTGCTCCCTGAAACGACGATGGCGTGACCTCTTCCGTGAATACACGCAAAAAACCACTCCAAGAAGAACAACTACTGCAAGAGACATGCCAACTCCGAGTCCAGCCTTCTGTCCTGTAGAAGAAAGGTTACCAGTCTCTCGTTCACCCGAGGCCAGATTTTGTATAGCTGGATTCGTATACGACGACACCCAGGTGTTAGATGTCAGATTGTATAGATAGACCTGAGAGCTGGGCTCGAATCCCGAGGCAGAGCGCTTCGATGATGACGATGAGGGAATGCTATATCCTCCGATGATTACCATCACGTCTCCTGGAAGCATTGCCGCCGCGTGCCCAAAAATCCCAGAGCCTTGTTTAGGCATCCCAGAACCAGTGGGCTGAGACGGCACAGTCCATGTCCATTCCCCAGAACCTCCGTAATCCTCGCCAAGCTCAAGAATAACGAGTTGCGGGTCGGCAGGTGTGCTCGTGTCGCCAACCCAGCCACCGAAGACGACGATCTTGCTCCCATCTGATGAAAGAACCGCACTGTGGCCCGACCTCGGCTCTACCTGAACATCCCGAGCAGCGAGATTGGTTCTGCCGGCGCCGACTGAGGAACCGACAGGGATATATGTCCAACCGGCCTGCGGCAGAGAAAAAAGTGCCAGACTCGACATATTGATAAAGGCGGTCTGGGTGTGACCACCAATCAAAAGGAAGTCTTGCTGTTGCAGCACTCTCCCCCCTGACGTTGTAGAAGAAGTTCCTTGCAGCGGTGTTATCGTGAACCCAGCTTCAGCGACAGGAGGATTTGGTGGCACAGTTATCTCAAGATCATAAGAAGAGCCAGACGGATCTAAAACAGTGATTGCCCGAGAGTAATTGGCCGCAGATACCCAGTTGTCGTCGGTACTGTTCGCAAAGGGACACATTCCACCAAAGGTATACATGGTACTGGTGGTATCGTTGGACGCCGCGTATGTGAATCCAGCTGCTAGATATGCTGGCCCTGGTTCGACGCTTCCCGCCCGAAAGCGCTTGACCGACAGTTGAGACCATGTACCGTTACCGGTCGAGCTACTATTATCCGGACTGAAACTCCAAACGACGTCGGTGCCGTCAGATGCCTGGCAGTTCCCTGAGAGGACCTTGAGGGTCCCCCCAGAGTCCATCATTGAGACGAATGCAGCCCCCTCATCGTCTCCTTGAAAAGGAACGTGGTCATAGAGAACGGTATATTGTGGGGCTCTTGTGTCGATTTGCGATAGATCCAGAGAGAGGAATTCTATCTCGGTCTGCGCCGACGACTTTGGCTGCAGAAGGTATGCAAGTGTGCCATTGTGTTGGGGAGAGAGGAAGATTCGAGAGGGGACGTAAGGAATCGCAGCGTAGACCGGTTGAATCACCAGCGCATAAAACGTAAAGCAACGGCCAAAGAAGTTGCCCTTGGCCATCTTCGATATCACAAGGCCCAAACTGGTAGACTCGGTATGGTATCGTCTGCAACTCGATTCGTCTACCGCAGTCTTCCGATGTTGTGAGTTTGAGGCATCTGCATCACCAATCTGCGATCGACGAAGATTGAAAAAGAAATGAAATAATAAAAATGGATTCCGCTCGTCAATATGGAAGAGAGCACATCCCACAGATCAGGTCATATCTGAACGTTGTTTTCGAGAACAGTTGCACAGTTTCTTCAACGTCTGATGAAGCATAATCCGCAAGATAGAAAATCAGAATGAGGCGGATCAACAAGTAGTCCGGATCGACAGAAAACGCGGGGCAGGTGACTGCTCGACCGCAGGCCGCGTAAACAGCCAGGACCATGTTCTGGACTCTCCATAGGGACGGGGGTCAGTCGAGTGGCACCCAATCGATAGACACGATTGCAGCGGAAGAAGTAAGCGCAAGTCACCGTTTCATCGTTATCGGGGCAACATTGGCAGAGAGCACGAGGCGACAGCGGCATGGCGGGCGGAGAGGCGTGTAAACATGGCGGTTGCATGGCAACACTGCTCCAGCGGGTGTGATTGGTTGGTTGGGGAGCGTTGTCAGCGGGAAATTGATCACCTGCAACCAAGGCAATTATAACTAAACAGGAAAACAAATCTGCAGATGAGACTCTGGCAAAGCGGACGAGCCTTAGAGTTGACGATGCAGACTTGCAGAAGAATGGAGTTGAGTATTTGACGTTGAAGACAACTCTGTTCCTAACATGGCGCTTGACCCGATCGGGAACAAGCCGTTCCTCCACTAACCTTACTCTGTACGGAGTACCTCTGCTGCCTCAAGCATGTGATGTCAAGTCTATATTTTGCTTGGCTTATCCAGGTTTCTTACCTATCCATGGCATTGACAACTACATTCTTCCATCTTTCCATACTTCATGTAGTTTACGAACCTCCGAATCGACGTCGAGTGCTCTTCCTACAGTTACTCTCCCAACTCATCAAGCTCAGAAGTTCTATTACCCGACCAGGACGACGATGTGGCATTATGGATACCACGGAGAACTCAACCTCTGGATACAATATCAAGACTCGATTCATTATTATTTCAGACACGCATGGAGAAGAATTCAAGCCAGAAGCAAAGCCCCTCAAACATGCGGATGTGGCCATCCATTGCGGCGACCTCACGGACCAATCTAAGATAGAGGAGTACCGCGCCACTATACGACTGCTCAAGGACATTGATGCGTCTCTTAAGCTCGTTATTGCTGGGAATCACGACTTTACAATGGATAATCCTGTCTTCAAGCGAAAGATAGCTGAAGTACGGCCACCTCTGGATCCAGATGTTGTCAGAAGAGAGTATGGTGATTATGGAGAGGTGAGGCAACTTTTCGAGGAAGCAAAAGCTGCAGGCATTATGTTTCTAGACGAAGGAACTTACCATTTTACCCTAGAGAATGGTGCGTTGCTAACCGTCTATGCCAGCCCGTGGACACCATCATTGGGCGGTTGGGATTTCAGTATCACCCAGAGAAAGGGCACAAATTCTCTATTGAGAAGGGAGTTGACGTCGTGATTACCAATGGACCGCCAAAGGGAATTATGGACTACACTGGGTCCTGCCAAAGGGCGGGGTGTCCGATCCTTTTTGGAGCTGTTGCTCGAGCCCGGCCGCGGCTACACTGCTTTGGTCATATACACGAGGGTTGGGGCGCGAAGCTGGTTACTTGGAGCGATCAACTCAGCGAGACGCCATCACACTTTACAGATATCGACAATGAGAGGTCTATTATTGTGGAAAGGTTATCAGGCTTACAGAAGTCTAGGTTCGACACACCGGAGATTACGGCGGCAAAGTTGAAGAAGGCGGAGTATTATAGTCACGAGAGGTGTTATACGACCAGCCACTGCACTGGAGATGCGAATCCTCTTGAATGGGGTGCGCAGACGCTTTTTGTCAATGCCGCTATCAAAGGCACTGAGGATCATCCTGTGCAGTTGCCGTGGCTGATCGATATTGAGCTCCCAAGGGCTGGCTAGAAGTTGACTTTCTCGGCCCCAAAGGATCAATGCAGAAGAACAGGGATATTAGAGGGGGAACATTGAACCAGGAGAGTTCTATACATGTAAATTTGAATTTTATGTCAAACAAAGCGGCAAGTATGGCGCCTAACCCCAAATAGTTAGATAATATGATCACTAAAACTTCATCAGGTAACTCCCCGACTCAGTGGACAGTATACCTCCTGGGTAGGCACCTCTTGGTTTAGACTCCCCAACCGCAGTGCAAACAATAAACTACCTAACCGACATTCGAAGATCAGAAAGGCTCAGAAATTAATTGCTGTGCCATTGTATGTCGAGTATGGTCCGAAAGCCCGAGGTTGGAGGGCTCGAATCACACTCCAATGCAACACTCCCGGTCTGACATGCGGCAGCGTCGCCATGGCTGGGTATGAGAGGCAAAAAAATGGATTCTTTTTGGATGGCGCAGTTGAATTTTATTTTTTTTTCCCTTGCCACCCCTTCCCTCTGCACGAGTCCTGGAGTGTCCTCTGCATGTGAATAATGTCTGCTCGACGAGTCCTACGTGACATGGGCTTGGGTAGACCGCCACTGACAAAGTTCTCAGCAGTTTCCCTCGATCCTTCAGCCCGACAAACAACACCTACAGGAGAGTCGGGCTGCCGGTCAGGAACAGAAGACGGGTGTCTGGCAACGCTTGCGACTCTGCAACCTGCCTTTGTAAATTCTCCGGTGGAGAATTGCGTTGGCAGGCTTCTCTGCCTGCTCATGCAGCTTTCCCGCACCGCATCGAACGTGAGGCCTTTTACAGGATTTCCCATGGGGCCAAGCAACTCGCTAATCCACGATGCAGCCGTTCGTATGGATTGACCACAAGAATAGCAACGGCTCCGGCTAATTCTGCCGGGGTTAGGGTGGCAGCTAAATCAAACGTGCGCACAGGGCAAGCAACCTGGGTCGCTCCTTCCCGTTCATCTTGGCATCCTCTTGGGCCTCTTGGTGGAAGCTAAATCCAGCTAGTCCGGTTGGGCTAAACCCGATTGGGACCCGCCTGCAGCTGATGCCGTCACCCAAGGGTTCGCTAATTCGCAACCACGGGCGGGCACGAGCCTTCCAGACAGTATCGTGCTATCAGTTTCTCTGGACTGGTTCTCTCAATCTTGGAATCCCCTTCTCGAGGTGCGTGCTTTGACCGGTCACCTGGGAGAGGCGGAGCGCCAAGCTTTCAACGGAAAAGCAGTCTGCCAGGGTCTGCAGTCCGTACCCGCCCAGGCAAGATGAAGCATGGATTTCCATGGTTAGAGTGCAGTGACAGGACATGACGGGATCTGATCTGTGCCAGGCTGCCAGCTGGGACAGGCGACTAACAGTATGCTATTGAGATCGACAAACTCTCCGTCCAGGGCTCCTTTCCCAAAGAAGAAAGGGGCGAGAAAAAAAAAAGACGCATCGAAGAAGGGAAGCACTTTGTTTGCCCCTGTTACTCTTCAATGGGACCTAGGAGGTAAATTGCCGCAACCCATGGATAAAGATCCTTCCGCTGTCTCACTTCTGCTTCAGCGGCTGATTGGCCGGTCGGGAACAGAGAGCTTCCTAAGGGATTGTTCGCAATCGAATGCCGACAATACCGAGCATTCTCCATGACAGTCGCCGCTCAGTGGAAGAGGCCGGAGCGGCGGCTAGCCGGACGCAGTTAGGGCGGAAAGCATGGACCAATGGCGTCCCTGGACGGCTGCCCCACCCAGTTGTGACTTGCAGGTGCGCCGTCAAAGAAGATCCCGGCAATCAGCGATGATTGATGAATGGGCTGATTTCTCCGGCCCTTGCATGCGAAGCCCTCGGAGGAACGTCCTGGGTAGTATCTCTTACTACATCGTACTTCCTGCCAGGTACCAGAGTCTGAGGGAAGCAATCCGCCCAAGGCAGGACCTCGCCAATACTTGCCTCTGGTCCTGATTCATTATTGTGCACAGAGTTGACGCCGAGGAGCGCTAGTGCAGGGGTGTCTTGACAAGACTTGGGACGGCCTACGAGCAGCCTACGGAAAAGGCCATGTGTCCGACTGCCCCCTCACCCCGCCTTTCTCCCCAGCTTCTCGCGAATGGCATACTTCCTGGAGCATGCTCCCCTCCAGGATGGAAATTATTTAATTTATTTTGCTGGCTGCTAACTTCAACTGCAAGCAATGAAGTCAGTAGTAAGTAGGTGGTTTGGGCGTGGTGCATATGCGGCACACCCTCTGAGTATCTGCTCGATGCTCGATTTGAGTGAGTTGCATATATTACTCTGCAGGCATGTCTATATGGTCGTTATCATAAAAAATATCATCATTTCACATCGATCCTGCGTGCAGGGCTGTAGATACAAACTTCATGAAGAGGACTAGCCGGAGTTCGTCCTCTTCTCCGGAGGTGGAACTAAAAAAATATATATATTTGCCTAACCAACCACAATGCCTACTATTAATACACAGTCAAGTATTATTAACTTCATGAAGAACCATGAAAACAGAACCTGATGACGATCAGACTGTAGGTAGGTAGGTTCCAAGGTTGAGATTCTCCCCATCAAACTCAACCTTGGTTGATTGTGTTTCAGTGTACTAGGCGATAATGATGGGTTATATTATTAGCTTGAAACGGTATATATAAATCTTAGCAGTTCAGGTACCGTAGGTACCCAAACTGAGTAGACAAAGCGGAGTTTAATAGTCTATAGTTTGAGGATGAGTCGCGACTGTATGGATATAGAGGTCCATACACTCCTGTCACACGAAGACGAGGCAGAGTAGATGAAGATGCAGATGCAGAGCAGACATCGAAATGATCTGATATTCCTCTCCTCATCGTATATAGATGGAAGTGACGTAATCTCATCATCTTACCTAGAATGCGATTGAGTATGGGATTTGGTGAGGGAGTGTACTCGCGTAATCTTGCCAAATTCCCAACTGAAGAGCAGCCAGGGCTTTGTCACATGAAGGGAAAGGACGCCAAAAAGAGCGTCATTTCCCCCGACTTAGAGACTACACTGCATCCAATTGGCAGCGAGGCATGAAATTAGGCTGCTGGACTGGTCATTGTTGCGACGATTAATGCTGCCAGACTCGCACTGATTGCTGCTCATGGAAACCGGACGGGCGTCCGAGTCGGAGGCAAATCACACAGGGAATTGATTCTGCGCTGCAGGTGGCCCTCTGGGCCTCTGCCCGGTGCGCACCCAGCCGAGTGTCATATCATGCACGATTCCGTGGTTGCTTCTCACTGGCGTCCCGCCGCCCACGATCCCCGTGGCGGGCCGCTGGCCACCAAGCAGACGGCGCTTAAACTCAAGGAGTCGCGAGCCAATTTTGGCGGGATGGAGCAGCATGGTTCATCTAGCTAATTAACTTGATTATCTCTGCTCGAGTTCCTGCCCGAGAATGGAGATTTGTCGCCAGACTGGCCGTGGTTCGTTGCCGCTCGAGGAAGCGAGCGCGGGAAGGAACAGGAACAAAAATGACGCTGCAATCCTGCCCTGATTGGGCATTCGAGATCGGACTGCTCGACCCAACCGTGGCTCGAGACGAGCGAGTCGGGATGCTCGCCTGGGCTCGTTGCAAACTGCGGCAGGCTGCAGCAAGCCACGGCGAGGAGGGCAGGAGAGCTGCGAAAAAAAAAACATTTGTACAGTACTGTAGAACAGGCCCAACGGAGTCGTCTTCAGACTCCTACGTAACGACCTGGCCACGGCCCTTGGCACGGCGCGCCACCAGGCCAGCGCGCGACCCCACTGCCGGCAAGCAGCACCAGCCACGGCAGCGTCAGGCAGACAAGGGCCCATCCTGGTCGCCCACGGACCACCGCCCGGAAGGCCGACCGAGCCTGCCAAGTGCCCAGAGCATCCAGATATTCCTGCCCACTCATTCCCTGCGCGGCCTCCACTCGCCCTTCCCAGTTCCCCCCCCCAAAACCATCGCCATCGCCTGCCGACTTCCCTTTCTTCAGTCCTCTGCATATCGAACCACCACACCCTCTGCCTCTGCCTCTCCCTCTTGTCCGCCCTGGTCCTGCGTCCGCCGACGCGCTGACCCTCCCGACTCCCTCGTCTCCCTGACGCACCGCTACCGTACCCCTCCGATCCCAGCGTCATACCGCGCACGGGAGCCTGCATCGACTGCTGACCCTCCTTTGCTCCGAGTGTGCTCTCGGTCCCTTAAAAAGCATTCCGCGTCGTGTCTGCTGCTTTTCTCTCCCTCGCCCCAGCTGCTTCAGCGACCAGCTGCACGCCCTCTCCAGACGGTTAGACTCCGAAGTAGCACGTCCTGGATCCCGTTGCCAGGATCCGATCCCTCCGTTCTCGATGCTCCTCGCCTGAAGAGGCGCCACTAGACGGGGTAATGGTGGTTCTGGCACCACCAGCAGAGCTTGCTTTCTTCGCTGGTGTGACGGGGTTGGAGATTCCGTGCAACCGAACTCGGTTATAACGCGGCGAAGAGAATGTACAGCACGAATCTGGGAAGAGACACTCGTTGACTCTCTAGCAAGATGGGGCTCTTCGAGCGGCGGTCCTCAAAGGCAGGCCTGGAGGAAACCGACCAGTCGACTCATGATTCTTCACATCGCCCGCCATCCCACCATGCCTCCTCTTCCCTAGCCCACCCTTCCAACACCTCCACTTCGACCAAGACGTCCTCGAGCTCTTTGCAGGCTTTGCATGAAGATGCTGTGACCGACGCCCGTTCCGATCCCAGCGCCGCCTCCCGCACTTCTCTTGGGCGAACGCTTTCTCAGCATTCCGAACGCCCGGCTGAACCTCTCGCCACGACCACCCAGCCTAGCAAGAAGAAAACAGACGACTATCCCGTCTACCCGAATCAGTCCTATGCCTCCCTACAGTCGCAGGTACACCCAACTCGCTCTCTCCGCTCTCGAAGTTCCTATCCTTCCCACACAGATCATACCAGGAATTCGCAACCCCAAGGCTCGCGTACGGCAGGAAACACCCCTGTATCGAGTCCTGGCCTATTCACCCCACGTCGGTCCACCCCTTCTGTCGGCTCCGATGAGGACGGCCGCGTGGGCAGTCTGTACCTGCATCCTACCCATCTCCAACCACCCAAAGAGTGAGTGTTCTCTCTCGATCCTTCAATCATCTCCCCTTGTTTTTTTTTTGGGAAGGTGTCCGCTAACAATTGGTTTCAGGACCCATACTGCTGAGGTCGATTGGGATGAGCATACCGGCAACAAGCTCATTAATGACTATGAGGTTCTGGAAGAGCTCGGTCGTGGAGAGCACGGGAAAGTAAAATTGGGCCGCCACTTACCCACCCAGCAACAGGTTGCGATCAAGATCGTCCAGCGCTATTCAAAGCGGCGTCGCTTGGGTAAACTGGGCAACCCGGAAGACAAGGTCAAAAAAGAAGTAGCCATCCTGAAGAAGGCGCGGCACCCCAACGTAGTCAGTCTGCTGGAGGTCATCGATGACCCGAATCGTCAGAAGGTTTATATCGTGCTGGAGTATGTCGAAAATGGCGAGATCAAGTGGAGAAAGAAGGGCTTGAAGGAGATCGTTCAAGTGGACAAGCGCCGCATAGAGCGGGAGAAGAAGGGCATCCCGGATTCGCCATCGTTCATGGAAGAGAGTCTGCAATATGTCAAGAACGCTCAGCATCAACGACGGCTCAGAGAAAAGGCTCGGGAAAAGCGCCAGGCGCAACTACAAGCCCAGCAACAGAACTCGATTCCTGCGTGGAGTTTGGAGCACGGCGGGCAGTCGGATGATGAACTTGGGCCAGAGCTGTCACCGACTCAGACCGCCAGTCGCAACGCCGGCTATCAGGAGAACCACGACGCGTACTCCTCCCTCAGCCAGTCCTACAACAGTTCCACCTCCGAGTCCGAGCGTCGCATGCAGGAATCGAGTCTGGCAGCCATCGAGGGCAGCATGTACGGCCCTTACGCGGACTACTCGTTCGAACGGCGGTTCAGCACTGCTTCGAGCATCCTTGGCTATGCATCGTCCGAGCCGGACTGGTTATCGGACGACGATGACATGTCCTATGTTCCGTGTCTGACGATCGCGGAAGCCCGCAGCGCTTTCCGGGATGCCGTCCTAGGATTGGAGTACCTGCACTATCAAGGCATCATTCATCGCGACATCAAGCCCGCCAATCTGCTGGTGACCTCAGACTATCGGGTCAAAATCTCCGACTTCGGCGTATCCTACCTGGGGCGGCCGATCCGGGATGACGACGAAGAACAGGTGACCGAAACCGACGCCACCGAGCTGGACGACGCCCGCGGAGAGCTGTCCAAGACCGTTGGCACGCCTGCTTTTTATCCCCCGGAACTCTGCTACGTCGGCGATGATTTCACGGACGCTCAGGGCCGACCAAAGATCACGGCGGCGATCGATATCTGGTCTCTGGGAGTGACTCTCTACGGTATGATTTTCGGGCGGCTACCATTCGTCTCCGACGACGAGTACAGCCTGTTCCAAACGATCGGGAAGAAAGAAGTCTTTATCCCGAGCAAGCGTCTCAAACCGGTCGAGCCTGACGCGCCTCCTTCCTACTCCCCGGAGCGGCGAAATTACGTCATGAACAGCAACAAGCGGATGGACGATGAACTCGCGTACGAAGACATTGACGATACGTTACGGGACCTCCTGCAGCGGCTATTGACCAAGGATCCTAGCAAGCGCATCACGATCAAGGGGATCAAAAGTCACCCATGGGTCCTCCAGGGCCTGCCAAATCCGAAGGCCTGGATCGAAGAAACCGACCCAGGCTACCAGAGCAAGGGCAAGCGGATCGAAGTTTCCAACGAAGAAGTGACGACGGCTGTCAGCAAGGTGCCCTTCATCGAGCGCGTCCGGTCGAACGTGGCCAAATGGGGCGGCTACATCGTCGGTCGAAGAGATAGCCGCAGGCGAACGCCGAGCACTGCTGGATCCGCCGATCCTGCCGCCCCCTCGACTAGGGAAAGTCGACGAGCCAGCTTGCGGGGAGACGAAGACGTGACCCGGTCAACCAAGGCCGATCATCCTCTCTCGCAGAGCATCACGGCCAGTGCCGCCGACGACGCCTCGGATGGCGGGTCATATTGCGATGCGGGCGCGAGCAGGGGCGAGGCGACGGCCGCGACTCCCACCGCCACGCGTCCTCACCCTCCCGAGCGCGTCCCGTCCACTGCGGACTCTACGAAAACGGTAAGACCATTCACCTCCGAAGCACCCCCATCGATGCATCATCATTCCCGTGCCAGTACGCTGGTCGATACCCTGGGCTCGCCCAGCTTTGGTAGTCTCTTCAGTGGCGCTGGCCGTCGGCTGGCAAAAGGATTCCAAAGTGGCGAACGGCGCGCGGAACGCTCTCGTTCCGTGGATGCAGCTTCCGTCGATGGGGACGCCCGCTCCGAGCCGAGTCTCGCGCTGAGTGTGGCATCCGCCACGGGCCAAGTCCAGTCCCATCATGGCCCTTGGAGGGATGTGGGATCTTCTCAAGCGGGACCGGGTTCTTCCGGTGGATCAGGACATCGTCGCCATCGATCTTGGCAACTTGCGCGCGACTCGTCTGCCGAATCCTTCCAACTCGCCAAAGAAGTGTTGCTGCGTCAGACCAAGCATGAACAGGAGCCTGTTGCTGATGATGACCACCAAACATCCAGGGTAGAAAACGAGACGTCTTCAAGCGGCTATCCTCCATTCGAACATGAAGCAGCGCCTGCCCCCCATGAGGATGTAGAATGGGAATCGAGCGATAGGGGTCTTTATGGATCATCATGCCACAACAGTCCCACCGGAGGCAGTGTCATCACCTCTCCTCCATCCGCGGCGACCATTTCCTCTTCGTCGGTCGATGACTCTTCCACCACCAGCGGAATGTCCCAGAGCGCTTCCCATCCCAGCATCCCCTCGGTCCTCTCGGGTGCAACCTCCCTCTCGGGCGACGGATTCCAGGTCTACCTGAAAGAACGGGAGAAGGAATTGGAGCAACCTTCCTATGTTCCCCCAATTCTTCGCACCGGAGACACCATTACGGCCAGGAATTTCCCCTCTCACCGCGTGGAGGAAGATGAAGAAGAATATCGGTACTATTGCGACGATGAGGATGGCGAATCTGACGACGAAGGGATTGTCTTTGGTCGGAAGAAACCGTCCGCGCCTTGCGGCCAAGGCGCGACGACTTGAGTTGGTTTCGCTCGAGCTGCGTCGGGAGCCCAACCTGTCAGGGCGCACGTTCTGTTCGTGTTTTGATGTTTCGTCACGTGATTTTGGATTTCTTTCGTCGACTCCGCCGGATGTTCAGATCTGGATGATTTCAATTCACTTGCATGTGCATTGTCACGGGCAATCTGCTGTCGCGTGTTGTGTCATCGCCTTGGGAAAAAATGGCTTTTTTTTCGAACTTGGTCTCTATATGTGCAGTACATTGATGCTCGATTTCCCGGTTGTGGGGCTTTGCGAGACACTGGCGACTCGCGGCGATCTTTCTGTATGTCATTTCTCTTTGTTGTCATGGGGAAAAACACAGTGGGCTCATGCGTGCGCCCTTCGCATTCAGGCATTGGGGGCGTTTTCCGGCCATATATTTTTTTAACTTTTGATTTGTCTTGTATATATTGTGTTCTGCGATACGTCGCATTCCTATTGATTGATTCACTGTTTTGATATCTTTTGTTTCCTCGTTTGTCGCCTCTCTGTCCGTTTCCATTCTGTGATCTAGGCTGACCAGCCGGGAATTGATTGGTTATTTTTCTTCGGGCGATACAGATGCCTGTTGGAATGAGAGAATGAATTTACGATTCGTACAGTGAAAGTCTACCTAGGTAGAAGACATGTAGGATGGTCCTTGATAGTAGTCTTCGACGGTATCGTGGATAGGAGTGTATGATTAGACAAGTGTCTCTCGAAGCCAGAGACAAGAACAATTTGGTTGATTGACTCCTGCAGAGCCAAGCTGTTTCTTTCCTGCTCGACTGTAAGGTAGTTTGTTCCTGCCGTATGGTGATTGATTATGATTATGATTGGTCCAGATCAGCTGCAAGTAAGTCACTCATCACTGATGATTGATAGATGGCGGGGCGGTGCGTGCAGTGACCCGGTACGGAGTTCGGACAGAGTACGGTACCTGTCAGTACGGAGTACGGAGGACTCCCGCCGACCGTACCGTACTTACACCGACCTTACCTTACGTAGTAGTAGAGTATTGGTGCTACTCCGTAGTGCAGTACAAGTCCATGCCAAGGTTATGTTATATTTATATACGGAGTACTGTGGCTTAGCAGGCAACAGGCACATGCTAGCTAGAAAATTAGCATTGCATGTAGCTAGTAGCTAGCCAGGGCTCTTGAAAGGACGCTCATTATTTCTGTTTCTATGATTGGTAAAGTATTTCGTGCTAATATTATTTACTTGCAAGCTGTTTGTTAACAAACATAGACAATTGTAAGTAGTCACTAATGTATGCACAATTGACAATTGACGATCTTCGCCTCACTTCTGGGCCTCATCACATTTATAGTTTATAGTTTATACTCTTTTGAGTTAAGTATGGTGAAGATTTCTTTCTACTATTTGTAGGCAGCAAGATTTTTTTTCTTGGTTTCCAGGTGGAGCTGATTTGTTAGAAGTACATGACTTCAGTAATGTGCATGGTACTACGGAGTGCTCTTTTAGGTACTATTTTATTTTTTATTTCTATTTCTATTTTTATCTCTTTTGTCCAAACTCCAAAGTACGTCGTGTCGGTGTTTCAGACAAAGACATTTTTTTTTAACTTTTTTTAAACCTTGTGTCATGACAATGGCAATGTAGTTGTATTATTGTCGGGTTGTCTTGCTGATCGTAAATTTAGACAGATCTGAAACGTTGATCACAGTACACGGTTACACCCATATACCACGTCTGGTGAACTCAATTGATACCCATGTGGGCGACTGAGCCAGAGAATAAATGCTAATTAGGCCTCCAGTCGAGTGCGACGCTGGTCCACAATGGGGGTGATTTTCGAGGGTTTACCGTATCGAATGACTGGGTATGTATTCTGTATCGTACGGTCTGTACGCACTCCGTACGGAGCACATGCTGCTGCTCCGCCATGAGCCGCATCGTCTGGGAATCTCAGACTGGCTTCATGAGATCGCAGCAGTCATTGACTTCTTGGTAATGCTACTCTCCTACTACAATTAAAATACTTGTACCTCGTGCAGGTACCTACGAGCTCTGAGAATAATACCTAATAAAAATAACTTAGGAACGGCCAATCCGGTCGCAGCCCTCCGCCCGCTTTGGCGCCCAACAGCCAGCAACCATCACGCTCTCCGCATTGGCCATCAGATCGAGATAGCGATCGCATCGCTCCATCTTTGGCTGCGCAGGCTGAGTGACGGTCCAGCAGTTCCATGGGCGGTGGTGACGACCGGTTGCTCCTTCCGCATCTCCCCGGCCGTCCAGCTCGACTCACGAGGCAAGCACGCTCTTCTGCCGCACCTCCCAGTCTCGCGCCTGCCAATCCATCATCCAGGCACGACGGACGTCCAGGCGCGTCGCTGTATAGCGATCATTTCTTATTCCTCTCTGCATCTTGATTCCCTCCATCGGCCCCAGCTCCCGCTCACCCGTCTTCGCCCGGAAGCCGCGCGTGTGGGCGTGGGGTCGCGCTCCGCAGCTTCCAACTGCCCAAGAACCTAAAAATTCCCATTCCCATTCCCATTCCTGTTCCCATCCATTCCTCGCGTGCCCTTCCCTCCCCTCCTCGTCCGTGCTTACCTGCAGCGCAGGGTTTAACCCCATCTGAAAACTGGCCCAGGTGATTCTCTATTTACGGATTGGTCGCCCGCACGAGCGACGCGGCTGATGCTTGCGCCACAGGTGACCAGGCTGATCGCAAGGCACTCTCAATCATTTCCCCCTCAGATCTCCAGACTCCTCCGACGACCCTCCGAGCCGGCTGGCCTCCCTCTGGCGGTCTGCCACACCTGAACGGCGCTGCTCCTCTTGTCCTCCGCTGTCATCGCCAGCCCCCCTCCACCCCTGCTGTGGACCTGTGGCCCGAGTCGGCCGCTGTTTCGGCTCCTGATCTAAATTCGGACTCGTAGGGAGTCGCATCGTGCCAACGGGACCTCGCGTCCCCGTCTCTCCGCCCCGTCGCCTGGAGTCTTGGACCCCGGGCCCAAGCTCCTACTTTATTTATTGTATCTATTTCTGGGACACACATTCCTATACTGCTTGCTTGCGTCGATTCACCATGGATTCCCAGGATCAGCGCCCAAGGTCGCCCTCCGCGGGCGTTCATAACCGCAGTCTCAGCCGCTCCGTCTCTCCTCATGCTCAGCATTATCAAGACCTCTCCACCACGACCGCTACCTCCTATCCGGCCGTCTCCTACCAGACCTCCCTCCCCGGCTCGACCGGCGCCGAGGCTTACAGTTATACAAACACCTACTTGTCTCCGGCGCAAGCCTCGTATACTTCCCCTCCGTCTCAGGAGCAGCAGGCCTTTGCCCAGAACCAGCAGCAGTACTCGCACTCGTTCGAGGCCAGTTTCGTCAATCAACTCGAACAGTCCTCCGCCCAGCGGGAGGAGAATTTCTCGAACCTCCTTAATTCGAGCCAGGGCGATTTTGATTTCACCCTTTACTCCACCGACAACAGCGGCGTCCCCTCCGAATTCGACTCCTCCCTCTTGCTGGATCCACAGCAACAGGCGCGACAATCGTCTTCGCAGCCGGGAAATCAGTCGGTCAATCCTGCTGATCTGGTGAGCGCCATGTCGTCGCCTCACAATGCGGCCTCGCCCCATTTTCTGCCCCCGGAACAGCATTCATCCTCCCCGGGGAACAACCACACATCCCCGCCCGCGTCCGGCCCGTTTTATTCCCATTCCCCCCAACACTCCCGGCACACCTCCTTGGATCCCGTAAGCGCGGCCTATATGACCAGCCAGTCGCATTCGGACTGGCAAGGCTTGTTAGGGAATCCTTCCTTCCAAGGCCACCGACGAGCGCCGTCGGAGCACTCGGACGTGTCTTCCGCGGCGCATTCGCCATTCATGGCTCAGCAGGAGTCCTTTGAGGGCGTAGAAAGCAACGCTTCTCCTCTGCTCTCGGCGCAGAATGACTCCAGCCTCTACGAGAATGCTTTGGGCATTGAATCCTTCAGTCTGTCCGAGCAGCAGCAGCAACAGCAGCAGGGATTCAGTCCCGCTCATAGTCCGTATATGTCTCCGCAGACCATGCCGCAACAACAGACCGGCGACATAGGGAACGAGCCTCTGTTTCTCTCGGCGCAACATACCGGTAATCAATTTCCTGCCCTTCAAGGTGATATGTATGGCGAGGGTGCCATGGGGAACATGCAGCCAGCAAGCACTGCTCCCGGAGAGATGGGTCAGGCCACTCAAATGGCCCCGCCTCCATCCATCAACGTTGAGCTTGCGCCTCCTTCTCGAATGCCCAGCTTTGGTCCGGGTAAAGAGGCCGACCTGGATGCTTTGACTCCTCCTTCACGTAAGTTTCTTCCCGATTGCTTTTATGGAGATCCCTTGGTGTTAACTGCCCTGCCACTAGGTTCGCGTGGACGTAGCAAATCGGACCCTTTTGGTCGTCCTGTTGCCCGACCTCGCTCGCCCTCCACAAGCAGCAGTCTGGAGCCGGTGGCCGCGACGAGTCCGAGATCCCTCTCGCCGTTCGACTCACGTAGCAACCCGAGTTCACGCGATCCTTCCCCATCCTCCAAGTCAACGCGACGACAGTCGACCTCCTCCATCGACAGTCGCAACTATATCCTGGATCTGGCGGATCCTCAGCGGCCTGGTGCGTCCCCGAGCGACTCGAAGCGCATGCAGAAACACCCAGCCACCTTCCAATGCCATCTATGTCCAAAGCGCTTCACCCGTGCCTACAATCTGCGGTCTCATCTCCGCACCCACACCGACGAGAGGCCTTTCGTCTGTACCGTCTGCGGGAAGGCATTTGCTCGCCAACATGATCGCAAGAGACATGAAGGACTCCATTCGGGAGAGAAGAAGTTCGTCTGTCGGGGAGATCTGGCCGGAGGTGGCCAGTGGGGCTGTGGACGTCGGTTCGCTCGTGCTGATGCCCTGGGGCGTCATTTCCGATCGGAAGCCGGTAGAATCTGCATCAAACCGCTGCTAGATGAAGAAGCCAACGAGAGGAATCGCAATCTCCTGCAGCAGCAGCAGCAGCAGCAGCAGCAGCAGCAACAACAACAACAGCAAGCAACCGGCCACCTGCAGCCGGTCCCGCAGCCCATGATGATCTCCGGTATGGATAATCAACAGTCGGGTGGTGGGTTCACGCTCCCTGCCGCATTGCTCGCCCAGTATCCTGCTCTCCAGACCCTGCAGTGGGACCAACTCGCCCCGGGGGGCGATGATCCCAACGACATCAGTGGTCGAAGCAGCTTCGACGCGAGTTCGGGCGGGGAGTTTGGGTACGATGAAGACGATTCTGGCCTGAGTGGCGGCTATACCAGTGGTCCGGGGACCATGTATGGCTCGTCGGGGGGCCAGATGCTGGGCGTGAATACGGGTGACGGCGGATATGGCTCTCAGGAGTGGGCCAGCGATTTCGAGCAGAGGTGACCGTTATTTTCTTAGTCATCATGCCCAATTTGTTTCTTGGAGGCTGTCTTTTGTTTGCCTGGAATCTATCTTGATATATAGAGAGGTATTATGGCGTTTGGATTCGATGACACGCGATCATGCTGTCTGATAATAACACCTCCACCCAACCCACTTCATGTTTTTTCTTCTTTTTTTTTGCATGGTACTTCTGTATCAGACTTTCTGGAGTCCATCCCGGTTCCAGTGCAGTGATGATTGGATTGGATTGGATTGGATTATGGGCTTGATTGATGCCGTATGACCAATGACGCCTCTTATGTATTCAATACAATACCCCTGCGGATATTTTTTTTGTGACTTGACGGACGATATGGGTGTGATTGGATTGACTATCAATATCTTGACAATCTGTCCTTTTTTTTTATTTCGTTACTATTTATGAGTGAGTGATCTGGATACCAGTTTGAAGTTTTTCTGTCTTTCTTATATATAGACATTGATGCCTGCTGCTGCTGCAGCAAAATTCAATCTGGATTGAGTTTCCTTTCCTTTCTCCCTGGACATTTATTTCCCCTCTGACTGAATGATGGATTTATCAGTAGATAGACCACCTGTCTCGAGTGAATGCTGGCTAGCTAGCTAGCTAGCTATTCTCAGAAACTAAGATAATATAATATCGGCAAGATAAAACTAAACCTGTATATATATACCGAGGTGACTTGTCAGATCTGATGAATCTGAATCTGAATCTGAATGTAATCTTATCTAATCTAATCTAATCACTCAATCGATCTGACAGATTACCTGGGTAATATATAGATAGGTATATAGAAGACAGAAAACAGAAGACATAGAGCGCAGGAACAAAGAAAAAAAAGGGTATGCTTGCCTTCTTGCCTGCTTGTTCAATCAATCAATCAATCAGACGCCTTAAATAATAAAAAACAAGGAAACGTAAAGTAACAAAACAAAAACGCTACAGGCTAAACTACACGGGTCAATGATAATAATAAAAAGAGAAAAGGAAAAAAGGAGGAAGAGGAAGAGGAAAGGTACAGAATAAACAAAGTAAGTAGGTAGGTAGGTAGTACACGGATCTTTTGTCTAGGCAACGTCTGTCTATTTATCTTATCGGATTGACTTTTTCGTCGTCTGCTACCGCCGCCGCCGCCGCCGCCGCCGCATCGCGACAAGCTTCTCGACCTCAACGATCCATTTGCGCGCAAACTCCTCCTCGGTGAACCGGAGGGCGGATTTCCTCGCGCGAAGCCGCATCGCGACTTTCTCCTCCTCGGGCAGCGCCAGCGCCGCTTCGAACGCTGCGGCGAATTCTTCCTCCGTCGTCGCGCGGAACCCTGTGGCGCCGCTGCCGCTGTCGTCGTCTATGTCCACGACGATGTCCTCGCGTGGTCCGCCCGAGTCGTGCACGACGCTGATCAGCCCCGCTGCTTGGTACTCTACCACGCAGATGCCGAAGTGCTCGTTCCACATCGCGTTCGTCCCGATCGATGCGGTGCGCAGGTGTGATAAGATCGTCGGCCAGCTGGCGTCGCAGAGGAAGGTGGTGTGGTCTCGGATGCGCAGTTCGTGGGCCAGCAGGCGGAGATTGTAAATGTGCGTCTCGTCCGGACTGGAATGCCGCACCGACCCGATAAGGATGAGTTTGGGCGTAGGCCGCGATGCGGACGCCGGGTTTTTGCTTCTGTTGCTGAGAAAGCGCGCGAACGCGCGAAGAATCAGGGCGTGATTCTTCTCTGGTCGGAACTGTGCGATGTAGAGAATGCTGGGCTCCCGATTCCGCTCGCTGGCGCTAGACACTTCAATAGACGATTCGAGCTCCGACACTGCCGTCGGCGGGAAGACGACGGTGGGCTCTTTGTATTCGGCCTTTTGTCGCGCCGGGCCCCAGAGCGATTTGATGTGTGCCGACGTCCAGGACGAATTGCACATGACCACATCGGTCTTGCCCCCGACCCAGCCGTACAGCCGGGCAAACCATTGCCAGTATCTCTTTTTCGCGGCGCCTTTCCATCCCTTGCCCGCGCCAGCATTTAATCCCTTGAGGCCAGTATCGTCATCAAGAGAGACTAACATGTCCGTCGAGATGGTCGGGTAATGTACATAGGCTCCCGTAGGAACCGATGGAAACAGGTATTTCGACAATGCGATGGTAAAAGCATAGCCCATGGTATCGATGTATATATCAGGAGCGAGAAGATTGAACGCGTCATACGCAACGATAAGAGAGCCTAACGACTGGCCTAGGAGCGTCATATACGGGTACATGCTGCTTAGGACGTATTTCCGCGTAGACAGGTAGAGTAAGACCACCTTTGGAGCGTGAAGTCGGATGTTGAATCGAGTCTGCTCCTCGCATCAGTATACGAATAATCGCATGCTGTGGCGCCCCCCTCCCATCGAGAATACTGACCTCGACTCTCTCGAGCATCGCAGCCTTGGTGACCTCCTGATCGCCCGTGTAGATTGCACAGATAGCCTGGCCCAGAGTCAGTCGCAACAACTATTGAGAGTCACTGTCAATTCTACCTTTGGCCAGCGCATCTGTGTTGCCTTTACGGCAGCCCAAAGCACACGTTCTCCGCCGCCTCCGGCGTTGCTATGCCGTCAGTCAGCAGTCTGGTGAAGTCTACTTGCTTCTTGGTCGTCCTACCAAAATGGGTGGAAGAAGCCAATGATTCCCTCCCAGTCATCTCCCAAAGGCTCCCCATTGCCCGCGATTCCTGGCACAGAGTTGTCGACCTTCTCCCAATCTTCATCCTCCGTCGTCGCTCCGGACGATGACTTGGCCTGTTTGGATCGCAATTCCTCCTCCTCGATGCACGCGCGGGAAAGGATCTGCTCTCTCCTCGCTTTCGTTTTGTTCTTGATGGACCACCCGACGGCACGGAGCACATAACTCAGAGCATATCCCGCCACTTTTGGCGCTACGAGCAACGTAGCGACGACGGCGAGAAGGGTGACGACGGATGTAACCAGGAAGGACATGGTGGGCAGAGGGAGAGAGATGATGCAAGCTCGCAGAACGCTAGGCCATCATGCAGGAAGAATCAACAAGGGGAGGAGTTGGCTCCGGGAGCCTCTTGCCAGCAAGGTAAACCCCCCTTTCTTTGTCCGAGAGCTGGTTGTCCTGGTCTGATGGCCGCAGCAGCAGACCAGGCCACATTGCCCTTGCCGATGCCTTATCGGCGGGCCACGTGATGGCGGGCGGGACAAACAGAGCAAATGCTAAACAGTGCAAATGGAGCTCCGAGTCCGCAGCCTCCGCGAAAGCTAAGCAAAACCGGATCAGGAGTACGGAGGACGCGGTACAACTGACAAGTCCACTGACCGCCGCAATTGGCACAGGCGTTCATTCCGGTATTCCTGTTCCTTCGTTCCTTGCAGGATATATACATAATCATTGGTTGTGATTCTTCGCTCAATCAAGCTTCGTTGTTGCCATGAGACCCCTTTGTCCTCGAGCGACTCTCTGGTCGCGTCTTCGCCCAATTATCTCGTCACAGACCTCCCCTCGTCAGGTTCGATGTTTCCATCTGACGAGGCCCTCGCCGTTCCTCAATGAAGTCTTGCAGGTCTCATCTGCCTTCCTGCATGGCGTGCATTCCGTTACCGGCTTGCCTTGGGTAGCCTCCATTCCCCTGACCGCGCTCATAGTTCGAACAGCCGTTGCGATGCCCCTGCAGATCTATTCGAAAATCCACGCTCGAAGACAGCGCGATATCTATCCGCTTGTTCTCTCGTGGCGGAAGCATTACGAGAAAATCATCATGCAGCAACGTAAGGAGCGAGCTAAGGAGCGATATCAGGAGCTAATCCTACCCATACAAGCCCAATCGCTCCTGAGAAAAAACGTCAGACAGAAGGTGGCGGACCTCTTTAAACGTCGGAAAGTTAATAAATACTGGAGGTTTATTCCGTTCTTGCAAATGCCCATCTGGCTTTCCCTCATGGAGGGTCTTCGGGCCATGTGCGGCAATGACAAGAGTCTGATAAGCTATCTGCTGACGTCCAGCTCTACGACTCCTGAACAGTCCATTACTTCTGTCCTTGAGCCGTCTTTGGCTACAGAAGGTGCCCTTTGGTTTCCGGATCTGCTTGCCGGAGACCCTACCGGCGTACTTCCCATTACGCTCGGCTTGTCTATATTGCTGAATGTCTCTACCGGCTGGAGGACTCCTTCTTTCGGGGAAATCTCGGATTACCCCAGAAATGAGATGTTACAGCATTTGACATTCCGTTTGCTCAAAGGCGGTATGCAAACCCTGGCCATCTATATTGGCCTATCGGCTTACTTGACCGGTATGCCTGCCGGTTTGATGATCTACTGGATCACGAGCACGAACATCGCAACACTTCAGTCGCTATTCCTGGATAAGTACATGTTTGCCATAAAGCCTTTGAAGCCGTGGACGAAGATGTATGTGGGCATCCTTCGGCCTGGAGAAGTCAAGCCGCCGTCGAAAACGTGAGTGAGATTCGCGAAACGCCGGAAACCGCTGCATACCGCCCGTCCATTATGGGATCGAATGGTCCCGGAATCTGTTGCGCATGTATGTACAGCGTCGTGGCGACTTGGGAAAGGCCCACTCGGTGCAGGTCACGGTTCAATTCGCAGCGAAATCTGTGCTGAGGATTTGTTGAGGTGACACTCAATAAATCCCAGTGACAGAGAGCATACTCTTCCGGGTCCCGCATTTAACAGTTCGGCTTGGGCTAGTCTGCACGCTTCGGAGAAAGTTGGTCATGCGTATATATCCTGCTTGACTGCAGGACGTGCTACCCTATCTCCAGAAGCATTCGCGGGCCTGTCACACGTTGTACTGAGTGGAGATATTCTTGGAGGAACAAAAGAACAAAAATTCTCATTGTTAAGGAGATCTCGAGTGGGTCTCTCACTGGTGGTAGGAGGGGTGAATTGGAATACGCCCCGGACGTGCTCAGTTGCTAGTGCTTTCTTGAACCCTTCGTTTCATAGCATGTCTAGGCATTTTATGCCTGAAAGGTCTTCCAGTTCAGCAACACCCCATCGTTGATCCGGGGTCGAGGTAGTTACGTGCGCTTGCTGGAAGGGTCCGAAGAGAAAAAAATATAAATATGAACCATTAGAAAGGATATGCTTTCATGAATCTTGAATCAATAGATTTCACTGTTGCATGGAGGTGAAATTCTTCTCTTCTCGAGTACAGTAGATATCTTATCAAGATAACCAGCTGACATGCAACCTCATATACGTGAAATTTTGGAAAGAGGTCGGGTGCCATTTAGAGCGTAGTAAGAATAACGTTGCCATCAAACGCCGAAAGTTCCTTTTTTCTAAAACAAAAACAATACATTACAACTGTTGAAATAGTAGGACAAATAAAACAAGGAAAAGCGATGCTCCATCGATTACAGCTTCGGTTTCGGGTTCTCCCTCGAAGCACTCGCTTCCTCGTTGACTGTTACGCTGCGATCGTCGGTGCCTGCGCCGAAGAAGATCACCTCGACAGTGATATCATCCCTTTTTGGAAATTGTTAGTGGCGAATTCCATCTCACAGTTCCTGAGAGAAACGTACCGATATCTTCTCGAGTAGGGACTGGGCAGAGTCAGCAGAGCACAGACCATGTCCTTGTCCTTTCCACCCATCGCATTCCGGACGAGGTGAGTGGCAGCGTTCTTGTCTTCGACCACGAATCGCTGGGCAGCTCCAGGAATATCGTATTGTTGCTGGCGAATCGGAGGTCGCTGGCCTTCTGTCTTGCTCTCCGTCGACTTTTCGACCGGAAGCTGTTTGGCATCCGATCTAAACCAGCTCTGTAACCACGCCTTGTTCGTCCCATCTACGTTACCGGAACGCTGATGTTCGATCCATTGACCGACAAGTCCAATCACTTCTTCATTGCTCAGCATTTCCCACAACCCGTCCGTGGCTAGGACGAGGAAATCTCCTCTCTCCGGATCTATCTTGGTGGTTGTTATGACAGGTTCCGCTGTCACATAAGGTGGTGTCTTGAGGAACTGGTGCGGAGTCCGTCCGAAGAATCGACTTTTGATCTTTTCCTGCGTTTCCTTGGTCCATTTGTAGAATGCATCTCCAAACGAACGACTAGGTTCGAGTTGACCCAAGATCCTTCCGTTTCGGACGACATAGGGTTCTCCAGGATGCTCTTCCTGAAGTCGTTTGACCTCAGATGGAGTCCCACCGGTCTGATCTTCCGACAGCGCTGTCGCAGTCCACTTGCCGTTTGGTCCCCGACGTCCTAGGACCGCTCGAGAGTCACCTGTGCAGGCTACTCGCAGATCTTTCGATCTGGAGTCGTAGAAAGCCAAAAGAGCACATGATCCCGACAAGGCAGGAGCTAGAAGCTCAGCAGCAACACGTCTGGAATTGGCTTTCATGACCTTATCCACGCTGTCGTAGACAATATCGTTATCGAGACGAACAAAGCCGCGCTTGATAGCGGCGTCAATTGCTTCCGGAGATGGGGTAAGAACAGCGGGATCCGCAGCAGCAGCCTTATACGTGTCATTCAATTCTCGAGCCACATAAGAGATGAGGACGTTGCGCAACTTGGCGGACGTGGTCCACCCACTGGTGAAAATAATTAGAGCGATTTTCCTAGACAAACTGGGAAGAGAGAAGATCATACGAGTGCCCGTCAAAAACGCCCCAGAACATCCAGTCACTATTGGGCGACCCATCTTGCGTGGCTGCCACAGATTGCGGGACCTCGACTATCTTTTCCGCATGGTCATCCTCGATGGGTGAATTGCTCGGAACCTGGACGATGTCATATCGCACAACGCCTTGGCCACGGTTAACCAGATATGATTCCTCATTCCTCCGGAGCTTTTGAGTCGCTTGCTCTGGCGTCAACATTTCGAGAACTCCTCTGTCTGAATCATCCGTCTGCTTCGCAAGAGGCTGATCACCGGACAGAGATGCGGTATAGAATTGATCATTTTCGACCAGCAGAGCGCGACGGGCCAGCTGTCCTGAATCCTCTCCGGTAGTATCCACGGGAGACTCGGCACTAGAGGAGGAGTCAGCTATCCCTCGCGACTGGAAGGCGCCGGTTGACACTGACGTCGCGTTGAGGCCTAACGCGGCTGACGGCTGAGCAGTACTTCCTTTGTATGCATACCAAGCCCCTGAGGCCACAAGTGTCGAGATAAAAGCCAGAGAGAAATTCCGAACGTGCATGGAGGACTGTAGAGAGGCAGGAATGAAGGCAGCGTTTCTTCCGGTCGAAGAAGGCCGCAGCCCGAGCGCGTGGCCGCTGGAAAAGTAGGCGCAGTTTGCTCTCCTACCGCCGACCTTCCATACTGGAGCACGACGGGCAGTACGGAAGGCCTGGACAGCAGCGCGACGCATTGAAACGGGGAAGAGAGGAACCTTTCAGATAGAATAACCCATGTACGATGGATTATTGATCCGTCAACAAGCAGCCGAGCCGAGCCTGCGAGACGAGATACGTGACTTGAACCATCACGTGCCAGGCCCGTCACTAGGGCGGAGTTCGACGTCACGTGATAAGAGGGCTCGGTTTCGCGCTAATCCTTATTGGTCGATGTCGTCACATCTCCGGCGGCGATCCTCGTTCTTTATGCGGGCGGAGTCCAGATTATTATCTGTCTTCAGATAACGAGCCGCACCAGGGAATTTGCCATCTGAGGACATCCGTGTGGGAGGCGACTGTCCGCCAGCTTTGCGCGCGGTCCTGGTCTGAATTTTGTGAAATTTATATCCGAGAAGTCTTTGCCGATCTCTATGCGCTTTATTGCATACTCTCGGACTATTAGCCGTGCTTCCTAAAACTCAAGCGGGGGTCGACTGCTCGTTCGGACTTTTTCCAGCCAACAATATTTGCGAGAATAGGTCGTCCGCATGTCGTCTCGGGCGCTACGAAAGCTGCAGAAGCAGCGCGAGCAGGAGGCGCAGCGAGCCGCCCTGCAGGCACAAGACCAGGCCAGCGAATCTAGCGACGAAGGCCCCGAAACGTTTGCGCCGAAGCCCAAACTCAACGCCTTCGATTTGCTCAACACCCCTGATGAAGATGAACAACAATCAGATGATGAAGGCCCTGCCGAGACAGCTCCTGAACCCTCTGCAGCCACCGTTACGACCACGAAACCCAGTGGGCCAAAGAAGAAGAAGAAAAAGAAGAAGAAGGCACCGAAAGAGCCTGCTACACCTGCAGCGGCTGAAGAGAAAGAACTAGACGAGATCGACCGTGCTCTGAGAGAGTTGTCGACTACCCATAGTCCTTCAACGACTGCGGATGGCCTTTCCCAGACGACCCCGGCGGGCCGGGATAGTCAGTATGCAAAATTACCTGAAGAACTCCTTGCGATAGATCCGAAATCTCTTAACGCTATAAATGAGATGCGGAAACTGTTCGGTAACATTGTTCTCGAGTCGTTCGATCAGCCTGAAAGTGGCGGTTCTGGGCGCCGAAGGGAAAGGCAAAGAGAAATGATCGATTTGGGCAGGGCCTTGACTGGACGCTATAGTCCTGCCAGCAGAGGGCAGAGTCTTGCTGGAGTGACGCTGCGAAAGAATATACTTATGCAAGGAAAGGATGAGTGGCCTCGAGCACCCAGTGGAGGACTTGGAATGGAGCTTGTGGAGAAGCTTCCGACGGGGCACAACGTGTACCGGATTGTGCATAACGCCGCCTACCGCGATGTCCAGATGCAGTTCGATATGTGTGTGGAATCGATGGATCCACAGAGGTTGATTCATCACTTACAGTATAACCGTGAGTCCCTGAAACCCCTCACTATAGCCGTTCGACCAGAGAATGCTCACACCTCCAGCTTACCATATCTCCACTTTGCTTCAAGTTTCGGAGATAGCAAAACACCAAGGTGATCATGCTGTCTCTGCGGACCTCCTGGAACGAGCATTGTTTAATATAGGGCGCTCTGCGCATTCCTCTTTTGGGAACAAACTGAAAGAAGGGAAGGCGAAGCTTGATTTTATCCACATGGAAAATCGAGAGCTATGGCTGGTGGGGTGGCGATATATTGCTAATCTGGGAATGAAGGGGACGTGGAGGACAGCATATGAGTGGGCAAAGCTGCTGCTCAGTCTAGATACCAAGGATCCGTATTGCATGAGACTCTTGATCGATCACCTGGCACTCCGAGGCAGACAGTACGAGCATTTCATCGAATTATGCACAAAGACCGTGTTCAGGGACGAATGGGAGCAGTTCCCCAACATCCACTGCTCTCTGGCATTGGCATACTTCCGCTTGAATAAGCCGAAAGAAGCCCGTGAACAGCTGCGCCGAGCTATGTCGCGGTACCCCTGGATTTTCTGCAGATTGGCACAGGAACTGGACATCCAGTCAATTCCCAGGCGCATCTGGGGCAAGATGCCTCCAGCGCAGTCCCATGAGCTCCTGACTGAGCTCTACATATCTCGCACCAAGGACCTGTGGAACAGCCCCGAAGTGGTTTCTCTGATTGTGGAAATCGCCGATACGCTTCCCGAGAAGGAGGAGCCGGTAGAGCCTCCGGAGATCACGCTTGACATTGCGCGCCATGTCGTGCTCTCTGATATTCCCAAAGTCACCACTCATCTTCCTACCCGCTTTACATCTGGACGGATATCCGCATCAGATCCGCTTCCTCCGTATGATTCTGAAGCCTTCCGTCAACAGTCAGACCCAACACCATCCTACCTCTCCCGAATTCCAGAGTTTGGAAGACCTCAATGGTTACGTGACTTCCTGGAACGGCTCAATAATGGAATGGGAGGGCCAGAAATCCCGCGTTTCCCCGGCGACGCTGACACGGACTTGAGCGATGAGGATATTCTGCCCGAGTTGGAATCTGATCCTGAAGCTGGTGCGGATTCTCGATCGGCGCACCAGCCTCCATCTGGAGACGACCAGGCCATGCTCGAGCAATGGCTTTTAGGACAAGGTCTCCGGTCCTTGCATGAGTTCCTTCGTCAGTACGGCATCGATCGTGGAAATTGGGGAGAGGCAGTTGGCTTTACTCCGCTGGAGGCATACGTGGATGCCCTCAGCGCTATTCGATCAGAGTCAACCAGGCAGCGCCTGTTGAATGGGCCGATTAGAGAAACTCTTGGTGATATTGCGGTTGAGATTCTCCAAGACGAATTGCAAATGCTCGAGGAGGATGTTTGAACTATACTGAGCCTGAGAACGGATGATCCTGCGAATCGGCAGAGTTGTCGTGCTGTAAATATAGACGAGATGGAAAGTTAAAAGAAAAAAATCTTTAAAACAGACCAAAAAAAGATAGAGAAATGAGACAAGATACCCTATATACACCCATCGACTTCATCCCTGTTTTTGTTTTCTATAGCCCGTCTGACGACACGAGAAGAATATGAAATTTGAATGAGTCATGACATCCACATACGGGCCTGTCACTTGATATCTTGCTGGTGTAGATCGGCTAAGAAATTTCCAAGAAAAGCATGACAAGCTCCCTGACAGCATGGACAGACACCCAGGCAACGGTGTGCTACATAAATATCGCAACAATGTCTGTCCTCCCAACAGAACCCGGGGCCTCTAGCTCAAGTGGCTAACACCACTCCTCTTCCTCCTCTCTCTTTCTCTCTCGCTGGGGGCCCTGGGTTTGAGACGCACCGCCGTCAGTAAAACCCTTGCCTTTTCGAGGACGTCAAAAAAAGACGGAGAAAATGAGAAACAGGGGTTTTCGTAGCACCCCCTAACAGCTGAAAGGGCTGGGGGGTGTGAGCTTTTTTACATCTCTGTACTACCTTTTTTTCTTAAAATACTCGTTTTGCTTATTTTTTTTCACTTTCCTCTTTTGTCACTTCTTTTTTGTTGTTGTTTTGGTCGGTGATGTTATATTTTCCTGATTAGGAAAGTCACGTTATCTCCCGAGCGCGCCTGCCACGTCTTGCGGATGTTTCCTGGATTTCGCTTCCCAGGAGTCCTTATCTTTATTATTTTTTTTACGACAAATCCAATACCGAATAATGCGCTGTCTCAGCAGTGGCTACGATCTCGATATATCCCCTACAATATTCTCTCTTGGATAAGGGCACCAGATTAGCATTATCTAGGTACAGTGCATCTTGTTCTTTGTTATCTCTACAACTCATGGCCGGACCGCTGAAACTTCTCGCAAACTCTATCCTTGGCGGTCGAAGTGTTTTAGGCTCGACCACGGGTCATGGAAAAAAAGTCGCAGCAATGATGAGCTATGTATTTTTCACCTTCTACTAATTTCCCTTCTACTAAGAGACAACATGTATTCTTGGCTCACCGTCAACATACAGGCTAAGTTCGGAGCCACGACTTCCATGGATTTCGCCGGATTTGCTCTTCAGCAGCCAGTGTCTCAAACGAAAAGCAACTCTGCTCGTGCCAGCATCTGTCAGCGTATTCACAACCCTTGCCTAGCCGCCTCTGGGTCCAGAAGGAACATGAACCAGATCCTGATTCCCCTGGGGCTAGGTCAAACCTCCACCTAACATTGACATTTGATAGCCATGTCGGGCACCACCTGCAGTGCGAGACAGTGGGATACAGGTATGGTCTTGGAGGCCAGGGGTATGCGTCCATAATATGGGAAAAGATGCTGCGGTGTGGACAGCAGAGTCGTTCAAGTGGTACTAGATCGGTCGGCCGGTCGATATTAGTTATGGTGTATTCGGTTTGGACAATCAAATCCCCATCAGCTTGCAGAAGAGGTCTGATTCTGGTAAATAGGGTTCTCCCAGGGTCATAATTGTAAGAACACTCATGCCGGAACGACTTTCCTTCCATCATTCGCGCAACGAGTTTCCGTTTGTCTCGAAACGTCAGGTTTATGCAAGGACAGAGTTGGACGACTCCGAGGAACGGCCCCAAAATACAAGTTCTCTGCTCTGCACTTCTGGCCAGCTCTTCAGCCGTAAACTCGCTGGTAGGATGGAGTTTGAGACAGTCGGAACAACAGCGCCACCGGGAATCCTCCAGATGCCGGAGTAACTTCCACCATTCTGAGTAGAAGACATTCAAAGCGCGCGTAGGGAGAATATAGCGGTATGGCGACAAGCTGTAGAAGTCCTTAGGCCGCTGAAACTGGATGGACCGTCGGAGGGCTCCAGAGCTGTCGATGACTCTCAGAAAGGATTTGCAGGTCAATGCGAGGAGCAGTTGAGAATAGGGAGGGAGCAGGGCGGCTATCTCGAGAATGAGCTCAACGGGCAGTCTAGGAAAAGGTGAGGGCTTCTCCTCTGGCCATGTGATCAATCGAAGTGGCCTCTGAGAGGTAACTGGTCCAACTGAAGTTTTCTCCAAGCATGTGTTTGTTGGAGACGCCCGAAAAATAGGCGGCAGATCTTGTTCTGGAGATGGACGTGTTAGTATTTGCTGTTGTAGCTGTCGTTTCTGTCTCGCCCAACGTCCCCCTGGGAAGGGCAAATGCCAAAGCAATAGCGTCATCAACACGACAAGAGCGAGCATAGTCAACGTATAGTAATTAAGGTGATCGATTCCCCCCGTGAATGTAAACGGAACTCGATCGTGGGAGGTCATGGTGTCAGTTGGCGAAGCTCGTTCTTCGGCGGAGCTGTATGGACGACGGGTCGTGGTATACATTGCATCTGTCAGAGGCTCTTAAGGTTAGATGTGGTCAGTGTTCTGCTTAGATTCTGAGTTAGCAAGCTCTGGCAGCCCAGTTTACCTATGTGTAGGCTGTGGCCTAAGGTTTTAATCCAGCAAGGTCCATCCGCATGTACTACTGGGGTACAGTACACAAGGCTCAATATGGAGATCAGGAGTGAACGGCTGCTGTTGTCCACTCTGACTGTAACATCCAGGTAGAAGTGGGTGTTGCAGACGACGTCACATATAAAAGTGCGCCATATTCGAGGGTACTCTTGATAGATTCCCTTGCAAGTGGGATGGAAAAGGATATGAGAAAGGAGGTAAGGTAGAGGGCGCTATGAGCAGTAGTGAATGCGGTGCTCAGACCAGAAGAGGAGCCAGACAGTAAGTAAAACAGCAGGCAGAGACACAATCGGGAGTCAATGACATCAATAAGTTTCTGGGGCTACTATACTTAAAACGCTTTGGGGGAGTTTTCTGGTATCAGGCGTTGCAATCTCTGGTACTAGAGAAGAGTCGTCCAAGGCTGCCTGGTTTGGCTGCTCCAGCCAATGACTCAAAACGATCTCAATGCTTTCTTTATATTCCCATGCTCCCTCTCTCCCTCTTTCTCTTTTTCTCCTTCCATTACTATCTTTAACCACTGGCTTCAGAGACATATCAGCAACAAGGATTACAATCGTGCAGATTTCCACATAGTGCGCTGTCTCTCTAGGGTGAGCATAGGTCAGCCAGGTCAGGTGCAGCATGCTGTAGGGCTTTCCGGAACACGTGATCGAATCCGGGGTTTTGCGGCCTCAGGCATCCGGCGAACCGGAAGTGGCTGACGGAGAATTCCGAGATAAAGAACGCAACGGCCAATGATAGCGACAGCCAGATTTTTTTTTTTAGGCCTTTTTCGGCCCCGCAGGTGTCATGACGGCCGACTTAGTCGAGCACTCCCATTCAGCTCCTGACCTAAGCAGCAGGATCCTTCCACGAGCAAGCAAGTGCAAAGCAAACTTTGCTTGCTAGTTTTTTTATCTTCCTCATGCGATTCCAGCGACTCAATCGCCTTTGAGCTCCCCCCTGCTCATTAGGGGTCCTTTCCCCTTTCAACGCTGCGGACTCTCCTTCCTTATATACGTCATCACTTACTTCCCCGGTTTTCACCAACGGCTGGGTGCATTGTCGCGTTCTGCAGAGCAGCGCTGCCCAACATGGCTACCCAGCTGAACCTTGCCAGGGATGGCGTTCCTCTCACTGCTCGTGAAGCTGCGTCGGGGATTCTGGGCTCGATATCGCTGACCTGCTGGATGTTTCTCTTGGTATGTCTTCCGACTGAACTTGCGTTCTGAGTTGGGCGTAGCACAATCAACACGAGTTTGGGTGAAAAGGGCCAAATTTGATGACTCGGAGAAAGATGGCGACAATACTAACAGGGTCCGATATAGCTCCCTCAGCTCATTGAAAACTACCGTAATGGCAGCGCCGAGGGGATTTCAATGGCCTTCCTTCTCGTTTGGTTTGTCGGCGACGTCACAAATTTCATCGGGGGAGTCTGGGCGCAGCTGGTCCCTGTCGTGATCGCTATCGCCGTCTACTTCTGTATTGCAGATGGAGTCCTCATTGGCCAATGCCTGTATTACAATATCCGCAATGCGCGCCGTGAGAGACGCCGCCAGAGCGTGTATTCGTCGACCGAGCCACCGACCCCGACCACTCCGCTTCTAGGACGGAGTCTCAGTGACGACTTTGGTCTAACGGGGTCGCGACGACGGAGGTCTTCTGCATCACTGAGAGACGGCCAGCCACGACGGACGAGCCACCCGGAGGATACTCTGGCCAAGATCGTCGAAGAAGGAGAGTCGGGCGCCAGAGCGTGGGTGAAGAACCTGGTCAGCGTGTTGGCTATTGCCATGATCGGGACGGCAGGCTGGGCGATTGCCTGGCAAACGGGCATGTGGAAGCCTTCGCCGGAGGAGCATGGGGGCAGATCGGAGATGGTGCCTGGAGCGCAGGTGTTGGGCTACTTCAGTGCGATCTGCTATCTGGGGTGAGTTTGCGTTGCGCTACCGTTTGTGTCGAGCTAGCTAACGTTCGATTTTCAGAGCACGTCTCCCACAGATCTACAAGAACTACACCGAGAAGTCGTGTGAGGGTAAAAATTGCCGACTGACTGAAATGTTCGGTGAAGCATTAAGCTGATAACGCCGCCTCATTCAGGTCTCTCTCTTCTATTCTTCATTCTCTCCCTGTTGGGAAACCTTACCTATGGCGCGGGGGTACGTATGATGGATCCGCCTTCAGGTTCTGTTATGGCCAATATACCTTGACTGACATGTTCTTTCTGGTTGTAGATCCTCTCCCACTCAACCGACAAAGAATACTTCCTAACCAATCTACCATGGCTGGTCGGCTCACTGGGCACCATGGTAGAAGACGTGGTAATCTTTGTCCAATTTCGTCTCTACGCGGCGAACGACCAGCGAATTATGGCGGTAGCATAAGCCTATCCCCCAGCAGGATCTTCCCACCTTTTTTTTTCAATCAAACACCGGATAGATCGATTACGGTACCAAGATTCTCCTACTACTCACCATCCCGACAGATCCATTGGGAACTCCACGGTGAGGGTTTTTTGTCACATGTATAATTACATGTAAGTACATACTGTACTTTGTACATATATACACTCTTGGGCTAGAGCGTGTATGGGTGGAGTGGCCTACTGTCCTTCTTTTCCTTTTCCTTTTTTTCCTTTTTTGTTTCGCAAAAAAGTCGGTTATCGGGGGAGGGGAAAAAAAAAGTTATTGTCTGTTTGTATTCATTTCAAGGACCACAGGAGGTGTACCAGGTTAGGGCTGTTTCTTCTGTTCTCTCTCTTTCTCTCTCTCTTTTTTGTTTGGGCACTGTCTGTTATACTGTACCATGAGGCCTGTTTTCTCCGTTCCTTTCCTTTTCCTTTTCTTTCCTTTCTCGTCTTTCTTTCCATGTCATTCACAGTACTATAGAGAATAGAGGTAAAAAAAAGAACTCCCAGATCAAAGGAACTCGACCCTTCTAGGTCCGTAGTATGTAGATGACTAGCGAAAAGGCGGGGAGTCGAATACGGAGTAAATAATAGAAGCGGGGATAAAAAAAAGCGAGAATAATTAACTTTTACAAGTTCATAGATTTTTTTTTGCTCATTACTCATTTCCATTTCATTTTCCGGAATCCAAACACACCGGCATCCGGCCATTTTCTATTTGCTTTTTTATTCCACTCACTCACTCATTGCACGTTGCACATTGCACATTGCTCCTAGCCAGCCAGGCCACCGATTTGAGCGGGTGGAATTTTTTTCTTTGACTCTCATTTCCCTTTGTTTGTTTTCCACCAACACGACACGACCACCGTGTGTTAAACAAGCAAAGCTTAAATCAAAATTCGAACAAGTCTTTTGCGCCATCCCGCAATCCATGGATTGAATTCATGGTCTCTAGATCTCCGTTTTTGGGAAACGTTCATTCGCGGATTATCGAGTACATAAGGGAAGAAGAGGGTAACGAGGATAAAAAGAAAAGGAGAAACGAGGTAAGGGAAAACGTAACAGGGGCGAAACGGCGGCGTAAAAAGAAACCGTTTAGTCGAAAAGACCGAAGCCCATGTCCTCGTCGGACTCCTCTGTAATTGCAGGAAAAAGACACATCGTTAGCGGGAGGTTCTTCCCTTTCAATTGAAAAGGATTGGGTCTGAAAGAAGTGCGGCATACCCTCTTCCTTCTTCTTCTCCTCCTTCTTCTCCTCAGCAGCAGCCTCAGGGGCAGCACCACCCGCAGCAGGAGCAGCGGCGGCAGCGGGGGCAGCAGCACCGGCGGAGCCAACGTTGGTCAGCAGTTCCTTGACATCCTTGCCCTCGAGAGCCTTGGCGAAGATCTGGGACCAGATGGGCTCGACCTCCGGAACGTTGGCGGTCTTGATCAGAGTGTTGAGCTTGTCGGCCTGTGTCGAACAAAACACGAAAAAGTTCACAAGTCAGTCCAGACAGATCAATCAAGTTTTTTATATTTCCCTCTTTGTCTTCTCTCTTTTGTCTTCTTCATTCCCTTTCCCTTTCTCTATTCCTTTCTCTATTTTTCTTCCATCGCACAAATTGTGTCCGATGATTGAGGGGAAGGGAGTGCACGTACGGTGATCTCGACGCCGTCGTCGGCGAGGATCAGGGCCGCGTAGGAGACAGCAAGCTCGGCGGTAGACATGGTGGTCGAGGAGACTGGTGGACGAGAGATGGGTAGTCTCGAGGAATGCCGGTGGATGGATTGACGGAGAGGAGAGAGGAAAGAGAAGCAGAAACCGGTCGCGACGGAACTGATATGATGACAAGGCTGGCCAAGCGGGATCCAACGGTGGCAGCGCCGAGTGTGTGATTTCGCGTAAAAGCCCTCGCTTAGATTCCCAGTCGGGAAACGCGCCTGCGCACGCGGCTAGTCCGTATCGGGCGTAATGGATGCTGACTCAGCAGCGCTCAGCCTTGCCGCTGAGATCATCTCGGCGCTCGAGTCGGCCCGAGCGGGAAGGACCAGACTGGTCGCTGCCCAGACTCAGGTGATGTGGTCATGATTGCCGCTCCCGGTTCCAGCCAAGAGCACTTGCTGGATGGACTGCGAGGCATAATGGAGATATAGTGATTCTGTGCTTCTCCCTGCGGCCTCCGGACGTGCTCCTGTCTTTTCGTAGCGGTGTCCTGTACTGCTCCGTATTTGTATGTAGTCCAGCAAAAATCAATGTGATGTCAGCTCTCAGTACACCTATCTATCTCTTGTGTTCCACTCTCCACTCTCCGCCGGCGTAACACGGGCCACCCCACCTCTGGGCTTGAACTCCCCTCCCATCACCTGATCTGTCAGCCTCCTCTTTCCATTTCGCTCGACATCTGCAGCCAAGTTGAATTGATTTGGTCTTTATTCCTCATTTCGCAATCGACCTCTTCTAATTCATCTCTTGGGACCTGAATGCGTTGAGCTCCATCGGATTCCCTCGTCTCCGCCATGGAATCCCCCGCCGTCCCCGTCCCGCTTGATCCGCTCGAGCAACCCATCCTCGACCGCCTCCTCCGCACCCGTGATGCTCTTCTCCTTCTCAAGCAGGACAA